AAGGGATCATTTCAAAGCAACTACATTACAATATCTTTTGATTGATAATATAGATTAAATAAATTAAGAGTATTGACAATTTATCTTAACTTTTTTCACTATTAATAACACACTCTAATAAAGCTCTTCCCTTTGAGAAATGTATTTATTTCAAAACAAACTACTTTAGTAAAAATAAATGGTATACATATTTATAATTTTGTAGATGGTATTTTTAATTTTCAAAAAAAATTTAATATAGACACATTAATAATAATATCCTATGACAAATATTATTTAATTTTTTTATATTATAGCTTTTAAATTCGTCGATTATTTATAATCTATATATTATATTTGCTTTCTAATCCACACTATATTTGCTATAATAAAAATAAAAATATATCTATTTATTACTAGATATAGCCATTTTTATGATCAATTTGTATTTATTTTCTTCTAAAAAATACTAAATAAATAAAAAAATTTTTAATATACAGAAAAGAAAAATCTAAGTCAGACAAAAATTTATTCAAACCATGAGAAAAAATAGATAAATCATATTTAGGTAAAAGAGCGGTAAAGAAATAAATCAATACTATTTTATTTTTTTATTTTTTTATCTATCTAATCTTGCATTAATATTCTTTATTTTTTTTAAGATGCTTTTAGGCGCTTTTTTTTTGAAAACATAAAGCTTGTACATTCTGTATCTTTATTGTAATTGTAAAAAACATTATTACCTATGTCTTAGAAACTTATATTTTGCTTAAATTCTTATTCGCCATTAAAATGAAAGTATTTTATTATTTTATTCTATTTTGAAAATAAAAGTGTTTCTGTCAATTCTGAAAATAAAAGTCTTTTATCTATTAATTTGCAAATTGAATGCAAATTTTAAAATCAAAATTTTGTTTTGATTAAAATTTCTATAAAAAGAGGTAGCAATACTCATTATCTTTATAATAATTTATATTCCTTTAAATACACTAAAAGAAAAAGTAAAAAATAAAGAAATGCTTTAATAGTTGCCTAAAAGACCTCCTAAATCTTCAGCTTAAGATATCAGCAAAATATGCAAAAATATTAAGCTGCTCACTAACATGTTTACAATGTAAGTAGAAGCCCCCTAGTCTTCTGATTCTGATGAACCTCAAGGATTTGTGAACAAAGTTCTTTGCCATTAGTATGATGTTGAATTCTCTCCTAGTATTGCTGAGGACAACAGAAATCTAAGATACAAAATCTTTAAAGAAGCACGCAGGAACATTGAATAAATCATTGGAAAATTCTCCTTTTCAGGAAAGTCTCTATTCTCAATGAGAAATCTTAGCAAAGAAAAGATTAATAAAATCAAGAATATTGATGCAATCAATGTTGATGGACAAAAATTCTCTATCCTATTGAGGTTCACTAAAACTTTTGAAGTGAATGATGAATCTGCTTAAAATTTAGACAAGACCTCTCCAAACTTCAAAAAAGGTAATCAAGTCACTTAGTTGCTCAATATCATCTTAAAGTCTATCATGCGTGATGAGAAGTTTTAGGAAATTGGAAAGAATTCTAAGTTCTATAATGTTAACTCTAGGAATGAAATCGTAATCAAAGGCAGAGACGGAAATACTAGTGCCCTCGAAGCATATAAGGGATTCACTTTCAATGTCACTCCAACCTAAGACAAACTTTACTTAATGGTTGACTACTGCAGCAGAATTATCAGAAAAGAAACTGCTTTAGAATACTTAAAGAATAACAACAATTAATTGTCTGGTCTTTCAGTAATTACCAAATACAATAATTACCAAACTTACTTAATCGACAGAGTAGATGGCCAAAAAACACCTAGTTCTACTTTCCTTAACTCCAAAACTAACACCTAAATTAGCTTCGCATAATACTATAAGGAGCGTTATAATATTTAAATCAGAGACATGAGATAGCCCTTACTTGTTCACAAAAGAAAATATAGAGAGGCTAATACTAACATCTAAAAGGTTGAGGAAGTTTATTTAATTCCTGAAATATGCAATATGACAGGAATGACAGACGAATAACGTGAGAATTTCCAAGCAATGAAGGAAGTTGCTACTCACACCAAGTTAACTCCTTAAGAAAGATATCAAAATTCTGTTAACAATTGCAGATTTTTAAGCAGCAAAACAAGCTCCAGTGGAATTAGAATTGATGAAAGAAGCAATTTAATTGACGCTGTTTAATTAAGAGCTCCTAAAGTCACTCTAGGAGGTAATAAGACTGCTAATACTGATAGAGGTAATTTTGACATGAGAGCTCCTACCTTAGATAAAATCGAGTTTAAGGATTGGACTCTTATTTATAACCAAAAAGATGAGAGATCTGTGGATGGTTTCATAGACACTCTTAAGAAGGCTTCCTAGACATATGGAATTACTGTCAACGACCCTTTCTTTTTCGCCTAAAGAGATTGGAATGCTAATAGTTGGATTAAATCTCTAGATGAGGACTTTTCTAAGAATGACTTACCTTAATTTGTTTTGAGTTTTGGTCAAGCTTAAAGCGGTTTATATTCTGGTCTGAAGAAATTTTTAACTTCAGAAGCAGGAATTGAATCCTAGCATGTTAATCCAAGATCCCTCCAAAAGAACGGAATGAGTGTTGCTTCAAAAATTGCTCTGCAAATTGCCTCTAAACTTGGTAGAAGAATCTGGTAAGTTGAAACCCCAACTGGAATTGATAAAAATACCATGATTATAGGTATTGAGACCAGCATGAAAAAGATTAAATAGTAGTAGGTTGTAGGTGTTGTTGCTTCCATCGACAAAGACTTTACCAAATACTTTTCTGATGTTGAAATTAGGAAAGACAATGATACTACTCTCCCTACTCTCTCTAAGATTGTTACCAAAGCCATATAAGCTTATGTTAAAAATACCAAAAGTGTTCCTGCTGAAGTGATTGTTTACAGATAAGGACTTGGTGAAGGTTAAATTCAATAGAGTTGTAACCTTGAAATTAAGGCCATTTAGAATGGTTTTAGTAACTTCAAGAGCGATTTCAATCCACGTTTAGCCTTTTTCTAGGTTAATAGAAAAATTGGACAAAAGTTCTATTAATCACCTTAAGGTGACAAAGGTGAAGTCTCAAATCCTGCTTCAGGTACTATTGTAGCCTCTTAAGTTGTTTAGAACAACTTCGAATTCTTCATGGCTGCATAAAACTGCAATTCTGGTGTTTGTACACCCACTAAATACACCTGTTTGTACAATAACACTAACTTAAAAGAAGATTAAATCTGGTAATTAACTTACTATCAAACTTTCAATTACTATAACTGGCAAGGACCTGTAAGAGTACCTGCCGCTATGAAGTACGCAGAAAAACTTGCTAAATTCGTAAGTGACACTATCTAAGAAGCTGCCAACGAAAACTTGACTAACAGTCTTTTCTACTTGTGAGAAAACATCAATTAATATTCAATAATCAATCAATCAATCACTGCTTAAATAATCAATCACATTCAAATCATTTTATTTATTTATTTCCTACTTTTCTCTTAAAGTGATATGAATGAATGACTGATATTTTAGCGATATATATATTTTATAATTAAATTGATTAAATAATTTACATTTACATACCTTTTCCCATATATATTTATATATTTTTCATGTAATTGTATTTTTGCAATTAATTTAATTACCTTAAAAAAATCTATTATTAATTCATATTCAAAATATGCTATTCATTATACCTTTAAAATTTTTTAACAAGTGCTATTGCTTTATGATAATTTAAGACCTTACTATCATTTTAAGATTAAGGTATATAAAAGAAATAAGTAGGTATAAAATAATTAGATACTATTTTATTTTTTAAAGCTTAAGGATAAGATAGATAAAATTTAATTTTAATTAATTTATTTATAAATTATTTTGTAAAAATATTTTATTTATGTGTTAATAAATCTATTTTATTTGATTATTAAGATAAATTATATTTTATTTAATTTAGACCTAAGTGATATTATATTTCTTATACAATTATAATAGATTATTAAAATTTCTTTATTACTTTAAATGAGTTATAAACTAATTTTTATTTGCAGAAATACATTAATTTATTTTCATATGAGAAAATAATTTTTAATTAATTAAAAAATTAATATAAAATAAGCTGATTAATCTAAATTTTCAAAATTTAATACAAAAGATTTGTGTTTTTTAAGATAATTTAAAAATATTTAATTTATCTTTTATACAGAAGATTTATTTAAAAAGATCAAAACCAGCCAGAACTAACTACTTGATAACTTCAAATTTAAAATAGAAATGAATATACTAGTCAGATAATAATATATATTTTTATATTAACTAATGGAAGGGATAATCCTATATATTGTAAATTATTATAAATGTTATCTAAAATAATACAAACATTATTAGCAATTTTATGGAATAAATTATCTGAGTACTTTTTTAAAAGATAAATGGAAAGATTAATTAATTGATATAAAAAATTGGTATATTATTTTATTTTTTATTTGTGAAAATTAATAAAAAATTTAGATTACTATTCAAATAATTTTAATTATTTCTTCTGTGAAAAGCTTAAAAGCATGATACTATTAAAATGTGGAGAATAAGATTAAATCAATTATAAAATTAATAAAAATCAAAACTATTTTTTTAATTTTTTTTAAGATGCTTTTAGACTATTTTTTTTGAAAGCATAAAGCTTGTATCTTCTGTATCTTCATTGTGTTTGTAAAAAAAATTATTGTCCATTTATTAGAAACTTATATTTTGCTGAAATTCTTATTTGCCATTTCAATAAAAAATATAATATTGCTTTATTCTATTTTTAAAATAAAAGTGTTTTTCTAATTTTCAAATTAAATTATTTTACTTATTAATTTGCAAAACGAAAGTAAATTTTTTAATCAAAACTTGTTTCTGATAAAAATTTCTATAAATATTTAATATCTTTTAAGAATTTGTATTCCTTTAAATACACTAAAAGTTAAAATAAATCAAAATCAAAAAATGCTTTAATAGTTACCTAGTAGACCTCCTATATCATCTACTTAAGAGATCAGCCAAATATGCAAAAATATTAAACTGCTTACAAATATGTTTGCTATGTAAGTAGAAGCCACCTAGTCTTCTGATTCTGATGGACCTCAAGGCTTTGTTAACAAAGTTGTTTGCTATCAATATGATGTTGTATTCTCTCCTGATATTGCTGAGGACAATAGAAATCTAAGATACAAAATCTTTAAAGAAGCACGCAGGAACATTGAATAACTCATCGGAAAATTCTCCTTTTCAGGAATGTCTCTATTCTCAATGAGAAAACTTAGCTAAGATAAGATTAATAAAATCAAGAATAATATTGATGCAATCATTGTAGACAAACAAAAATACTCTATCCATTTGGTGTTCACAAAAAGCTTTGAAGTAAATGACGAATCTGCTTAAAATTTAGACAAGACCTCTCCAAACTTCAAAAAAGGTAATCAAGTCACTTAGTTGCTCAATATCATCTTAAAGTCTATTATGCGTGATGAGAAATTTTTAGAAATCGGAAAGAATTCTAAGTTCTATGAAGTTAACTCTAAAAGTGACATAATTATCAAAAGTAGAGAAGGTTCTACTAGTGGTCTCGAAGCCTACAAAGGATTCACTTTCAACGTCACTCCAACCTAAGACAAAATTTACTTAATGGTTGACTACTGCAGTAGAATTATCAGAAAAGAAACTGCTTTAGAATACTTAAAGAATAACAACAATTAATTATCTGGTCTCTCAGTAATTACCAAATACAATAATTACCAAACTTACTTAATCGATAAAGTAGATGATAAAAAAACACCTAGTTCTACTTTCCTCAACTCCAAAACTAACATTCAAATTAGCTTCGCCTAATACTACAAGGAACGTTATAATATTTAAATTAGAGACATGAAATAACCCTTGCTTGTTCACAAAAGAAAATACAGAGAGGCTAATACTAATATCTAAAAGGTTGAAGAAGTTTATTTAATTCCTGAATTATGCAATATGACAGGAATGACAGACGAATAACGTGAGAATTTCCAAGCAATGAAGGAAGTTGCTACTCATACTAAGCTTACTCCTTAAGAAAGATATCAAAATTCTATTAATAATTGTAGATTTTTAAGCAAAAAAACAAGTTCAAGTGGAATTAAAATTGATGAAAGAAGCAATTTAATAGATGCTGTTTAATTAAGAACTCCTAAAGTCACTCTAGGAGGTAATAAGACTGCTAATACTGATAGAGGTAATTTTGACATGAGAACTCCTACCTTAGATAAAATCGAGTTTAAGGATTGGTCTCTTATTTATAACCAAAAAGATGAGAAATATGTGGATGATTTCGTAGACACTCTTAAGAAGGCTTCCTAGACATATGGAATAATTGTCAACGATCCTTACTTCTTCGCCGAAAGAGATTCGAATGCTAATAATTGGATTAAATCTCTGGATGAGGACTTTTCCAAAAATGACTTACCTCAATTTGTTTTGAGTTTCGGTCAAGTTAATTCTGGATTTTACTCTAGTTTAAAGAAATTTTTAACTTCAGAAGCAGGAATAGAATCCCAGCATGTTACTCCAAAATCTCTTCAAAAGAACGGAATGAGTGTGGCTTCAAAAATTGCTTTGTAAATTGCCTCTAAGCTTGGTAGAAGAATTTGGTAAGTTGAAACACCTCGTGGAATTGATAAAAATACCATGATTATAGGTATTGAGACCAGCATGAAAAAGGTTAAATAGTAGTAGGTTGTAGGTGTTGTTGCTTCCATCGACAAAGACTTTACCAAATACTTTTCTGATGTTGAAATTAGAAAAGACAATGATACTACTCTCCCTACTCTCTCTAAGATTGTTACCAAAGCCATATAAGCTTATGTTAAAAATACCAAAAGTGTTCCTGCTGAAGTCATTGTTTACAGATAAGGACTTGGTGAAGGTTAAATTCAATAGAGTTTTAACCTTGAAATTAAGGCCATTTAGAATGGTTTTAGTAACTTCAAGAACGATTTCAATCCTCATTTAGCCTTTTTCTAGGTTAATAGAAAAATTGGCCAAAAGTTCTATTAATCGCCTTAAGGTGATAAAGTAGAAGTCTCAAATCCTGCTTCAGGTACTATTGTAGCCTCTTAAGTTGTTTAGAACAACTTCGAATTCTTCATGGCTGCATAACACTGCAATTCTGGTGTTTGTACACCCACTAAATACACCTGTTTGTACAACAACACTAACTTAAAAGAAGATTAAATCTGGTAATTAACTTACTATCAAACTTTCAATTACTATAACTGGCAAGGACCTGTAAGAGTGCCTGCTGCTATGAAGTACGCAGAAAAACTTGCTAAATTCGTAAGTGACACTATCTAAGAAGCAGCCAATGAAAATTTGACTAATAGTCTTTTCTACTTGTGAGAAAACATCAATTAATATTCAATAATCAATCAATTTGTTCAAATAATCTATAATCTAAATCATTTTATTTTATTCATTATTTATTTTTCTCTTAAAATGAAATGAATGACTGATATAGATAAATCTTGTAATTAAATTGATAAAATAATTTAAATTTGCAAATAATTTTCTCTAATATATTTAAATATCTTTTTCATGTATTTGTATTTTTACAATTAATTTAATTACTACTTAAAAAAATTTTTTTTTTTCATTAATTCATATTCCTCTCTAAATATCAAAATATATAATTTATTTTATCTTTCTTGTTTTTTAGATTAATATTTGATAATAATCCCTCTCTTTTTTCTAGTAAAATTTAAATTTTTTTGAAGCATCGAATTTAGTATGATAAAAATTAATTAAAAGAAAAACTAAAATAAATTTGATTTTATTAGAATTAACAATTTTAATAGCTTTTATTAATTAAATAAAAGCTTTAAGGATAGATAAATTCATATTAAAAGTTAAAATCATTAAACTAAATAATTAAAAACTAAAAAAACTAACTGCATTACGCTACACCAAGTCAAACTACACTACAAATTTTTTTTATTTGCATAAACATGTCCTTTCGTTTTATTTAAAAAAATAGAAAAAAATATATATCAAAAAATGAACTAAAGAAATTTTCATCAAAATATTTTTTTTAATTTTAAGAATTTGTTGATTTAAATCAAACAAAGAAATGTAATTTTCCCTTATTTTTCAATATATTAAGAATTTAGTTTAATCTACCATTTGAGGTTTGTAAATATAAACAAATAAATGTCTCTTTCATTTTAAATATTACACTAGTTTATGTCGAATCATTCTACTAAATACTTACTTGTTGCTATCTTAAATAAAACAAACATTTAAAAATACTATATATCTTTTTTTTTTATGAACTGACTTAAAAATACTATTTTATTTTTTTTTTAATAATTAATAGGTATTTTACTTTTATGTTTAATTAATTGAATCAATTAATTATAATAAATAAAAAAAAACTAATTTTATTGATTAAAATTACTTTGAATTTAAAAAGTACGTATTTTGATTGAAGCTTTTTTCTCACTTACTTAATTATTTTGATTTAATCTGTTTCTTCTTTATAAATCACTTAAAATAATAGAAATGTATTGAGTAAAAAATTATTTTACAATTAAAATTAAAACTTAAATTCATAAAAAGACAACAAACATACTTTAGAAAAATTAAATTTTATATATTTATATTTTTAATATTTTTATTTGTATTTACAGCGAATATTTATTTATAATCAACCTTGGAATTTATTTATTTATTTGTTTATTTTTATATTATGAAATTCTTACTATTTTAATAATTAAGTAAGATTGATAGTGGAAAATTTTAACACAATCAAAATATTTGAGTGCCAGAAATAAAAAATTAAAAAATATTTTATTCTTTCATTTTTTGTTTGACCCCATATTGGATTGTACTCTATTAAGGGCTTCTTCATATTTAGCTTTGAGAATAACAAGCTCTTCAAGCTTGCAATCTAATTCTTGGTTAGTTTATAAAATTTCATTTTAATATTTGAAAGCTTAGCTTGATAGTAAATCATATTTATCAGATTAGCTTTAGTTTCTATAGTGACTGCTATTATTGTTTGTAAATGTACTGATGTTATTATTTTGTTAAGAGGGGTTTTAGAACTTATCTTATATTGCTGGAGAGATGTTGCTTTAATTCAGAGGATTATAATTCATTGAAGATCCATTGTTATTGTTATTTTGTTATTTAGTAGAAACAGCTGATGATTTAGAAGGAGTTTGTTTCATGGCTTTAAGCTTTTCTTAAGTAGGGCTTGAAGATCTTCCTTAAACTTCAGAGTCTTTCATGTTTTTGTATGGGGATTAGAAATATGGTAAGTGATTTTCAACTTCGTTTGAATTACTGCTATTGACAAAGGCGTTATTACTGTGTCTAGTTGAATCAAATCTTTCGTCTATCATTTAAAGGCACTACTCAAATTACTCACAATCGTTAGAAAATCTATTTTATATTTCTCTAATAAAGCTCTACTTATATTCATCAAATTATTAACGAAGAGCTTTAGTTTCCTTCTTTAGTTCTCTATATTTATTCTTCCACACTTCTAATTCATTAGCCTTTTACTTTAAGATACGCATTTCTTCAGCCATTAGCTTGTTATCTTCAAAAAGTTCTTTGTTTTTAATCAATTCATCATTTAATTCATTCTCTTTTTTAATTATTCTTTCAGTTAATGCTTCACATTTGATTTCATTGTCTTTGATAATCTTCTATTAAGTGCTTTTACAAGTATAAAAAATTTATTTATTTACTATGAAATATTTTTTTTTAATTTAAAAATAAATTCCTATTTTAAATTTGTTGAAGCTAATCACTTGCTTAAAAAATAATTTAAAATCTAAGAAATATTTTACTTTAAGTTTTATTGTCTCTCAAGATTAATTTGGTTTTAAATAGAATCTCTATCTTGTTCTAATTCTTGAATTAGTTGCTGATTGTGCTAAATTTCTTATTATAATCTTTCGATTTCGCTGTGCATTTACTCATTTTCTTTTTAGAGGGGAGTTATAGCATTTGTAAATTAATCATTAAAATCTCTTCTGGATTTTTTAATTTTTTCATCGTGGTCTTCTCTTTGCTAGTTGATTTCGCTTCTAAGCTATTGTATTTCACTCATTTAATCTTAAATTTGAGATAATAGATTTTCCTTTTCTTTAGATAAAATATTAACTTTTGTGTCTTTGTCTCTCACTGAGCCTTGTAGTTAGTCAATTACAGTTTGTTAGTCAATAATTGCAGATTAAATTGAGCTAAGTTTCATTTTGGCTTGTTAGGTTTTGCTTTGGTTTAAAGCTCCATTAGATCTTTTCAAGTTTTAAGAATTCTTCAACTCCTCACCATTAAAGCTCATTTCCCCACTCATTCTTCCTCTAGATTTCTACAAGTAATTAGAGTTACGAATATTTGAGTTGCTAATTGAATCTAAATATTATCAAATAAAATTTATAATTATAAAATAAATTAATTTCATCAAATAAACTCAATTTATTTTATTTTTCATCAAATAGAATTTACTTACATTAAAAATTTTAGTATTTTTATTTATTATTTAAAAAATATTTTATTTGGGAGTAAATTATTGTTTGTAATCAATTTCAATTAAAATTAATTTAATTTTCGTTTGATTTTAAGTTTTTAATAATTTTAATTGATTTTGATGAATTTTAATAAATTCAATTGGGTATCTATTTATTTACCTGCTATGCTATTAACTTTTTCAAGTTCATTTTATAAATCTTCGTTCTCATTTTGAAGGTCTCTAAGCTGATTAACTATTTCGTTGCTCTTCTCTAAATTTTCTTGATACATTTTGGTTAACTACATATGCTTTTAATCACTTCTGTTTTATTAGTCATCTTTTTATTGAATTATAGAAATCAATTTCTTGTTTTCTAACTCAAGGATACTAACTTAATCTTTGAGTTAAGGAATGATCATTAACTACTTAACTAGATCGTCGTTTTATTGACTCTTTGAGTCTATTTTACTTTTAAGGTCACTCAATTCCATAGCTTGGTATCTATTGCGATTATCAAGCTCAAGAGCTTGCTTTTTTGCATTAAGCATTTCTAGCTCTATCTTATTCATTTCTCCAACTCTTCTTTCTAAGGCCCTTTGTATTTAAATAATTTATTTAAAATTGAAACAAAACAAATAAATAAAATAATTATATGTTTACTTAATTTTTTCTGCAGAGATCATAAGCTCATTATTAACATTAGAAATAATGCTATTTAGCTTATTTATTTCGACTTGGTAATTATTGAATTGGTTTTACACGTCACTTCTAAGCTTAGAAACTCTTGTTGGTGAGTAGTTTGTTCCTGGGGGAGGAGTTGAGGCGATGGCTTTAATTAGAGAGCATTTTTCTTTCCATTACTAAAGTTCTACCTAAACTAGCTCAAAGTTTTTCCTCATTACATCCATTTCATGGCCTAATTATTTAAGATTCTCATTATTAATTGATAAAAGATAAATTTTTTAATACCAAGGAGACAAACTTGATCTAAAGCCTAATTAAAGCGAGTGGGAGCGGATCCATTAATGCTATAGAGAGTCTGAGCTGTTGAAGGAGTAGCTATATGAACATTTGTAGTCCTTGGAGGTGTGATCTGAATATAAGAGTTGTTTGGGAACACACTGACTGGCTTGGAATAAGATTGCATTTAAATCGAGTTTTTTTAAGGAGAAATAACTGGCGAATAAGAACGATTTCTCATAGGAGATGTATCTTGAGTTGTATTCATTTAATTTTGTTGTTGTTGTTGCGCTTTTGTAAAATTGGATATCAGATTTAGTGAAAAATTTGTAGACTACAATAAAATAACTAGCTTATTGAGAAAGACTTTATTTTCTATCTATTTATACTTAACTCTTTATTAAAATATATTTTTGATTTTCTTTTTAATAAGGTTTGTTTGCTATTGCTTTTATTTTTTATACTAATAAATTATTAAGAGAATTTATTGGCTTTTTAAAGCCACTAATTAAAAAGAGCTTGGCTATGATTTGCCGAAAAAAGACTAATCAAAAGTAATTAATTATAATTAATTGTGTTTGCTTGATAATTATAAATAGAAGTTTATTATTCTTTATAATTTGATAATTAATTAATTTTTATTTTATTTCTTTAGATATCCTTTATTTCGATAATTTTTATTTTCATTAACTATCATTTATTTATCTAAATTTGCTATAATCAGCCATCACCACCATCACCTAATTCAAATTTGATTCTTAAATAATTTAGTGATTGCTCAACAACTATATATTTATTATATATAAACTCTTATAAGATATATTATCACAATTATTTTGAATGTTCAATTTAAAGAAAATATTAACACATTTTTAAGTTCATTTTCGCTCTTTTTCTTCAATATATTTTTTTTTAATTTCTTTTCTTATTACTATCACTAATCTTAAATTACTTGTTATGATAAACTTATCACATAATTTAAAATTGATTCTTAAATAATTTAGTGATTGATCAACAGCTATATAAATCTAATTAATATAATTAAGATTCATCTATTGTTTGTTTATTTATTACAGAAAATGCTAACCAATTTTTATGAATATTTTATTTTATAACCCAAATAAATTATTTTATTTTTAAAAAATATTTAAAAAATTTATTATAATCATATCATAATTCTAATAATAAAAAATTAACAATTTCATTTTTGTTGTTGATGTATAAAATTTGCTTTTAATTGGATTTCTTAATACATACTTTTTTTTTAATGTTCAAAAATAATTTATTAATAAATTAATTTTATAAATAATTATCATTGAATAGTTTAAGAAAAAAATGTTTATCTAAAAAAAATAGCAAAGTATGAATAAAATAAATACAATTAAAAAATTTTATTTAAAATGAAATAAACTCTTCAAATAAATTCGATTTGATCATGCTAATTGAAAAGGCAGAAGCCAGGACAAAACTGTTTTCCTTCTTCAAATTAAAAGTCCATTAGAAAAGAGTCATTTATTGTGAGATTTTCAAATAAAATATGTTCATATTATATGGTTATTTTTATAATATCATTGGTCTTAAAGAAAAAAGATATCTTTTTCTTATTTTAGTTTTCTGATAGCAAAGACCAAGCATAACCATTTTGAGATATAGTATAACAAAATTTATCACTAAACAAGCCAGTGAATTTATAGATCTTTTAAAGAAGTTAGTTTTTATCTACAATACCTATTCCAATCCAGTTTTAGAGGTTATTTATTTTTATAGTGAATGAATCTCCAACATGCTCTTATGTAATGGGTACATCTATAAAGGCAAAATTGTATCCATTCATTTGATTCACTTTATAACCTTCTATCTTGAAATCTTATTGATTTGATAGCACTTACTTTTGCTTAAGTTTAAGTTTAATTTTTTCATTCAAGGGCATTTTTATTGTATCTATATGTTATTTTAAGATTTTGGTTAACGATTCTATGATCTACATTTACTGCTAAATTAACTTTTACTTTTACCCTTTTTCTAGATTTTTAGGTAATTCTTATAAGTAAGATTCGTAATTGCTATTCAAATCTGTAATATATTATTAGAACTCCCCATCTAGTAATTATATTTTTTAATTAAATCGGCTAGAAACAATAAAATCTGTAAAGGATTTATAAGTGTCTAATTTTTTTCCCTGGCTGATAAAGAAATTATCCAAAGTATTGTGAATGCCTTCAAAAAACAAATCAAATTAATTTAAATCAATTTTCTTTTTCTGCTGCTCATATTAATTAATAAGTTATTCTATTACTCGAGAGTTTACATCTGTTTTTTCTTTTGCATTTTAAATTATTTTTTTCAGCTCTTCTGTTTAACTGGCACTATATTTCTTAATAACTTCTTTTAATTTATCTCTTTCAATGAGTTCATTATAAACCTTCATCAAATCTTGTATATTTATCTCTGAAGCGATTTGGAGAAACTTCTTCTCTATTTATTAAATCTTTTATATTAGATTTTCTTTTATTTTTGAAAAATATTCTGTTATCTATTATAGATTTGTCTAAGACTCAAAGTAATTTATGTAAATTTCATCGCATATTTAAGCAAATTAGTCAATTAAATTTTAATTTGTTACAGGCGGCCAATTTGCTATCATATTATAAGGATCATCAGAATTAATTTCTTCAATAAAAAGTACTCTGACATTTTCATTATATCTTGATAAAGCACAATACTGGCAAACAGCCTAAGCATCAATTTTCTTTAAATCTAACTTCAAAAAAGTAGCTTTTTTGTAAAAGTGTTATGAACATTAAATCAGATCTTATTTCTGCTCAATTTCTTGCATTTTTAAATGTATACTTTTTCTGCTTCAAATGTTTTTGATAATTATTTTTAGTTATTAATTTTTCAGATATTTTTATACTTTTTTAAGTAATTTTATGAGTTTAAACAATTTTATTTAATTAATTATTTTATTTTTACATAATAAAAATTAAAATAGGAATGATAATTTAAATTTTTTACCTTTACTAATAAAATAGATTTCAAGCGATATATAAATTTAATTTTGAAGAAAGGATGAATCATAAAAAACATCTACCTTCTTACCACATTATTAAAAAATAATTAACATTAAAATAATTATATTTAAAAGCAAACAGTGTTTGAATAATAACGAACTTTAATAGTAATTCGATAAAGAAAAAATTATTTTTAAAATAATTACTTAATTCTTATTATTTAAAATCATTCATTTTCTGATGATTAAAAAAATAAATTTAATATAAAAAGTAAAATTTTTAATAAAAATTAAAAAAATTTTATTAATAAAAATGAATAATAAAATAATTTTGATTAACAAAATAAATAAATAAATTTATTAATATAAATAGTCAACATATCTTTAGTTTCAAAATGAATTTTTAATTTTTAAATTAAATAATTTAAATCATAATTCAATTAATTTTAATGGGTCTTAGCTTTCTTGGTTATCTTTAAATTAAATTATATATTTTACTAAGTTTCTTAATTTTTTAAAGTTTTTACGATTCCTTTCTTGTATTTTTTCTTACTAAAATTATGGCAAATACCTGAGTATACAAGAAAGCCAAGAGTTATTTTAAATTTTAGATATCATAGTCTCTGCAGAAGATACTATTATAAGTAGGCAATTATATATGATAAATAATAATGCAGAAAGTAAACAACAGCACAAAAATACAGTTGGAAAGTATTATATGAAACTATTTACAGAATTTGTTTAGCCCTAAAAAATAATAGTTGAAATGAATGTTATGAGCACAATTAAGACACTTATCATTTCCATTTTATTAAGCTATGTTCTCTAAAAAGGCTAATATTTCTATAAGCAAAATAAATAGAAAATTAAAACCATAATATATGAGCTATTCATTAGTTCTTTGCTCTAAAAGAATATTTTTTATATAATTAGAAAGGACACTTTTATTGAAAAACGCACTATTTCCCAGAAGCAAAAGTCTTTTTTATATTCTTAGTATAAAAATCCAAATTGGAAAAGAGCCTTAATTGAGTATAACTTATTTTTGTTTTTGTATAGATTATATATTATATAAAATGGAACAAGAATAGAATAAAACACTAAACCCGATATTGCATATTCATAGTATTCATAATCCTAGCCGCAAGGAGCAGTTAAATCTATTTGAAGGGCTTTTTCACCATTTCCAAAGGTTCTGCATGTTATAGAATCTAGACATACACTTAGAATTGGATTGTAAAAAACTATAAATAATGTATAAATTATCGTTAATGAAATATTATATTTTAAAAATCTTCTGCTTGATTTTTTTAATAGGAATCGTAGAAAAGGAAATAAAAGTGCAATAGGGATGATAATTAAAGGCATAATCAAGTAGAATTTCAATCTAATTATTCCATAATGGTCTCTGTTTGGAAATAAGTCGTATAGGGCACAATTAATAGAAGCAAAACTCGTTGATAAAGGACTTGAATATTAAATAGATTTTTCTACAAATGTATTTTTCAAGCTTAGTTCTAATTAATTTTAAATAAAAAGCAACAGAGAAGTGTTGAATGATAACACTTTTATATAAACAGAAGTAAGACCAAATTTTGTAAAGCTTGTTCCAATGTAAATCATTTGCATTTTAATTAAATACTATTGATAAACATAATTTTATATTTTTTTAAAATTACTATGAATCAATACAAATAGAACAATAATAAATAAAGCCATTGATACCCAAATCTTAATAGCATTTAATTATATTTCATCACATTTTACACAAGAAAACAGATTTATTGCTGTATAAGTAGCGTTCCAGTATGAAGATGTTTCATCGCATGCTGAACATTCATTTCCTATTCTTCCTTCAAAACAAAGTTAGTTTCCATATCCACTGCCTCCAAGGCACTATTATTAGTTTGTGCTTTAACATTTATATATTTAAGTTTAATCTATCTAAAGCGATGATCTCCAGTAACCCTTGTTAAGCTCAGAGTAGTTTAAGTAGCATTTAGAAAATATTTAGCTATCGCAATGCTGGCATTCGAAAGAATTATTTCTATAATTTGCAGACATAGATTCACAATATTGACACAGATATTTTGTATTATCCAAAGAATTAAAATAGATCTTTTATTGACCTTCAATACATTCAGATGTTTAAAATAAAATATCATTTTCTATTAAAGGGATGGTGAAGATAAAGGATAATTTGTATTTATTTATTGTTGAATGAGGTTAGAATAAAATATAAGAATAATCTTTGCTCAATTCTCTCAAATCAAGTTCGTAATTTAAGTATTAGTTTGCATCTTGAGGTTACACCTTGTCTTTATTTAATAGATAAAAGTCATACAAATTTCCTTTGATTATATTATTAAGAGAAGTAAAGTTTGTTGTTTTTATATTGCCATAACTATTCTAAAATAGGGCTAATTCAATTATAATTATATAGATAGATCCTGGAATTAATTTCATTAATTTACTAAGAGGTAAATTCCTGATCATGTATTATTACTAATAGTAATTAGGAATATACTCTACCACTTCTCTTATTCTGAATTTAGGAGTGTAATCAAATACATCATTATCTAAGAAAGTAGAAGTATTGTTCTTAAAAAACACATTTTGCAAAGTTCTATTTTGGCCTTAACTCTCTATTGAAATACCTCCACCTAATAGAGCTGAATTATTTTACATATTTAAGTTGCTAAAATAAACTTCTAAATAATTATTTATAGAAACAGCTCCACCAAATTTATTACTTATGCAGTTAGTGAAGTTAGATGAAGAAATATTTAAATAGGTTAGTATGTAAAATCTTAAGCAACCTCCGTTTTGATGAGATTTCATATTTGAAAAATTGCTATTTTTAATGTCCAATTTTCTACCTGAATAATATACAGAAAGAAACCTAGAATCAAAACCTCCAAAATCTGCTTAAATATAATCAATTATTAAATTATTTTGGTTTTTATTCTATTATTAATTAGTAAACCCATATACACTAATTAGAGATCTCGCTCCATCAAATCTATCATAAGCGACTAACCATTCTTTTTTTTCTTTAATGTAATTACCTTAGCCTTAACTGAGTGGTTAAAAATAATTGAAAAGGAGAGAGTCTTATTTGAGCAAGAATTGTGAATTTTATATTTTAACAATATTTATTGTATCTAAATCAATCAAATTAGTTTAAAAGAAGCAATTATCAATTTAAAAATTATTTAAAGTTATGCTATCAGCAATCTAAACAGATATAAGATTTGATTCAAAAATAGTATCTTTAATATTAAGAGAGTCAATAACAATATTATTTATACTCTAAAGTCTGATAAGATTCTTTTAAATTTTATAATTAAAGGATGTAAAATGAATATTACTAATTTTTAAATTAATTGCGCTTTCAATATAAATTATTGAATTTGAATACATATCGTCACTACCCATATTACTGCTGAGTGCTGCTAAATCTAACTACTAAATAGTTACATTTGGTATGTCAACAATATTTAAAGAAAATTAGATTTACTTCTAATCAAATTTTATATGACCCAAATTTAAATTATCAATCAATAAACCAATGTTGATTGCTAAACTTTGCAAAGAATCAGTTTCTTAATGCATTAATTGGATGATTTTAATTTAAAAATTTTCATTTTTTATACTTAAATCTTATTTTAAACTCTATGGAGTATCAAAGTAAATACTTTTTGCGTCTATGTTAATTGTATCTATTTAAACATTTTTACTAAAAATGCATGTATTGCTAGTTATTTTGCTCTACATAAAAATATTTTTCACTTCAATTAATTCATTCGAAATTATGTTTCCTTATGCATTTTCTACTAAGTACAAAGTATCAATCTAAATATCATGCTTACTCAATAGATCTATCGAGGATTAGAAGACATGCTTGCTTTCAAGATAAAGATAATTTACTTTGATTTATTTGCTATCAAAATGAATATTATTTGATTAGATGCTTAATAGTCTATTAATATTTATTTAATCTTCAGAAAAAATATTAATGATCTTATTTTTGTTGCTAACTGAGCAATTTTTGATTTCAATATTATTAATATTTATAATTTTTGTAGTTAAAAATTCAATCATAGTATTATTAAAACTTATAATATCATTTAATGTAATTTTATTTATTGATAAAGTTTCTATTTATTAAATAACTAACGTTTTATTCACTTGACATTGATTAAATTCCAAATTTAATTAGGATTCATTTTCTAATCTTAGCTAAATATAAAAATCGTTTATTGAATACTAAACTCTTTAGATTTCAAGAGATTTTATAATTTAATCATCACAAGATTAAAAAATGCTCATTTGACTTTATTCTTCATCTGATTTCGCATAAGTTTATATTATAAATATAAGAAATACCACCATAAATTAACATATTTTTGTCATTATTTGATAATTAATAATTTTATCTTGAATTTGCTTTTTGTTTCTCTCTTTTTGTGTTTGTTTTTTGCTTTAAAAATTATTAGGAGATCGAATATTAATCTTAACTAAGATTTTTCTTTTTTGTTTAAAAGAATTAAATGTCTACTAAGTTTTATAAAAAAAAACAAAAAACATTAAAAATCATTATAAATATTAAATAGTTCTCCAAAAGTTTTAGAATATTACAACACTCAGTTCATAATGAATTTTTGTTTTAAATTAAATTATTTGTGATAAAAATTTACATTTTGGAAAAAAATCTTTAAAACTCAATCAAGATGGATGGGTCAAAAACATTCTTAAAATAAAAATATAAAATGAAAAAGGCTTTCAAATATTTTATGAGAGGATTTAATTTAATAAAATACAACATTTTTTAAAAACATAATAATTTTATATTTAACATTTAAATCTACATTTATTTTATTTTTTCTTTTTATCCACTAATAAATAATTAAATTTCCATTAATTTCTTTTCATAATTTTTGAATAAAAAAATAAATGATAAAATAGATTAAGTATTACAAGGAATTACAAGAAGTAATTATTTATTTTTTATCAATATACTTTAAATTTATTTTTATTAATATAAAAAGTTTTTAAACTCTTCACTATACTCATTAGGTTCTCCATATAAATCTGAGGTATATTTAATTTATAAATATTATTACTATTAATACTTTCCAAACATTTAAATTACAATTTATTTATAATATTATTTTTCTAATAGAAATTCTCACATATATTCTTTCACTCATTTTATTAATACAAATATTTTTTTAGATATTTTAACTTAATTTACATTTAAAATTTTTTAATTCATTATTGATTTTTTATTATTTGATATTTTTTATTCGTTTTTTTTTCTAATACTTTTACTAGATAAAAACAATTTATGTGTTTTGGATTGTGATATTTTTAGTTATTTTTATAAATTTAAATCAAGATATTTAAAACATTTAATTTTTTTATTAGCTTATTGTTTGATTTATTTTTCTTTGCCTTTTTAATAAATACTACTTGTGTTTTTTTTTCTATATTTCTTAATTTAACTCATTTTTTGTTTAAAAATTTTGCTTTTATTGTTATAAATTAATTTCTTATTATTTCATATTATTTCTTCATTTTTTCCTTCTACTAACTAATTCATTATATATTTTTTCTTCAATATTTAAAAAGTTAAGATTTGATTGGTGATGAAAGTATGTCAGACTTAATTTCTGCTTTAGTAAATTGCACTAATCTCTCAAATTTGACACTTGATCTTAGAAAAATTATGATAATTTACTTTTTAAATATTTTAATTAAAATTTTTTTTTTAAAATTTTTAATATGTTGTTTGTAAATTACAAATTGCGAGTTACAAGTTAAAAGTTATTACAGTAATACATAAATAAACCAATTATTCTAATATTTTTTATTTATTTTTTTTGTTATCTTTATTCATATTTTTAATTTTCGAAAAAAATTTTTTATCTTCTTATAATTTTGTTTTAATAATGAAGATTCATATAATTAAAACTTATCTCTCTACCATAAATATAATATATTATTCGAAAAAAAAGAAATATTCTCTCAATTAGTGGTACTTATTTTACTGATTATCTCTTATTAAAATACTATGAAATTAAAATAAGCTCTTTGAATAAATAAAATGGTATTTAGTTTGTAAAATATTTTTTTAATAAATTAATTATTAAAAAATAATTTAAAAAATAAATTATTTTATTATTTAATTGCATTTTATTTTTGTTACTTTTTAAATTTAAAGTTCAATAACTGTAAGTTGAAAATCCTTTAGTAGAATTCTTATAATATTAATTTACTAGATGAGAGATAAAAGATTCTAATTATGAATAATATTGTTTGAATTACTTCCTTAAAAAAATTATTTTTTAAGTTTTAAATATTTATAAGCTTAATTAATCAAAATAAATTAATATTTTAAATTTATTTTATAAACTATTTTGAATTATTTTGTAAAAAAATGAAAGCCTACTTTATTCTAACTAATATTTTTTATTTCTTACATTTATTACCTATTATTTGTTATTTAATTTAATTTATTTATTTATTGTATTTTAAATTTCTATTTTTTAATCCTTATTTATAACAATTTTTGTATTCATATTCAATTTAACTTATTTTTTTCAAGTCGCCTAATATAGGTATGCAAAAAAAGTTTTGAGAAATTTTATTGTAAAAAATATTTTTTTTTTAAAGAAATGACAAAATTTTATAAAGTAGTTTATTTATAATAAATTATAAAATTTTTGAATTGCTAAAAGCACAAAATCAGCATCTTAAGATTTTTATGATAATAGAAAAATGAAATCATGATTAACATTCGAATTTTCTTTAATAAAATTTTTCATTTATTTCAAAATGTGTTTCTTCTATTTATATTTTTATTTAATCTAAAAAAAATATATAATGTTTTCTTTCTATTAGTTAAAAAAAATAAAAATTGTCTTTTGATTCCATACCTAAATTTTTTATTTTGGCAATATATTTTCTTCACTTAGTAAAGATACTTTATCTATACTTTTAATATATCAAATAATCATTAAAAAGAATATATAAATAGATTAATATTGATTATATAAAATATTCATATTAAAAATACATTTTTAGTATTTATGATTGGCTAAATTATTGATTTGAATTGTATCATTTAATATTTGCATATGTATTTTCTATGAGATAGAAAGAAAGAAAAAAATTCAGGCAATAAATAAACTTGTTTGATTAATTTAATTTATCTTACATCATTTAATTCATCCAATAAATTCCACACTATGATATATTTATTAGTTACTGAATATAAAAATAAATTCTTTTTATGAAAATAAGAACAAGCTATTTTTTACAAAAATCATTAATTGAATACTACTAACTATATTCTTAAATTATTTATATGTTTATTATTTGAAAGTAAAATTTAAAAATATGAATACTTTATATTTTAACAAAATTAATCTTCTTAATTACTTCTAATTACTTTTTTGACCAGGATTAATATACTTATAGAATTATTACCTAAATTAAATTGTCTATCTTTTTTTCTACCTCAAATTAAAATAGTCAATATTAATATTCAAAAACATTGTAATTAACATATTGAATTTTTTTAAAAATTTATATTAATACAGTAATGAATATTTGAAATACAAAAATAGAAATTTATTTTAACAAGTTTTATATAAATTTGTAAATTAAATAATAAGTTCTTTATCTAAAATTTTTCTAGAAAAACAAGCATATTTGAAATTGCTATTTCAAGTATAAATTAAATGAAAAATATATTTTAATATTTTGCATGATATTAATGAAGAATAGTGTAACAAATTATTTTAATTTATAAAACATAAGTAACGCCTAGATGAAATAAAGACGTGAATGGGATGAGCAAATATTTTTGATTCATCAAAATTATTAACCCAATAAAAAAATAAATCTAAATTTTAAATCGATATTAATTAATTTAAAACCATTAGAAATTCATTAAAAAATCATTGATTTCAGATTTGATTACGTATTATTACAATTAAACATAACACTATATATATTTATACGTGTAAATTCCTTTGTTTAATATATTCATAAAACGTAAACTAAAAATAGGTTTATATGATTAATTTATGAATTAAAAAAATTCAAAAATCTATCAGAGATACTCTCTTACTTAGTTCATTATTTTTAAAAACTATTGAAAAATGGTTTCAAACACTCTTTTAAAGAAATTCTTCTTGCTTATTTTTAAAGCTATAAAAACCTTATAATTTTTAACTATTATAAAACATTATTGAATACTATTTTATATCTTAATGAACACAATAAAAATTATTAAAAAAATGAAATTTAGCTTGAATGCTTCCAAGATATTTTATTTTTTCAGATAGAATTTCTAGAACCTCGATAACTCATTTGTACTTTTGAAAATAAAAAAGAAATGAAATCTTAAAAACAAAAACATTTTTTATTTTGTATAATTTGCATTAAAAAAATTCAATTTATGGCATTTTTTGAAAATATTTAAAATCTTATTCATTATTATAAAAAAATGAAAATAAATTTAGAATCCCAGAATATAGTTTTTAATACATTAATTTTCAAATTTGGTAAAAGAAATATTGCTTTTAATAAAAGCGAAATAAATCCAAATTTTCAAAAAAAGTCAGGCTAATAATTAATTACCTGTAAAAATCATCGAATCATTTTTTCTTGAAATCAGGTTAATAAAACAAAAAGAATTCACTCTAAAAATGAATCACTCCATTATATATTGTAAGATTAATTCTTTTCGCATATTGTATGTAATATTTGAAAGTCTTTACTGATAACATATTTAAATTTTTAACTAAAATAAAATAAATTTTTGTTAAAACCATTTATGCAATTTTTAAAATTAATTTATATCTTATATAATAAGCATTTTGAGTAAATAAATATACTACTTATTCTAATTATAGCTAGAAATAATTAAATAATAGATAAAATTACACAAATAAATATTAAATCCATTATTCAAATTAATTCATGTAATATATATATTAATTAGTCAATTTGTAACTTCTTAAATGTTATTCACTAATTTAATCAGTAACTTTAAATATTGCGATTTTATTTTTGAAATTATAGTTATAAGATTTTTATTTTTTGGAGTATTTTTATCTTAATATAAGGAATGATATTAGTTTTCAAATCCAAAGCAAAAAAGGTTGTTAGTCAGTCAAAAAACCCTATTTTTTGTCAATTTTTTTATTGAAAGTAAATTTTTCCATTTAAAATGTTTTAAAAAGGTTCTCTTATTTATTAGATGCGAATATTTAATAGCCAATAAGAATATAGAAAAAGTCATTATCTTTAAATTAATTTACTAATACTTTTATATATAGTAATAGTCAATAAGCAAAGTAATCATTAAAGAAAATATCTAACTAAATCCCACTTGATTTGAAATTTTACTATTTTTGAAAATATATCTAAAAATAGAAATAAACAGGGAATTAGATACTCAATTAATTAAAATAAATCGACCATTTTAAGAAGTGATTGGCACTCAAATACTTATAAATAATTAATTAATAAACTAATTTATAAATTATAACTAATTAAATTACTAAGACTTAAATATTAGTAAATGAATAAAAAACTTTTTGCTTTCATAGCAGTGTTATGCTTCTTAGATGTTGCTCTCGCTGCTCCATGTGCTGCTTGTACCTATAGCGGTACTGGTGACGACACAGGTGGTCTATGTACCCTCTGCCCTGCTGGATAATGTACACCTGGAACTGGAACTACTGGAGACAGTGATAGTGTATGTACCACTAAAGCATGTCCTTAAGGAAAATTTAGTTCAACAGGTTTTGATACAGACGGAGCTGGAGCTGGATGTACTGCTTGTACTGCAGGTACAACAACTCCGGGTACTTAAACTGTAGGAACAGCTTAATCTGTTTGCACTCTTAAGGCCTGTGCTAAAGGTAGCTTTTCTGCCTCAGGATTTGATACAGACGGAGCTGGAACTGGATGTACTGCTTGTACTGCCGGTACAACAACTCCTAATACTTAAACTGTAGGAACAGCTTAATCTGTTTGTACTGTTACTTTTAAGGCCTGTGCTAAAGGTAGCTTTTCTGCCTCAGGATTAGATACAGATGGAGCTGGAACTGGATGCACTGCTTGTACTGCCGGAACATCAACTCCTAGCACTTAAACTGTAGGAACAGATTAATCTGTCTGTACTCTTAAGGCTTGTACTGCTGGATCATATAGTGCTTCAGGTTTTGATACAGACGGTAATGGAGCAGGTTGTACTCAATGTGCTGCTAATACTTACTCTGCTTAAAGTGCTACTTCTTGCACTTCTTGCACTAATAATCGTACCTCTCCAGCTGGATCTACTGCTGTCACTGCTTGTGTATGCCCATCAGGAACAACTGGTTCTACAGATGGTGTTAGTACATGTTCTGATAATACTACTAGTGGTTAAAAAATCACTGTCTTTGTATCTCTCATTTTTATTTTAATGTCTTTATTCTGAAACTAAAAGAAATAAACTATACTTTAAAATTTTTAGTATGATTCGTGTTTACACATGTGTTGTTACTGATTTTAATTCTTAAGTTTATTTTCAAAAGAAGATATTTTAAAAGAAATAAATCATGAAACCTAATTTTTATTGCTGATATGCAAGCTTAGACGATTTATTCCATAATTTTTCTATTTAAAAAATTGTTAAATCAAATAGTTTTATGCACAATATTTATCAAATATTTATGAAGTTGTATAATTTATCAAAATATCAAATAATTGGATAAGTGTTTTTATCTTTTAATTTATTTGCCAAGTTTGAAACCCATTCCAAAACCTATTTTTAATTCCATTTATTTATACTTATAATAAACTTTTAATCTATTCAAATATTTATAGACAAGTAACTAAATAAAATTATCTAAAATAGCAATCCTGTAAAGAAATACGTACGTATTAGAAGGTAATATAAAACATTCTACAAAATGTTTTTTATTTTTATTTTTATTAAGAATATTAATTGCTAAAATTTTTTCAATATATGAGTGATTAACTACCCTTCTCTATTTCCTAAATATATATTTTCAACTACTTATTTTAAATAAAAATATTATGATTAAATATGAATGTTAAGTTACACTAATCTTTTTGTGAAATCTCTTACTAAAATCAAATTTATAAATTCATATAATTTATTTTTTCTTTTTATCCACTTATAATTAATTAATTAAATTTCATTAATTGCTTTTCAATATTTTTGAAGGAAAAAAAAAATGATATAATAGTATAAATATTACAACGAATTAGAAGAAGTAATTATATATTTTTTTATCAATTAACTTTAAATTTATTTTTATTAATATAAAAAGTTTTAAAAGTCTTCACTTTAATCTCATTAATTTGTCCATATTAATCTGAGGTATATTTAATTTATAAATATTATTATTATTATTAGCATTTTCTATTCATTTAACTTATAATTTATCAGTAATATTATTCTAATAGAAACTTTCACCTCTTTTCTTTCATTCCTTTTATTTATACAAGAATTTTTTTAGTCATATTAACTTAATTTTTACTTTTAATTTTTAAATTCATCATCCATTTTTTATTATTTTATATTTTTTATTCTAACACTTTTGCTAAGTTTATGTGTTTTGGATTATGATATTTTTAGTTATATATGTTAATTTAAATCAATATATTTATTTATACTTTTTTAACTAGTTTATTAACTTTTTTTTGATTTATTTTTCTTATTATTTCATTTTTCCTTCTTCTAACTAATTAATTATTTTTTTTTTCTTTAATATTTAAAAGTTATCATTAAATTGGTGATAATGGTGTTTCTGACTTAGGTATTACTTTAGCAAATTGCACTAATCTCTCAAATTTGACACTTGAGCTTGAGTAAAAACAGTTTGTTTGTTTTGGATTGTGAAATTTTTAGTTATATTTATGAATTTAAAACATTGCTTTTAAACTCTTTTAATTTGATTTATTTTCTTTTTCTTTAAAATTGTAGTTGTATTTTTTTTAATCTTTTTTAATTTAACTTTTATTTTTATTTTTAAATTTTACTTTTATTATTAGTAATTAATTAATTTCTTATTATTTCATTTTTTTCTTTTTACTCACTAATTATAAATTAATTAAATATTTTTTCTTCAATATTTAAAAAGTGGCAATTAAATTGGTGCTATAGGTGCATCAGAATTAGGTTTGGCTTTAGCAAATTGCATTAATCTCTCAAATTTGAAACTTTATCTCCGGTAAGAAAATGTATTTGTATTGGATTGTGATATTTTTAATAAAAAAAATAAAATAAAACATATAAATCTTTTAATTTTTTTATTAATTTTTTATTTGATTTATTTTTTTTACCATTTTTATTGAATTTGTGTTTTTTTTTTTTATCTTTCATAATTTAACTCATTTTTTATTTTAAAATTTTACTTCTATCATTATAAAAAGTGAGAATTAAATAGGTCATGAAGGTTCATCAGGCTTAGTTTCTGCTTTAGCAAACTGCACTAATCTCTCAAATTTGATACTTAATCTTTTGTAAAAAAAATAATTTGTTTTAGATCGTGATATTTTTAGTTATAAAAATGAATTTAAAATAATATATTTAAACTATTTAAATTTATTTATTTACTTTTTATTTGATTTATTTTTATTTTTCTTTATTATTTTACTTGTTTTTTTTTAGCTTTCTTAATTTAACTTATTTTTTTTTTTCAAATTTTGTTTTTATTATTAATTAATTTATTTTTTATTATTTCATAATTTTTCTTAATTTTTTCCTATTTACTAAGTAATTAATTAATTATTTCAATATTTAAAAAGTAGCAATTAAATTGGTGCAATGGGGGCATAAGGCTTAGGTTCTGCTTTAGCAAATTGCACTAATCTCTCCAATTTGGAACTTTATCTTGGGTAAAAAAATTTACTTGTTTTGAATCGTGATATTTTTAGTTAAGAAAATGAATTTTAAACAATATACAGTAAACTCTCTCAAGATGGGCACTCAAGAGACCAAGATTTTTGGTTAACATATTGAGTTTTAATGCCCAACGTATTGAGAGTGTTCAACATACTCAGGACTAAAATAGTGAGTTTTTACTGTATATAAACTCTTTTAATTTGTTTATTAGTATTTTATTTGGATTATTTTACTTAATTTTATACATTTTTTATTTTCAAATTGCTTTTATTATTATAAATTAATAAATTTCTAAATATGTCATTTATTTTTTCATGTTTTCCTTCTAACTAACTAATTAATTCTATATCTTTTCAATATTTAAAAGTGATAATTAAATTAGTGATGAAGGTGTATCAAGCTTAGGTTTTGCTATAGCAAATTGCGTTAATCTCTCAAAATTGGAACTTTATCTTGCGTAAAAAATTTACTTGTTTTTGATTGTGAAATTTTTAGTTATAAAAACGAATTTTAAACAAAATACTTAAAATTTTTTAATTAATTTATTAGCTTTTTATTTGATTTATTTTACTTTACCTTTTTTATTGTAAGTTTTTATTATCTTTCTTAATTTCACTCATTTTTTTTATTTTCAAATTATTATTATTAATCAATTTCTTTCTTTTTATTTCATATATTTTCTTCATTTTTCATTTTTCATTTTTCCTTTTTACTAATTAATTATTTATATATTTTTTTAATAAGTTAAAATTAAATTGGCGCAATTGGTGCATCAGGCTTACGTCCTGCTTTAGCAAATTGTGCTAATCTCTAAAATTTAATACTTTATCTTAGGTAAAAAAAATTATTTATTTTAGATTGTGATATTTTTAGTTATAAAAATAATATATTTAAACTCTTTTAATTTGTTGATTAGCTTTTTATTCTATAAGTTTTGATTTGCCTTTTTTATTCTTTTTATGTTTTTTTTTTCTATCTTTCTAAATTTAACACATTTTTTTATTTTCAAATTTTGCTTTTATTATTATTAATTAATTCAATTTTTATTAATCTTTTTATTTTAATATTTAAAAAGTAATAATAAAATTGATGATGAAGCTGCATCAGTCTTAGGTTCTGCTTTAGCAAATTGCATTAATCTCTAAAATTTGACACTTTAACTTAGGTAAAAAAATTTTTTTCTTTCGATAGTGATATTTTTAGATATAAAAATGAATTTAAACAATATATTTAAGCTCATTTAATTATATTTGTTTATTTTCTTTTTTATTCTATGCTCATTTTTTTTATTTCAAATTTTACTTTTATTATTATTATTAATCAATTCATTTCTTATTATTTCATTTTTATTTAACTAATTATTTATTTTTTTTTTTTCAATATTTAAAAAGTGAAAATTAAATTGGTGCAATTGGAGCATCAGATTTAGGTTTTGCTTTAACAAATTGCTCTAATCTCTCTAAATTGACACTTTATCTAAGGTAAAAACAGTTTATTTGTTTTGAATAGAGATATTTTTAGTTATATATATGAATTTGAACAAAATATTTAAACTCTTTTAATTTATTTATTAGCTTTTTATTTGATTTTTTTTATTTTAAATAGTATTTGTGTTTTTTTCTTTTATCTTTCTTCATTTAACTCATATTTTTATTTTTAAATTTTTTATTATTATAATTAATTAAATCATTACTTATTATTTCATTTTTTTCTTCATTTTATCCAATTTTTTTCAAAATTTAAAAAGCGAGAATCAAATTTGTGATAAAGGTGTATCAAGCTTAGGTGCTGCTTTAGCAAATTGCACATATCTCTCAAATTTAATACTTTTTCTTAGGTAAAAAAATTTATTTATTTTGGATTGTTATATTTTAGTTATAAAATTGAATTTAAAACAATATATTTAAACTCTTTTAATTTGTGTATTAGTTTCTATTTGATTTATTTTACTTGTCTTTTTTTTATGTACTTGTTTTTTTCTACTTCTATCTTTATTAATTCAAATCATTATTTTATTTTCGAATTTTGCTTTTATTATTATTAATTAATTCATTTCTTATCATTTCATATTTTTTAATAATATACTTCTTCTAACTAATTAACTATATATTTTTTCTTTAATATTTAAAAAGTTTCAATTAAATTGGTGATGAGATTGCATCAGGCTTAGGTTCTGCTTTAGCAAATTGCACTAATCTCTCAAATTTGGAACTTTACCTAAGGTAAAAATATTTTATTTGTTTTGGATTGAAATATTTTTAGTAATAAAAATGAATTTAAATGATAAATTAAGGCTCATTTAATTTGTTTGTTAGTTTTTATTTGATTTATTTTTATTTAAAATTATAATTGTGTTTTTTTTTATTTTTCATAATTTAATTCATTATTTATTTTCTAAATTTTGTTCATACTATTACTCATTATTTAGTATTTTTTCAATTTACTAATTAATTATATATTTCAATATTTAAAAAGTTACAATTAAATTGGTTATGATGGTGCTTCAGGCTTAGGTTCTGCTTTAGCAAATTGTTCTAATCTCTCAAATTTAACACTTTACCTTGGGTAAAAACAATTTTTTTATCTTGATTATGATATTTTTAATTATTAAAATTAATTTAAAACAATAAAAATTAAAAAAATTTTTTTGATAGGTTTTATTTGATTTATTTTTCTTTATCTTTTTTATTATGCTAATGTTTTTGCTATTTTTAATTTAAAACAAACATTATTTTATTTTATTTTTTTTAGTGATTAACTCTAATTTATAATAAAAGTTAAAACTAAATCGAAGAATCATAGTAATAATTGAAAGTAAAAAGCAAGTGCCTTAAATTAAAAAGATTAGTTGCTTTTGAAATATATTTTGAATGATGATTAAAAAGTGGTGAAAAAAGGAAAAATAAAAATTAAATACTTTAATAAAGAATATAAAAAATTAAATTTTATAATAATTTGAAATAGGATAATTTAACCTAAAATATAAATTATTTTTATTATTGCTTTTATATTTATGAATATCATATTTTTTTAAGATAATAAATAGCTTATAAAAAATAAAAAACTTTAAAAATTAAATTTGCTTAAATAAATTAATTCCTCTAAAACCAGCCAGATTTCGCCAAAAATGATAAAAGCTTTTTATAATTGCTAGTTTCATATTAATTAAATACAAAAATCGAATTTCAAAAAATTTCAATTAAATTTCCCACCTAAAGTTATTTTAATTTATTTATTCTTTTTATCCATTTATAATTAATTAAATTGTCATATACTGCTATTCAATATATTTGAAAAAAAAAAATGATATAATAGATTAAATATTACAATCAGTTAGAAGAAGTAATTATTTTTTTTTTTAGAATATCCTTTAAATTTATTTATATTAATAAAAAAAGTTTTTAAATTCATCACTTTAATCTCATAAGGTTCTTCATATTAATCTGTATATATTTACTTTAAATTTATTTATAATATAATTTTCCTAATTGAAATTCTCATCTAAATTTGTGGATTTTATTTATACAAATAATTTTTTAGCTATTTTAACTTAATTTTAATTTCCAATTTTAATTATTCATTACTCCTTTTTTAATTATTTAAATAGTGAATATTAAATGAGTGATGTAGATGTATCAGGCTTAGGTTTTGCTTTAGCAAATTGCACTAATCTCTTAAATTTGAAACTTTCACTCTAGTAAAAACAATTTATTTGTTTTGGGTTGTGATATTTATAAACATTAATTTAAAAGAATAAAGCTCATTTAATTATTTGAAAACTTTTTTTAGTTTTGTTATTATTTTGTTTGCTTTTTCTTCTTTTTACTTTGTTATTTAATTTAACTCATTTATTTATTTATTTATTTTCACCCTTTAATTTTATTATTAATTTATTTCTTACTATTTCATATTTTTTCTTCATTTTTCCTTCGAATGAACTAATTAATTATATATTTTTTCTTTAATATTTAAAAAGACGCAATTAAATTGGTGCTACTGGTGCATCAAGTTTAGGTTCTGCTTTATCAAATTGCACTAATATCTAAAATTTGACACTTTTCCTTGGGTAAAAACAGTTTATTTGTTTTGGATTGTGATATTTTTAATTATAAAAATTAATTTAAATCAATAAAATTTTTAAAATTTACTTGATAGCTTTTTATTTTATATTTCTTTTTACTGTGCTTGCTTTTTTTTCTTCTTTCTTTGTTAATTTAACTCATTTTTTATTTTCACCTTTTGATTTTATTATTAATTAATTAATTTCATTTTATTTCATATTTTTTCTTCATTTTTTCCTTCTAACTAACTAATTAATTATATATTTTTTCTTCAATATTTAAATAGTAGCAATTAAATTGGTGCTACTGGTGCATCAGGTTTAGGTTCTGCTTTAGTAAATTGCACTAATCTCTCAAATTTGACACTTTACCTTAGGTACGTTTATTTGTTTTGGATTTTGATATTTTTAATTATAAAAATTAATTTAAAAAAATAAAACTTTTTTAATTTATTACGTAACTTTTTATTTATTAATTTATTTTTTTATTTTTCTTTTATTGTGTTTGCTTTTTTCATCTACTTTTTTCTTTGATAATTTAAGTCATTTTTTAAAATTTTATTATTAATTAATTAACTAACTCATTTCTTATTATTTAATATTTTTTCTTCTTATTAACTAATTAATTATTTAATATTTTTTCTTCATTATTTCAAAAGTGGAAATTAAATTTGTGATCAAGGTACATCAGGCTTAGGTTCTGCTATAGTAAATTGCACTAATCTCTAAAATTTGACACTTTACCTTGGGTAAAAACAGTTTATTTGTTATTGATTGCGATATTTTAATTTAAAATTATATTATAGCTTTTTATTTGATTTATTTTCTTTTTATTGTGTTTGCTTTTTTTCATATTTGTTTGTTTTTATTTTCACTTTTTACTTTTATTGTGAATTAATTCATTTCTTTTTATTGCATATTTTTAATTTATTTTTGACTTCTAATTAACTAATTTATTATATATTTTTTCTTCAATATTTAAAAAGTGAAAATTAAATTGGTGCAATAGGTGCATCCGGCTTAGGGGTGAATTTAGCAAATTGCACTAATCTCTCAAATTTGATTCTTGACCTTGAGTAAAAATAGTTTATTTGTTCTTTTTTTAATTGTGCTTGCTTTTTTCTTCATCTTTATTATTTATGCTAGTTTAACTCATTTTTTTTTTTTTCATCTTTGTTTTTATTATTTATTAATTAACTCATTTCTTATTATTGCATATTTTTTCCTTCTAACTAACTAATTAATTACATATTTTTTCTTCAATGCCTAAAAAGTTGTAATTAAATTGATGCAATTGGTATATTAGATTTAGTTTCTGCTTTAGCAAGGTGCACTAATCTCTTAAATTTGACACTTTATCTTGAGTAAAAACAGTTTATTTGCTTTATATTTTTTTTTATATTTAATTATAAAAATTAATTTAAAGCAATAAAGCTCTTTTAATTTATTTGATAACTTTTAATTTGATTTATATTTCTTTTTTTTTATAATTTGTTTGCTTATTTCTTCTTATTTATTTTTTAATTTAATTTCGCCTTTTGCTTTTATAATATATTAATTTATTTTTTTTTTCATTCTAACTCACTAATTAATTATTTATTTTTTCTTCAATATTTAAAAAGTCGCAATTAAATAGGTGCTACTGGTGCATCAAATTTAGGTTCTGCTTTAGTAAATTTCACTAATCTCTCAAATTTAACACTTAATCTTGGGTAAAAAAAATTTATTTGTTTTAAATTGTGATATTTTTAATATAAAAATTTATTTATAAACAATAGAGTTTTTTTTATTTTTTTTGAAAGGTTTTATTTAATTTATTTTTCTATTTATTGTGTTTAAATTTTTTTTTCTTCTTTCTTTAATAATTTACTCATTTTTTACTTTTAACTTTTAGTTTATTTATTATTTTCTTATTATTTCATATTTTATCTCCATTTTTTCCCTCTAATTAACTTATTAATTATAAATTTTTTTTTCAATATTAAAAAGTCGAAATTAAATTGGTGCTATCGGTGCATCGAAATTAGGTTCTGCTTTAGCAAGATGCACTAAACTCTCAAATTTGACACTTTAAATTGAGTAAAAATAATTATTAGTTTGAATTTTGATATTTTTAATTCTAAAAATTAATTTAAAGTTATAAATTTTTTTTTTTTTAATTTATTTTATTGCTTAATATTTGATTTATTTTTCTTTTTATTTTTATTGTGCTTACTTTTTTTTCTTTCTTTGTTAAGATAACTTATTTTTTTATTCTAAACTTTTGCTTTTATTATTATTTAATTAACTTATATCTTATTATTTCATCTCTTTCTCCAATTTTTCCTTCAAATCAACTAATTATTTTTTTATTTTTATTTTTAATATTTAAAAAGTGGAAATTAAATTGGTGCAGTTGGTGCATAAGACTTAGGTTCTGCTTTAGCAAATTGCACTAATCTCTCATATTTAACACTTAATCTTGGGTAAAAACAATTTATTTGTTTTGGACTGAGATATTTTTAATTATAAAAATTAATTTAAAAAAATAAATCTCTTTTAATTTATTTGATTTATTTTTCTTTTTCTTTTTATTGTGTATATTTTTATTATTTTTTTGTTAATTTAACTCTTTTTTATTTTAAACTTTTGCTTTTATTGCTAATTGATTAACTAACTCATTTCATATTATTTCATATTTTTTCTTCATTTTTCCTTCTAACTAACTAATTAATTATTTTTTTCTTCAATATTAAAAAGTGAAAATTAAATCGGTGATGAAGGTGCATCAGGCTTAAGTTTGCATTTAGCAAATTGCGCTAATCTCACAAATTTGGAACTTTATCTTCAGTAAAAACATATTTATTGTTTTGGATTGTGATGATTTTAATAATAAAAATATATTTAAAAAAATAAATATCTTTTAATTTATTTGATTTATCTTTCTTTTTATTTTTATTGTCCTTTTTTTTTTTCTTTCTATACTAATATTACTCAATTTTTATTTTTTTATTTTTAAATTTGACTTTTATTATTAATAAATTAACTCATTTCTTTTTTTTTCATCTTTTTTCTTCATTTTTTTCTTCTAATTAACTAATTAATTATGTATTTTTTCTTCAATATTTAAAAAGTGAAAATTAAATTGGTGGCTTAGGTGCATCAGGCTTAGGTTCTGCTATAGCAAATTGCATTAATCTCTCAAATTTGATGCTTTACCTTAGGTAAAAACAGTTTATTTTTTTTGGATTGTGATATTTTTAATAATAAAAATGAGTTTAAAATGATAAATCTCTTTTAATTTATTTGATAGCTTTTTATTTGATTTATTTTTCTTTTTATTTATATTTTGCTTTTTTTTTCTTTTTTATTTGTTAATTTAACTTATTTTTTTATTTTAAACTTTTGCTTTTATTATTAATTAATTCATTTCTTATTATTTCATATTTTTCTTCATTATCCTTCAAATTCCAACTAACTAACAAAATAATTATATATTTTTTCTTCATTTTTAAAAAGTTGCAATTAAATTGGTGCAATTGGTGCATTAGACTTAAGTTTGGCTTTTAAAAATTGCACTAATCTCAAAAATTTGACAATTTACCTTAGGTAAAAACAGTTTAATTGTTTAGCATTGTGATAATTTTAATTATAAAAATTAATTTAAAATAATAAAATTTTTTAAATTTATTTGGTAGCTTTTAATTTGATTTATTTTTTTTATCATTTTTATCCTGATAATGTTTATTTAATTTTTTTAGTGATTTAATCTAATTAATAATAAAAGTTAAAACTAAATCAATGAATCATAATAGTAAATGAAAGTAAAAAGCAAGTGTCTTAAATCAAAAAGATTAGTTGTCTTTGAAATCAATTACTACTTATGATAGACAAGTGGTGAAAAAAGGATGAATAAATATTAAATATTTGAATAATAGAATTTAATATGTTTTATTAAAAAATATATAGAAATTGCATAATTTAACCTATTATTTGTTTTTTTGATCAATATTATCACTTATAAATTAACATCAAATTATTCTAAAAATGTTTTGCTACCTACCAATTAGCTATTTTACATTTCAAAAAAATATAGGTTTTTTAAAGTTTTATTTGTAAATATCCTTTTTTATTAACAAATTTTAACTTGTGTATAGGAAAATTTTTATGTGTTTTATTTAGTATATTTTAATATTTATTGCTTAGTATCATCATTCTTATCTCCTTTAAATTCGTATTATTTTACAAACTTCTTCATTTAAATTAATATTTTTTATTTATTTTTTAGCTGTATTTACTTTATTGAACTTTAAAAAAGCTTAATTTAAATATTAGGATTTATTTTTAAATACAGTTGATTATATTTTAAGAAAATATAATTTAATTAATTTAAAAATTTTAACCAAATAAATATCTTTTGAATATACCAAAGTGATTAATTAAATATCACTCATATTTTTGTTTTAAAATATGAGTAGATTTTAAAATAAAGTTAGATACAAATTTAAACAAATTAACTAAAATATAAAATAACTTACATACAAAATAATAAAACTTTTAAAAAATTAATTTCTTCTTATTATAATAAAATCACCAATAAGCGTATTTGAAGAACCATTTAAAAGTTCTAGTAGTATACTTTCTTGTTTCTTCCCATAGTAATAAGCATATACTGAAAAATAATCCATGACAGAACATCCAGAATGAATAGGGTCTACCACCAAAAACTTCTTGAACACCAGGTACATAGAGCAAGAAGCATAATAAAGCTGTTTCGAAAATAATACCTTAAAGCATGACAGTATTTAAATTAGAAGTTGCAAAACTCATTTTTCTACTCTTGCAAGCAAATACATTTGACCATTAGTTTGTGACAACAGAAGAAAAGAAAGCTGTTTATGCCCACTTTACTGCTTCAGTACTGTAGCAGGCTGTTTGACTTGTAATGTCAGACCAAGTTTTATGAGAAGTAGTATCGCAATCGCTCCATTTAACTTTAGGGACCCATTCACCTGTACTTTCATTGCATTTCAAAAGAGATTTTCTTAAGTCATAGTTACCATCTGTTAATTTCTACCAATCAATATCATTCTTAATTGAATCTGCACCCTTTCTATTTACTCTGCAATCGTATTAGTTTCCTGCTGCTTTAAATAGTTCGCTATTGAAATAAGGATCAAATTTGCCTGTATAAGGATTAAAGTGACTATCAAAATCATCTTTCTATGGAGTATATCCAGAAACATTAGCAAGTCCAAATAGTTCTCTAACTGGGAAACCAAAATAGTTAAACATCATATAATAACCTATAAAACCAGCTGCACTTTCTAATTAACCCATTTAGAAATAAGCTATTGTAACCAATTTAAGTGAACATAAGTGATCACTTTTTCTACGAGGTCTTCTGGTCATTACATCAAGCTCTGCGTCCTCATATGCTAAAGAAATAGCAGGCCATATATCTGTGCCGACTTATAAAATTAACATGTAAATACTAGAAAGCGGCACAGGAAGAAGCAATATAATAAAGGCCAAAAATGGAATAATTTCAGTCATATTAGAAGTAAGAAGATAAACACATGATTTTTTAAGATTATCAAAAATTTTTCTACCTTCTTCAACACCAAGTACAATCGAAGCAAAATCATCATCAAGGAGAATCATATCTGCTGCATCTTTTGTTACATCACTACCAGATAGATTCATTGAAACACCGATATCAGCTTTTTTTATAGCAGGAGAATCATTCACACCATCACCAGTTGCTGCAACAATAAAGCCTTCCTTTTAGCAAGCCTCTACAATTTAGAGTTTTTAGGCTGGGGTGGTTCTAGCGAAAACGCAAAAAGGTTTTTTTACCCATTGACGAAGATAAAAGTCAGGAGATTCTCTCTTTTCTTCGATTGATTTTTCAAATGATTCGAGAATTCTATCACCATGAACTACAATAGCTTCACACTATTCACTGGCAGTAAACCAGTCAAGTGTGGGGTTTCTTTCCATCAAGTCTTCATTAGTAATAATCTCTTGAGGAACTATATTGACTTCTTTTGCAATTGCAGCAGCAGTTGGAGGTTAATCACCAGTAACCATAATAACCTTAATACCTGCAGATCTGCACTCAAGGATAGCATAAGGAACTCTTGGTTTAGGAGGGTCCATGAGAGAAACTAAACCGCAAAATTAAAATTAAGCAAGGTGAAATGTAAATTTAGATGGATTTTGTACATAGAAATGAGAACCTTTAGGATATTAAGCTGCTGGAAGAGCAAGCTTAGCAAAACCTAAAACTCTTTCTCCTCCTTTACCAAATTATAAATTTACTTACTTGAATTTTGTCTACCATGAGTTTTCAATTACACTTATTTGATTATTACAATATATTGTTGAGCAGTAACTCCAAATTTTTTCAGGAGCACCTTTCATATAAACAGCGTAATGGCTATTTTCTGATTCTTCTTCAACAACAGTGAGAGCAAATTTGTATTAGGAACTAAAAGGCATTCTACTGAGTGTTTCATCAGGATTTTTGACAATTTTAAATTTGCTTCTAAAAGAGTTGACATCATCAATAGATTAATAGAATCTAATCAAACCTGTTTCAGTAGCATCACCGATAACTGGACATTTAAGATAATCAACATTATTTTTATCTTATAAACCAGACAAGTCAAAAACTGCTTCACTAGAAATCATGGCAGCTTATTAAAGAGTTTTGAAGCCTATATCCTTTGTATCATAAGGAGGTTCTTAACCTTTTTAAAGATGTAAAAGATTAGGAGTTTCAAATACAGAGTCATTAATCCAAATATGCTTAACAGTCATGACATTTTAAGTCAAGGTACCTGTTTTGTCAGTACAGATACAAGAAGTAGAACCAAGAGTTTCGACAGCTTCTAAGTTTTTGACAAGCACCTACTTTTTTGCGAGATTCTTAGCAGTAATTGCAAGACAAATAGTGATACAGCCTAACAAACCTTCTGGAACATTTGCGACTAGAATACCAATACCGAAGACAATGCAAGACATAACAGGGAAACCAATAACTAAGTAAGCTAAAAGGAAGAATAAAATGCATAAAAATATACCTAGTATAGTAACCATGTAAACAAATCTATCTAATTCTGCACGTAAAGGAGTTTTAGCCTTTTTTTCACCTGAAGATAAATCTGCAATTTAACCGAGAGTAGTTCTATCACCAGTACTAACTACAATACCTTTACCAGTACCCTCTTTGCATAATGTACCGAAAAATGCCATGTTGGCTGTTTCTAAATAATTTTCTGGGTGAGAACATTCTGCAGTTCTAAGCTATGGTTCACTCTCACCTGTAAGAGGTGAATTATCTACTTTCATTTCAGAAGACTCTAAGATACGGATATCAGCAGGGATCTTTTCACCAGCTTTGATAAGAACAATATCTCCAACAACAATCTTTAATGCGTCAAGGTGTTTGGGTTCACCATCTCTAATAACTGTGCACTTCTAAGGGAGAAAATTTTTAAAAGATTTCATTAGAGCTTCGCTCTTAGCATTTTATTAGAATGTAATGAAAGCAGTGACAAAAATAACGATTAAAAGAACAATAGCGAGATACATGTTAGAGGGATCATCAGGAGTAAGACCATAAGCCAAGAAACAAAGTCCAGCACTAACCCAAAGCATTAATGCAAAACCATTAGTAAGTTCTTTTAGTAAAATAACCCAAGCAGGGATTCTAACTTTATCGGTGAGTTTGTTTTCACCGTAATCGATAAGATTTTATTGAGCTTAAGGTTCAGTTAAACCAACTTTATAATCAGTTTTGTATTTTTCTTTGAGTTCAGAAAGAGGAATTTTATGATCTTCTTTTTGAGCAAATTCTAACTTCTTTTTCTCAGTTTTATCTTCAATTTGTAGATTATCTGTCTGTCCTTATTGTTAATTCTAATGCATTGCATCTTACTCAGTGGCAACAGAAGACTATATTTCTAATTCTATTAAGGAATTAATATGAGTCTACCTATTATTAGGTTCTTAGACATAAAAAGCTCCTTGGATATCATGCTTCTAATTTCTGTAGACACTCTAAGAATTATGAATGTTAATAGATTATCTGATTTCTTCGTATTTACGGGCATAAGCAGAGTTAATAGACTTATTAAGTGAATTAACACTTTTCTACACCTCCGTCTAATTTCTTTCTATCATTTTAATTTTAAAAATGTTTGATTATTATTTTAATTATTATCTCTGATCATAAGAAAGATTTTACTTTTATTTAAATCATAGTTTGAAATCGATTACATTTAATTTCGTATTATCTATTAAAATCCATTCATTTTTTTAAAACTCCAGTAGAAAAATCACAAAATTTAATTTTTTTTATTTTAAATTTAAAAGATCAAACATTTTTGTGAGTTTTTAAGTAACGTAAGAAAGTCTCCTGCCGTTTTATAAAGTAAAATGTGATTTTTAGTTTAAAAAAATGAGGTATTTTTCCTATAATACTTATAAAGACTTTTAATTGGTTTAATGATTGTTAATTTCTGGAAAAATTGATTTAAATTGATTGATTCTTATCAATTTACTTTAATAAAAATACACCTTGATTTATTTAGATTCTATCTATTTTATTATATTTTATCTATAGCTTTATAATTAGTTATATAGACAATATAGAATAAATTGTTCTTAATATCAAGGATTAAATCTTAAAAGTAAAATACACAGAAAATTAAAATTTGATGAAAAAAAATTATTTTATTCCTACAATTTATTTTGATAGTCAAAACTTAAAATTTTTTATAATATAGTAATTTATAATTCTTTAATAGAGATGAAATCGTGTAAATTTTCCAATTTTTTTAAGAAATATGATGAATTAATAAGATTTAAATACTTAATTAGAAATTAATTTTGAGTCAATTTAGATTTACTATAAGTATTTATTTAGATTTATTAGTACAAAGAAATAAATAAATTTACAAATGTATATTGATTCTAAGCATAAATTCAGTTTTCTTACTCATAGGCATTATTTTAAGGTAAAAAAACTTTAGATTTAAAAAATTTAATAAAACATCATGCTTTTAAATATGGAGTTTTAGGGAAAAAAATTTGAAGTTTGCTTATCATTTATAATATCAAATACTTTTAAATACGAACTAAATAGTTGAGCAATTAATATTAAATTAATATAGAGGAATTTTAACAGATTTCAAAGTTCATTAATATTTTCCATCAGTTGATAAAAACCAAAATTGATAAATGTGATTAACGCGATTCCATATTTCAAAATTTAATGGATGATTATCCATTATAAAATACAAAAAAAAACACCAATTTTTCATTTTTCTTTTTGCTAATATAAAGTAATATTTTTTTTTTAAATGAGAATTGTTTTGTTTAATAGTTAAAACTTTCTTTTCTACTTTAAATTTGTTACATTATTATTAAAAATAATTGATGCAATAAAGTTTGTTATACAGCAAACATGAATAAATAAATTAAAATTAATAAATATTTGTAATTAATGCAAAAGTTATTCTAATTTCTAAATTTATAATTTTCAATAAATTTTTTAAACTAAAAAAAATAAATATTCTAATCATTTTTTTCTTCATCATCACTTAAATAACTTTATTAGAAAATATAAATACGCATTAATTTGATCTTAACATCTTTTTATTTTATGACAAATACTTTCTAAAGCTTTTTATTAGCTTAAATAGATAAATAATATTATCTCATAATTTTTAATCTTTATAAAAATGAGATTCTATTCCTAAATCATTTTTTTTCCTTCATAATTATTTTAAAATATTTAAATTTTTAATAAGTAAAGTTCCAAAAATTTAAAAAAGTTAATCATTAATATATTAAATAATTTAATTAACAATAAAATAGTTTTTCAAAGAAGATCATAATTTTTAGATTTTATACCAAAACAAATTAGACAAATATATTTAATAGACAGGCAACATATTAATACTTATTCTTATTGTATAAAAATAAATTTAAATGATAGTTTTATAACATCAGAAAACCTAATTAAAAAGTAAATAATATTTTCATTATAATTAAAATTAAATTATTTTTGTTATCAAAAATGATTCAATTTTTTATTGTTTATTAGTTTTAAGTTATCACAGTAAGTATATTTAAAGATTCGTCTGAAATTTATTGTACAAAATTTCAAGTTTGATCACATAATAGTAAAGTCAGTCTAAAGGAAAACCAAAGCAGGACATCCAAAATTTATAGGGTCTATTTCCAAAAATATCATACACTCCAGTAACATATATGAAAAAAGCAATAAGCTTGATTCAAATACTAAACCTTGAAGCATTAAAGAATTAATTCTAGAAGTTGCTAAACTCATCTTTCTATTTTTATACACAAAACCTTTGGCAGCTTGTTTTATTTTATGTTCTGCTAAAATAGACTTTTATTATCAATTTTCATAATTTTATGTCATCGTAATTGATTATTTTAGATGACAATCAATCCTAAAATATCCTATTATAATGAATAGGAATAACTAAAATTGAAAATGTTGTAAAATATTTTGAAAAATCTGAAAAATAAAGAGAATATTTAAGAAAATAACTAAAAATACATAGCCATGCTGTTAGCTTTCAGCTAAAGGTTTTATATTTCATAGCTTGCAACTCGTGTTTAAGACTTTTCTTATTAGATTTTCCAACATTTTTTTAAAATTCTCTTTTCAAAAAATAGTATTAAAAAAAGTGTTAAGATTAATATATTTTTATATAAATATGATCAATTTTAGTACTCATTATTGACGTATAAAATTAAAAAGTAGCCGTATTATGATAAATGCAAAAATCATTAAATCAAAACAAGTATTTATTTCAAATCTCTCTTATCAAAATAATAAATTATGTAGTTTTGTTGATTTTAAAGGGTATCTGATGCAATTCTTGAATTAAATATATTCTAACTAATACCTACGAAAAAAATTATATTTTTTTAAAGATGAATAAAAATACATCAAAAAAGTTAAAATATTACCTAGAACGCTATTAAATTTTTATTTGAAATTAGAAAATTTTTTTTTTGCTTTTTGCTAGAAAAACTATTTAGTTTATAAATATTTAACATGCTTTTATAAATAATTTAGTTTAGACATCAATAAGTATTTCTTAAAATAAATTATGGATAAAACTTAAAATTATTTTGTATTTGAAATGAAAAATTAATGATTTATTAATTTTATAATTTTAAAGATAGTGATATAAAGTAAAAACTAAAGCTTTATAAAAGTATTTATTAAAATAAATTGCATACAAAATAATAATACTTATTAATTAATTTTAATAACTATTTCACCAATAAGCGAATTTGAAGAACCATTTAAAACGTCTAGTTGTAAATTTTCTTACTTCATCCCATAATAATAAAGATATACTGAAAAATAATCCATGACAGAACATCCAAAATTCATAAGGTCTACTTCCAAAAACTACTTGGACTCCTGGGACATATAATAAGAAACAAAGCAGAGCAGTTTCAAAAATAATACCTTAAAACATTACTGAATTAACACTAGAAGTGACAAAACTCATTTTTCTACTCTTACAAGCAAATACATTAGACCATTAACTTGTTACAACAGAAGAGAAGAAACCTGTTTATGCCCACTTTAATGCTTCAGTACTGTAACAAGCTGTTTGACTTGTGACATCTGACCAAGTTTTACTAGATTTTACATCACAATCACTCCAATTTACAGTTGGTAACCATTCACCAGTCTATTCATTGCACTTCAATAGAGATTTTCTTAAGTCGAAGTTACCATCTGTTAACTTCTACCAATTAATATCACTTTTAATAGAACTTGCTGCCTTTTTACCTAATCTGCAATCATATGTTCCTGCAACTCTTAATATTTCGCTATTGAAATAAGGATCTTATTAATTGCCTGTAAAAGGATTTTTATGGACATCAAAATCATCTTTCAATGGAGTGTATCCAGAAACATTAGCTAGTCCAAATAATTCTCTAACTGGGAAACCAAAATAGTTAAACATCATATAATAGCCAACAAAACCAGCTGCACTTTCTAATTAACCCATTTAGAAATAACCAATAGTAACTAATTTAAGTGAGCATAAATGGTCTGTTTTTTTACGAGGTTTTCTAGTCATTACATCTAATTCAGCTTCTTCATATGCTAGGGAAATAGCAGGCCATATATCTGTACCAACTTGTAAAACGAGCATATATATACTAGAAAGAGGTACAGGAAGTAGCAAAATGATAAATGCTAAGAATGGAACAATTTCAGTCATATTCGAAGTAAGCAAGTAAACACATGATTTTTTTAGATTATCAAAAATTTTTCTACCTTCTTCAACACCAAGTACAATTGAAGCAAAATCATCATCAAGGAGAATCATATCTGCTGCATCTTTTGTGACATCACTACCAGATAGATTCATCGAAACACCAATATCAGCTTTTTTTATAGCAGGAGAATCATTAACACCATCACCAGTTGCTGCGACAATAAAGCCTTCCTTCTAACAGGCCTCTACAATTTAGAGTTTTTAGGCGGGGGTGGTTCTAGCGAAAACACAATATGGTTTATTTACCCATTGACGAAGATAAAAATCAGGAGATTCTCTCTTTTCTTCAATCGATTTTTCAAAGGATTCTAGAATTCTATCACCATGAACAATAATAGCTTCACACTATTCACTGGCAGTGAACCAGTCAAGAGTTTGGTCGTTTTCCATCAAATCTTCATTAGTAATAATTTCGTGTGGAACTATATTAACTTCTTTTGCAATGGCAGCAGCAGTAGGAGGTTAATCACCAGTAACCATAATAACCTTAATACCTGCAGATCTGCACTCAAGGATAGCATAAGGAACTCTTGGTTTAGGAGGATCCATAAGAGAAACTAATCCGCAAAATTAGAATCTAGCAAGTTAGAATGTAAATTTAGAAGGATTTTGGACATGGAATTGAGTACCCTTTGGGAATTAAGTTGCTGGAAGAACAAGCTTAGCAAAACCTAAAACCCTTTCTCCTCCTTTACCAAATTATAAATTAACTTACTTAAATTTTTACTACCATTAGTTGTCAATTTCGTTTAGTTAGTTATTACTATACACAGTTGAGCAGTAACTCCAAATTTTTTCAGGAGCACCTTTCATATAAACTGCATAATAGCTGTTTTCTGATTCTTCTTCAACAACAGTAAGAGCAAATTTGTGTTATGAGCTAAAAGGCATTCTACTCTATGTATCATCAGAGTTTTTGACAATTTTAAATTGACTTCTAAATTTATTGACATCGTCAATCTATTAATAGAAACGTATCAAACCAGTTTCGGTGGCATCACCAATAACTGGGCATTTAAGATAATCAACATTAGTCTAATCTTATAAGCTAGATAAATCAAATACTGCTTCACTAGAAATCATAGCAGCCTACTAAAGAGTTTTGAAGCCTATGTCGTTTGTATCATAAGGAGGTTATTAACCTTTTTAAAGATGTAAAAGATAAGGAGTTTCAAATACAGTATCATTAATCCAAATATGCTTAACAGTCATAACATTTTAGGTCAAAGTACCTGTTTTGTCAGTACAAATACAAGAAGTAGAACCAAGAGTTTCGACAGCTTCTAAGTTTTTGACAAGGACCTGCTTTTTTGCAAGATTCTTAGCAGTAATTGCTAGACAAATAGTAATACAACCTAATAAACCTTCTGGAACATTTGCGACTAGGATACCAATACCAAAGACAATGCATGACATTATTGGGAACCCAATAACTAAGTAAGCTAAAAGGAAGAATAAAATGCATAAAAATATACCTAGTATAGTAACCATGTAAACAAATCTATCTAATTCTGTACGTAAAGGAGTTTTAGACTTCTTCTCACCTGAAGACAAATCTGCAATTTACCCAAGAGTAGTTCTGTCACCAGTGCAAATAACAATACCTTTTGCTGTACCTTCTTTACAAAGTGTACCAAAGAAAGCTATATTAGAAGTTTCAAGATAGTTTTCAGGGTGAGAGCAATCAACTGTTCTGAGCTAAGGTTCACTTTCACCAGTGAGAGCAGAGTTATCTACTTTCATTTCAGAAGATTCTAATATACGGATATCAGCAGGTATTTTTTCTCCGGCTTTAATCAGAACAATATCTCCAACAACTAATTTAATTGATTCAATATTTTTAACCTTGCCATCTCTTAATACAGTAGATTTTTAAGGTATGAAGCTTTTAAAAGAATTTAGTAGAGCTTCACTTTTTGCATTTTATTAGTAAGTAATAAAAGCTGTAATGAAAATAACAATTAGCAATACAATTGCAAGATACATATTTGAAGGGTCATCTGGGGTTAGACCATATGCTAAGAAGCAAAGCCCCGCACTTACCCAAAGCATGATAGCAAAACCGTTAGTTAATTCTTTCAGAATGACTACCCATGCAGGTGTTTTTTATTTTTCTGTGAGCTTATTTTCTCCATACAAAGCTAAATGTTCACCTACTTAATCTTCTTGTAAGCCATTTTGAAAATCTGTCTTATATTTATTTTTTAATTCACTAAGAGAGATTTTATGATCTACTTTAGCTGCTAATTCTTCTTTAGATCTTTCATTTTTATCGGTAGTGCTAACAGCTGGCTTTTTCTCTTGTACAGTAATTTATTAATGCATATCGTATTCTGTATTTTAAGAATATCCATCAAAATTGACCAATGAATTTACATGGTTAGGAATATCAATAGGCTCTTCAAAGCCTTTAAGTGCTTGTGTATTATTTTTATTTGATTTATAAAAGTTCTATGAATTACGAATATTGATAGACTATCTCAGTTCTTCATACTTACGTACAATAGCAGAGTTCATCGACCTGTTAACAGACTAGTCTAGAACTTAGTTATTGTCTTGCAAATCATTTTTTATACTTTTTTCATTAAGTTCTACTTCCTTCATTTTGCAAGAAAATAATAAGGTTTTTACAAAATTTTTAATTTTAATTAATAATTTTTTTTTTTTGCACTGTTTTTATCTATTTAAATGGTAGTGTATTGAGGTTATTAACAATTTTTAATTTAGCTTTAATTTTAATGTAAAAATATTAAAGAAATAAGAATGCTCTAAAGAAAAGTTTAAAATAATCAATTTATTGTTTAATGTCTCAACTTTATTTTATATTTTTAATTGCTTATTGTTAAGTATTTAAGAAATAACGGCAAATTATCTTTTTTGTTTTATAAGGTAAAATATATTCAAATAAGAAAGATATTTCTATTTGAAAAAATTTTGAGTAAAAACCCTTGATCAATATTTTGCTCTTAAAATCATCAAATGAAAGATGTGTTTGTTATAAATGCCAAAAAATATGAAACAAAGTGAAAAAGATAATATTAAGATTAATTTGAGTTACTTACTATTATTTGTTATACACGATTTTTAGATTCAGCTTTTTAAATATGTTAATGTGTAAAAATTTTTTGATATGTGTTAAAACACAAATTATGCAATTATTCAAATATATAATCCCATAACTGATGCAGTAAAATTTAGGCTCATGAAGAAAGTATATTACATCTTATAAATTAAATATGTGAAGTACAATCATAAAAATAAGCATCAATAATAATTTTGATATAATTATAAATTCTATTTTCTCTCATATTTAATTGTGTTTATCTAAGCCAAACAATAAATTTCATTTCAATTAGCTTTCCTTCAAAGCATATTTTAGATATTTTTCAAAGAATGTAAGATAGATATTTAAAAGATTAAATAATGTGAATAGGAAAATTATACTTTTAGATCAAGCTTAATTTTCTGAGAAAATTTCTTTTTAAAAGCAAATACGCATCAAAAATGATCTAATGGTTACCAATTTATTTAAGAAAACTAATCAAAAAAAGAAAGTAATCTTCTATCGAGATGAATTAAAATGAAATAAATTAATTTAATAAACTTAATTTTTTTCTTTCTTCTTATTACTATTGATTCTTCGCTTAATAGACATCTCTATTTGTTGCTATTGAATTTTTTTACAATATTAAATCTGAAATTCACACACTGGGTAAGTTCATAAATATTGCAATAAATTTCTCAATTTCATTTGAAAAAAGTAGAAAGTAAAGAAAGTTAGTTTTTTGTAATAATCGTTATAAATCAAGTTCTAGTCATCGATTTATTTTATATTTTCATAATCTATTCTAATTTTTATCATTTTTTATATTTTTTTTAGGCTAGTTTAATATTTTTGTATCACTTCAATGAAAATTCTCTGGTTATATAGAAAGTATTTTTGAAAAACTCAACAAGCATTTACTTCTTCTTAATTTTTTAAATAAATTTGGCTTTAGTTTTTTTTATTTATCAAAGAAAGTCTTTGAATTTTTAGAAACCAAGAATTTTTTATTATTTGTATTTATTTCCTTATAAAAAATAAAAGAATATTTATTTATTGTTTGTTTGATTATAATGGTTATCAAAATGATTTGTAATGCAATTACATTAATGAAATAATCAGTAAGAAATTAGCATCAAATTACATTTTTTACTCCCCAATTGTGTTGTATTAATAGATTCTGAGCTAATTAATTTGATATTTATTAAATCTAAAAATAGTTTCTCTAATTTTGGAATTTTAAAATAGGAGTTTTAGCTGATAAAATCATCTCTATTTATGACTTGTCCATGGCCTAAAGAGCAAGAAAAAACTAAAAAAAATATATTAAAATTACTCTTTTCCTTAATGAAATTTTACTTTTAATTATAAGCTAATGTATGGTTTTGATAAAATATATTTTTTTTAAACATTTTTTTTAATTTGTCAATAATTTAAGCATGTTATAAAAATTATGTTTCATTTTTTGATATGAGCTTTAATTGCTTGTTAATGAGAGGATTCATTCAAATTTAAATAAAAAATTGTCAAATTAAATCAATTATCTAAAACAAAAGATAATTTAAATGAAACAAAACCTATTAATTTCAAATCTTTAATAGTATATTAATTTGTTTTTCAATGACTTCAAAAATCATTTTTTATAACTTTTTGATCAGTAAGAAACATATTTCTGCCTTTATAATTTATTGTAAAATACTTAAAAAAATAAATAATTCTTATTTATGTCAGATTTTTAAAATATGCATGAAAAGTTATGTGCTGAGATTAATGAAGTAATTGAGAAGAAATGTAATACTTTCAAAAATATAAATAATAAATTCTATCAACTTAAGAAAAAAGTTTTCTTAATATTTGCCACGATTAAATCAAGCTTTAAAACTATCAAATAGATAATTATACATTTTTATAAAATAATGACACTTTTTTAAAAAAAATGGAATCATAATTCTCCAGTTGGAGAAAATATGATAATAAAAAAATAAAATCAAATATTAAATGAGCATTATCAAATCTACTTTTTTATTGAAAGATCATTTTTTTACAACATATCTAAAGAGAATTTATTTTACAAAAAGAAGATTATTATTTTCATTTCAGCTCTATTCAATTAATAAAATTTGATGTAATCTTTCTGAAAAATTTATGACAGACAGGCAGACAGTCTGTATGTATTAATAAACTATTAAATAAAATGATAAAATATATTTTGTATGCAAATAAATATTTTTAATAAATTCCAATAAATAAACATAGCTTTAAAAATTATTATTTTAAATCTTAAATGAGTAATTGTAAGGAAAATAACATGCAATAAATTTTAAATTTATCATATTAATTTACTCTATAATCTTATTATGCATTATGATTTATTTTATTTAATCACTTCTTATTTTTTAAATAATCAGTATTACCCTCAAATTTAAAATTTATTCATAGGAATGATTAGTGTAATATCTTATCTTTGCTTTCAATACAAATGAAAGTAAATAATTATAAAAGTCATTTTTAGCTAGAGTCAAATAATATATTTTTTTTTAATTTATAATACCTTTTTAATATTAGTATTCGGTATTGTTAATATTATTTCAAAATTTAGCTACTATTCTCTTTTTGTTTATATGCATATTTAAAATACTATTTGAATTTTTACTCAAAAACTTTCTTGTTTCATCTTAAATTAAGATGATTAAGCTAATAAGAAAATTGAAATAAAGCATTCAGAATTCAAAATGATCTATCATCATATACCAGTTGTATACATGGAAAATAGAGCAGTAAGCTAAATAAAGAAATTTCAAAAATAATATTTTAAATTGTAAATAAATTAGTATTTGATATTACTAAACTCATCTTCTAATTTTTCATTAAAAATGTTTCGCTATTGAAGAGTTACAACTTTGATAAATGAATCTGTTTGAGCTCATCAAAAAACGTATGTGCATTAACAACCTTTTTTATTCATTAGTAATATGTGAGAGATAGATTCTTAATAGGCATTTAAATTGCTTCAACTTATAGCTGTATACAATGTTTTTTACGTATGAAAACTGATTTTTTGAAATCATAATTACCTTTACTAAAGATATGTAAAATCACGTAAATTACCTACTCCCTTTCAAAGAGTATAATGAAAGAATGGATCACCTCATATAGAATATATTGGTTTAGCTAGTTTTTGATAGGGAATAAGATAGCATAGTAAAAGCTAAAATGAATATCAGAAAATCAAAGAAAATAATCAAATAAAGCACTTCTCAATTAATATATCATAAACAAACATATTGTTTTGTTAATTAGTTTACTTTCTTAATTTCATAAAAGAAAAAATAAATGTTAGTAAACTCTTAAAATACTAAAATTCTGAAGACTTTAAGTAAATAGCTTCTTCAAAAATTTGATTAAATAATAGTATTAATAATAAAAAAAAGCAATCCAAAGGAAGTATTACCAAAAGAATGTAATTTATTTCTAATTGTATTTGTCAAAAATACCATTAAATAATTTGTATTTTTAATACATAAATTCTTTGAGATATCTCTATATTAATAAAATTTATATTACCAAATTGACTTAAGTGGCATTTTATTGTATTTAAATATAACAAAATCAATTATTATGATTTTTTTATTAGTATAACTAATATTTTAGTTTTACATAATTTGGTTATGCATATTCTTAATAAGATTAAAATTGTTAATTAATTTAAGCTTGTACTATTTGTTCATATTAAGCAAATATTTAAATTCAAATCCATACAAACTTAATTACTACAATAAGCTGACTACTACTAAAATCTATGATCTAAAAACCAATTCAAAGAAATAAATTTCATAAATCTATTTAGTATACTTATTTATTGAGAATCTGATTTATAGTATTTACCAGCTAAACTAATGAAAAATATAATTTAGATTACCTCATAGAATCAAATTATTGAAAACTAACACAATAGAGATCTTGAAATATATATTTAAAATATCAAATTTAATTTATAATTTCTTTCATAGCAGATGAAGAAATTATGTGGTAAAACTTTGAAAAAAATTAGATTCATCGAGATAAAATTGGGACAAAAATAATATTTAGTAGCTCTGCCAATTGAATAAATAATTTACAATTGCTAGTCTCAAAAAATTAAAGAATAGTATGTAAGCGCATTTAATAATAATATATATGAAGAATTTATCTAGAATTTCACAAGAAGCAGATTGTAAAAATTTATACTTCCTACTTAGTAATATCGCACAAATTTATGTGTATCAAATTAATTCTTTGAATAAATATCTTTTCATCTATCAAATTAAAAGTCACATAAGAATCCATAAATAAGTACTTCTCATCTTCAATTAAATTTATTTGCTATATAATCGCACATTTATTTTTTTCTTTGTTAAAATTATCAGTTCATCAATATGAAATGTAAAATCCTCACAAATATCTTTGCTAATGCTTATCATTACTAGTATTTTGAATATTTTTTATTTACACGTTGAAATATTTGGCTCTATCTTTTTATTATTTAAACAGCCAACTTAGATTTATAACTATTAATTGTCTTATTAAATATACTTCATATTGAGCTTAAATATTCATTTCATTTTGAATCATCTAAATTTATTTTTTTGATATTTTTTAGATATTTTGAGTTTAATAAAAAAATGAACAAATAAATTATTATAAGGATATTGATTTAGACGAAAAAACAACAACCAATCTTATAATTGTGGTTAATTAATTCTAAATTTAGATATTCTTCAGTTTATGTTGCTATTAATAGAATCAATTATTAAATTTAATTGTATTTTTGCTTCTAAAAATAGCTTTAATTAAAAATAATGAGTTTAATGCTTTTAAACTTTTTTATCTATTTATATGCAATTTATCATCAATTGTTCAAAGTTTTATTTCTTAAAATAATTTAAATTATTAGGTAAAATTATTTATTTTCCTTAAATTATAATATTTTTCAAAATAATTTATTTGAACTTATAAATAAAGTTAGTGTTTGTGATATTTGATTAAGATTTCCTTTAAAATTTTAAAAGTGATATTTTATATTAAAGTAAATTTTACTTCTTTTTGTTTCATTAATCTTGTGATATTTAAAAAACTATTTCTCTTTTCAAGTTATTTCTATTTTTATTTCATTTAAGATTTTTGTAAAATAATTTAGAATTAAAATCGCTTATTTTTATAATTTAACTTTTACTAATTACCTTAACTTATTTATTATAATCAAAAAAAAAAGTTTATAATCTAAATTTTAAAAATTAGCAAATAGTGTAATTTTTTTAAAAAAGTTAGCTTTATATTAATAAATATTTTACTTACATCTAATAATTAAATTAAAATAAAATATACTTTGGTTAATTTATTCAATTACTAAATTATCACCTGAGATAGTTTTAAAACTTATTTACAAATTAAAACTTATTAAATTATTTATTTACTTAAAATAAAAAATAAAAAATTTATTAATTTAGTGTAATGAATTAAAATATTTTAAGAAAAAAGGATATTTTAATGTTTTTAAAAAATCTATTTATTTATACCAATATAAAATTTTTTAAGTCTAATTTTAAAATCACATAAAAAAGGAACTAAAGTTAACAAAAATATTAACTTAGTTAATAATTAAAATTTTTATAAAACAATATTTGTCTTGGTTTTTATAGTTAATTTTTATTAAAATGATATAAATAGCTGATTTTTAAAAACATAAAATACATTTATTTTTATTAAAAATTAAAATTAGTTTCTTTGGTTCATTGGCTCATTTGTATTTCTTAGTTTGTAAATTATTATATTATAGAGCAGAATTCTTCAAATTGTATTTTACCATCTTAATTAATATCAATTTACTGTATAATTTATTAAATTTATTATTCAATCTCACTCGTTTATTCGTAATCGTCAGCATTTCCTATTATTTTCAAAATTTCATCTTTTGTTATGTGACCATCTCCATCTTGATCAAATAGATTAAATGCTTTTTACAAGTATTCTTTTTCATTAAAAGTTTTTCTCTCAAGCGTAGCAGTGATAAATTCGCTATAATCAATTGAATCGCTTTTATCTGAATCAACTTAATCAAATATTAAATTAATTTGTTCTTCTGTCATATAATCGTTATGCCAAATCTAATTAAAACCATTCATTATTTCTTCTTTGCTAAGTCTTCCATCTTAGTTGGTATCAAGTCTCTTAAACAAGTTTTCAAGCTCAATTTTGTCTTAACTTGAAACCAAATTAACACTTATAAAGGTTAAAATTGCCTTTTAAAATTCATTCTAGCATTTAAACTGCTTTAGATTTCTTAAATTGTTTTTTAATTATTGAGTATCTTAAATTATTGTTTTATTTGTCTTATGAATTTTGAACCAAACATGATTCAAAAGCTCTTGAGCACTCGGCCTTTTCTCTGGATTTTTTTCTAACATTTTGTTTATTAAATCTTTAGCTTCATCACTGATTGTATCCCATTCTTTGCCGAAGACTACTTACTCTTTTTGTATCTGTGTCTGTATTTACAATTTACTCTTACAATTCTATCCAAATGGATATCTATTTGCAAGCATTGTATACATCACTACCCCAAGTGCCCAAATATCTATTTTCTCTGTATATTTCTTATCAAAATATTCAGGAGCCTGAAACATGAGTGAACCACAAAGACTGCTTAAGAATTTTGTTTTACTTTAACTTCTATTTGTACCAAAGCTCCAATCTATCAATTTTACTCTCCATTCTATTTAAGAATCATCTTATGAAAGCTAGTTTTAGGAGTTAAGCTTAATTTGTTAATCTTCTGTAGTATGATATTTCGTATCTTATGATTAGCCTTTTGAATCTTCTTTATTGTTTAATATAGAATTTGTATTAAATTAATTTTGGTTCTCTTCTAATGAGCGTTCTATATTTTAGCTTTATTCTGTTCCTTAACATTTTTCTTATTAGTCAATCGAGTTAGTAGCTTGAACATAAGTATTTGCTGTTTAAATATGATTTTAGCTCACCATAATATTCTCAAGTTTAATATCTCTATGTATAATTCCCTTTTGATGGGTATAGCTCAAAGCTTATAAGACTTGTTAGATGATTTAGCAAGTGTCATTTTCACCAAAAGGCCTTTTCCTTTCTGCCATCTCATCAAACAAATCTCTGCCTTGAACCTCCTCCATAATGATATAAAATGCATCCCTCTCTTCAAAATACTCATACAATTTAACAATGTTGGGATGATCCAAAGATTTCAAACTTTATATTTCACTATTTTTAAAAAATAAATTCTTTTTTTCAAATTTTTTGGCACACTTTCTTGAAGAATTCTTTCCGTTATCATGACTCATTTCATTTAATTTATAAATTGAAGCATGTCCTCCTTATCCTAATTATCCATTTTTATCTATCTCATACACTTCTAAGAAATGTTTTTAATTTTTAAAAATAAAGTCCTTGGGCTATATTTTAATGGAATTTTATTTTGATTTTTAATGAGTGATAGAAGGCTACTATGAGAAATCTATATCTTTGATTTCAGAAGATTGATCCATGAATCTCTAATAGTATAATTCCCTTTGAAAGTATAGTTAAATTAATAAATAATTATATTTGTTTTATAATGCTTTATATATGACAAAAATTTAATTAAGATAGATATTTTGTGTTTATTTTTTTATTTTTAATTCACATATATGGACAACAAAAAACGCTACTTCTGATACAAAATATAGAATTTTAATATTATTTATCAAATAAAGTGATTTTTTTAACAAATATTTGTTGAATTAAGTCAAACAAAGTGAAAAATAAATATGTAAATTTAATTCTAAGTTTTTTTAAAATAAATTTAATACAAAAATATAATATTTCTAATTATTGTTTGTTTGAATTGAATAAATTATTTTTAATATTTTTTAGTTTTATAAATTTATTTTATTGCATTTTCTTAGTAAATATTTATTTATAAAAATCAAATTTGAGACATTATTTTATATTTTTAGATAAAATGATTGAACTTTTTAAATGCTTCGCTTTTTTAAATTTTAGGAATTTAAGTATCTTAATAGAACTCCCTTTGTTTGAATTTACTTTCATCTTCTAAATAGTCGTATAAAAGAAAAGTCTTTCTGTATGGCTCTTAAACATTAACTCTGTTTTGCATGATTAAAAAATTAATACAAATTAATTAATTTAAAGCTAAAATACTCAAAGAATGGCGAATGCATGATTTCTCTATTCTTTTATTGCATCTATTAAGTTATAACAGGATACTCTTCTAGATTGTAAAGCTCATTAGCATTTTTTAGCTGCTTTTAAACTTTTATTTTTTAATTTTCTTACTATTTTTACATCTGATCTAATTCATTTGATATTTTAGATTAAAGCTGAAAAGATTTTCTTACTTGCCAAATTTTTTTTTATTTAACATTTTAGTATTTGTTAAAATTAAAATCTTTAGCATTTTAAATTCCATTATTTTGTTTTATGTAACTTTCAAAGGCTTTTTCTTCAGTACTTAATACTATTTTAAATAATAAAAAAATAATAGTAAATACATATAATAGATAATAAAAAAAATATTATTTGTATTTATATAAACTGCAAATTCTCATTTGTCTTTGACCCTCTCTACTCCAAGTTAAAATCATAATTTGTTAGTGAATTATGACCAAATTTTAGTGAAATATTTTTTCTGAGTTGGTCTTTTTACACGAGGAATTGCAGTATCTGATATAAATTGAATTCATTACTTTTTGAAATGTCAATCTTGTTTGTAAATTTGGTAGTTTAATTATTTAGTGCCCTTTCAGAAAGAAAACCTTATTAAATATTATTTACTGTATTATTATTAGGAAATACCTAATTAATAGTCCTAGAATTATAGCAAGTGCTATCATTAGAGAATACTTATTTTATATTATCATCTTAAGATGATTTGTATTATTCTCTATCAGTCAAATTAATGTTTTTAATCAGAATTTTTTATATTGGCTTTTGAAATTTGCTCTTTTCTATTTGTAGCCTTTCAGAGATAAGATTATAATTTTATTTAATCTAATTTAAATTAGCTGGTAGAGATCCAGTTCTAGCATGGTTAGGAAGATTCAGAAGAAGGGGCTTGACTTATTATTTATTTTTGATTGGAGTTTAACCCTTAGCATTACTAAATTAAGATTGTTACATATTATTATCTGTTTAAGCCTCACTAAAATTCAAATAATTTTCTCTTAATAAACTGTCTTAACTTTTGTAGTTATTGAGGAGTATTGATTATTTATTAGGTAGAGGTTTTTCTTCAGTAGAAATAATAGAAACATTCTTTGAAGTTTTTTTAAATAAAGAAGCGGATTCTTATCTTTGAAGAGCTAGTTGTGATATTTTAAAATTGGATGAATGCGATTTCGGACTTAGATTTTGAGCTATTTCATCGCTAAAAATAGTTGATTATTTTTTAAGCAACTATGCATCATTTGTTGACTCCACTCTTTTAATTAAATCTGAGGTGTATTCTTTATTTCCAAGTCTCTTCTATTTATTGAGGTTTCTCATCTACTTTTTTGTAAGCATCCAACTGATGAACCCTTTACTATGAATATCATTAATTATTTCTTATACTTCCTCTCTGTTTTTGTTGAGTGGAGGATATTAAGGCTGAACATCTTTCAAATAACTAATAATCTATGATTTTATTACATCAGAATTTTTTCTAGCATTTTAACGTGCAGATTCAATAAGCTCATCCCTAGATTCTAATAGTAGCTAGTTTGTTTAAACTCCATAAATTCTATTTATACTTTTAAAAGAAAAAGGCGATTTCTATGTTTCTGCCATGTGATCAATGAATATTGTTGATTTAAACTTTATTTATGATGGAATTTTTTAGGATAAATAGAAATAAATAGAGAAGTAATATTAGATTTAGAAGTAAACTAATAACTAACTAATTATAATGTATTTTTTCACTCTAATAATAAACAAATTAAATACATACATATAACTATCAATTTAATAATTCAATTTATTGAATTTAAAAGTGATTTCATAAATAAATATTTATCGTTTATTAATGAACTACCGACTATTTGAATATAATTATAGTAATTTAAAGTTTTAATAGAACATTTGTCTCTTCATTTTTTAGGTTTTCACTTGAAATTTTAATTGAACTCTAAATAATATTTAAAGTATTTTTTGCTTTTAACTATATATTTATTTAATTAATTTACAAATTTCATTTTTATTCAGAATCCCTTTTCATTTTTAAAAATAGCTAGAAATTTTCTTGTAATATAATCATCCATTATTTTATGAGTTATTGCTAAATCTCTTTAAATAGCTAAAGATAATTTAAATTTGATGTTTTTACATAATTCTCATTATTTTTTTATTTAAAAAAAATAAATTTAATCAATTAAAAATAATTTTCTTTTTTTATTTAATTTTCTAATTTAATTTATTGATAATATTAGATTAACTGAATTGAATGAACAGCTCTATTGAAATTTAAATTAATAAAAACTAAATTAAATTATATTATTCTATGCCTATTTTCATACATTTATTTACAATTTAATATCTTTCAAATTAGTTATTTAATCGATATTTGTAAAACAAAATATTAAATAGAATATTTAGAAACTATCAATTTGATATTTTCATTTATTAGGAATTAGCTATTAAATCAAAAAAAAATATTACCTATGCTTAAAAAATTATATTCAGTGATTTTGGTTATTAGAAGTTTACCTACTTATTAATTATTTTAAAATTAATTGAAATTATTTTTATGAGTTTACAATAAAGATCTTAACTAAACTTTATAATTTTTTAAACTTATTTTTTTTGTAAAAAATGAATATATTTTTTCATTTTTATAGGATATTATATTTTATCTACTAAAATTAAAATGAAGATGTGTTTGAGTGGCTTTTTATTTAAAAGGTGATTTAGATTTTATCTTCTAGAAAAAATCTAAAAAATGTCAAATTTACACATCTATGTTTATTCATTTCAAATAAAAAATTAACTACCAAGAAATTAAACATTAATTAATAAGAATTCTTAAATTACTTAGGTGAATTAAAAAACCAAAAGAGACAAAATTTAGATTAAATATAATACAAAGACTTAAAACTAGCTGTACAATCAATCATCTGTAATGCTTGAAACTTATATTACAAATTGAAAAATATAGCAGAAATGAAGATGGAATTGCTAATTCAGCAATCAAGTGGCAATTAAAATATAGTAATCCACAAGTATGAATATGTATATACACAATAAAAGTTAATTTATAAACATAGTTTGTTGTATGGTTTGTTAATTTTTATGATGCTCTCTTTCTTTATTTTACTACCTTCAATCTATATTGCAATCTCAGAAATATAGATAGAAGCAATCACAAAACAAAAGTTTTAGGTTGACGTTAGGCTCCATCTGTACCAACTCTCAAGTAATGCAAGTATTCAATTAAGCAGGCTCTCTCAAAGGGATCCTTCATACCGTAAAAAGCCATATTAGTATCAGGGAACATTTTTTCAGGGTCTTCGAGGAACTAATCCAAAGAATTTCTGTTCCAGTAGAACTTGCCGGAGGGCATGAGAGAAGAGTAACCTCTGAAGTTTTTACTAACACCTGCCTTTCTCATGTAGACCCAACGCATAGAGGGACCCATACAAGTATCTTCATCTAACTCATGACAACCCATGCAACCGTTTTTATAGATAATTTCACCTCTTAAAGGATCGCCATCAGGAATATCGATGTCGTCTCTGTCAGGAGGTACGAAAAACTTTCTTGTGGTATATTTATGCTCTCCCAATTTTTAAACATTATTTTTTCCTCCATTTTATGCTATATTGCTATTAACTGCAGTACTACTTCCATAATAGCCGGAATTACCGCTTGAACTGTTTGAACTCATTTTTTGTTAATTAATTTGCTTTTCTTTTAATTACTTTATTAAATTTTTTTAATGCTGATAATTAATTAAATTTTTTTTTGTTTGCTTTTTAAGTAGAGTTTATTTATTTCCTTTTATTAACAATTAATTGAAAGAGGACTGACTTATTTACTTACTAATAATATCTTTTGCACTTGCATTTTTTAATTAAATTTTTTGATGGAATGATTGCTATCTTAACTAAATCCAAATAAATTTATCAATCAATAAATTACTTAATACTAAAATGAATGATAGGATATTAGTAAAGAATTATTAAGTTTATATATTTAATTCATGCAATCTTCCATTCATACATAGCTTTTTTTATCTTTAAGATTATATAGGGCTCTTTACAATTTTTCATTAGACTTTTATTTTTAATTTTTAATATCTATTAGAAGATTCTTTGCAAAATTCTTTTTGATAAACACTCTTTCTACTTGACCTTAATTACTTAATATCAGTAAATCTAATAAACTGAAAATAACTATTTATCTGATGGCACAGTCCTGCCTTATTTTTCATTCTGAAAATCAATTCAAGTTCATACATTTTTTATTCCTACTTAATAATATGCTTAATCATGCTCCTTTCCTATTTAACTATGTACCTATAAGAAAGACTAATTAATATCTTTAAGAAATAAACAATTAAATTTCTTAAGGTACCAATATATTATAAAATGATATTAATTCAAAATACAATTTGATGCTATTCATTTATTCTGAGTTATAGTAATATCTATTTTTATTTTTTTTAAAAATCAATTAAAAAGGAAAACTAAATCAAATTTTAATAAAATCTTTATTGGCTTTAAAACTAATTTATTATGAACTGCACAATCAATTATTACATTTAAGATTTTTTCAAGAATATAATCACAGGATTCAATAACTATATTTTTATACCAGATAAAATATTTTAAATTTTGTATTAAAAATACCTTGTTTGTAACTGAATAAATTTTATTGTATTTGAAAATTGTTCAAAATATCAATCAAAAGTATAATTTTTACTAAAATTGAAAAACAAACATACTGCAAGTATAAAAATTTCTAGAGATTTTTCTGTCTTACAAAAATATATTAAATTAAAAAAAAATATTGATTATAATTTATTTTCAATTTGTCAAATTTTGAACTTCATTTTATAAATACTTTTGAAACATGAATTATATATGTATGTATACATGCATTAAAAAAACTAAAGAAATAAATCATAAAAGTGGCCTTATATTATACTTAGGAACCTATTCGATTGTTTGCAGAGAATGTAATTTTTTTAATTCGTCATTTTTGTAACTCCACAATGAAAGCTACTTAATTTCTTCAATGGATGCATTTTTGTTTATCAAGTCGAACAAGGGTTCCAGTATTTTATGGTGAAGTGAAAAATTTAAATCACAAATATTTCCATACTTTATATGTTTGAGATTAAATAAAGTCATTCCTATTAATTTATTGCATCCTTTAGAAATCAGTGCACCACCACTGCTTCCATTTTATATCCTTGCATTAGTTTGTATTAGAGCGTCTTCACCTAACTAAGTTTTTATAAATTTGCTCACTATTCCATTACTAATTTAAGGTAATTTAGAAGGATGCACCAATCCATATCCTACACTGATTACTTCAGAACCTTCAAAGAGTAGTTATTTTGAGGAAGGAACGTATAAAGAAATTGGTTTTAAGCCTATATGCTTAATATTTTCTTTAATTTTAAGAAGGCAAACATCATAGTCTCCTTCACTGATGCAAATTACATTTGCTTCCAACATTTTATTATAACCAATTATATGAACTTAAACTGAAGTTTGCTTAGAAATAAAGTCTAAACCATGTCTTACAGATAGAATATATCCCTCATCATTAATAATTATGCCAGAAAAATGCCCATATGATGCTTTAAATCATACAATAGAAATCATTAATAATCAATGAAAAAAAAAAATTAATTTATTCACTTTATATCAAGCAAATATTTTAAAGGAATTTGTTAGTCTCCAAAAACTCCTTGGGTTATTCCTTTTTTACAGATTTGAATTTATCAAGTCTTGTAGCAGCTAGTTCGAGCACGGTCTTAGCAGAAATAGCAAATGAAAAATAAACACTATTTGCACCTTAAAAACTGAATGAAGGTAGCATCATACCAATTACATTTTATTCTTCATCCAAGACCAAACCTCCTTCCTTACCACCAAAATTAATCATATCTAACATCAATATATGCTTATGGAATTCTTTAAAATTTAAGTTAGGATTAGCAAATAATATTATAAATAAATAAATAATTTAAATAATTATTGAAAAATAAAAACTTCTTAAACTTACTCTTTAATTTAGAATTAGCTTCAATATCAAAGACATTTGCTATTACACCTTAACCTAAAATATTGTGGTAGAGCTAAGAGCTTAATATACCAAAAGGAGAAGATATTGTTGTAATTTATTATCCTTGAGTAGGCATTTTGGTTGAGTATGGGATATTCGTGTATGATAAGTACCTATTTAATTCTTTCAAATCCTTTTCGCTTTTGATTTTAAAAAATAGAACGGATGTATTTTTAACTATTCTTTCATCGTATTAAATGTTAATCTTTGCTTGATTCTTATATGAAAATGATTTATTGCGAACCTCTTAGAAGAACTCCATAACTTCTTCATCTAAAACTATCTTAAAAGGAGTAATTTAAATATACTCTTTTGGGTATTTTTCCAAGCTTAAATGGAACTAAGCATTCACATTTATGTTTGTCAGATCAAGAGCGTATTTCTTTTCTAAAATAGCTCTCTCTTATTATTCCAAAAAGTTAAAGAAAATGAGTCCACTTGTCACGATAAAAGTATCTGTTGCTGATCTTACAATGAAGCAGCTTTGGCTAGAATTATAAACATCTCTCTTTGTCGTATCAAATTCAACCTCCTTACCTATATTTTATTCATGCTTTTCCTTTTAAGAGTCTGGATTAGAGTCTATTTCTATTTTCTAATCTGATTTTTATTATTTTTTATCTAATTCTCTAATTTCTCTTGAAGGTGTCTACAAATAAAATGACATGTCATTCAAAATACGCTACTCAGTCGTCTAAACTAGCAAATAGCCACAAAACTTTTTAATCTCATCTATCTTCTAGTAATTCATTGTAGCTTTTATTAGATATTTTTTAATTCTCTGACTATATTCCTTAAAAAAACTATTTAATATGCAAATATCTGTGTTACTTCTCCTTTATTTTTTTATATCTTTATCTAAATATTAACTAACTATGAGTATTTATTTATTTGTTTGTTTGTTAATTAATAAAAAAATATTTGACTGATTTCTTATAATATTTATATTTGTTTTTTGATTTGTTGTTATATTGCTCCTAATTTTAAGATATATCACTATATGACGATTTTAGAGATTTAAAAGGAACAAAAATGCTATATTGATGAATGTATTTATTATTTATTAGTATTCCTTATTCTATTAATATCAGAAATCCATTTAAGCTAAATAAATAAATAGAAAAAAAGAAAGAAAGAATCATATAGGATTCTTCATATTAGCATATGTATTTCATCGAAACATTCTAAATTGTATTAAAAGCTTAACTTAATTAATATGTAATAGCAAATATTAATGCCTCAGCATTTTATTTATAACAAAATTCTTTTTATCAAATCTAAGAATTTTCTGTTTATATGAAAGGTATTCATTTAATTCTCTCGTTTTATTTAAAACTTAATTTTATAATATATATACATTTAATTTAAAGGTAAAAATATTTTTTATTAATTTTCTTAACCTATTTTAATAAAAAAAGAATTTATATCAACTACAAATTCATTTTTTTAGGTATTAATAAAGCATATTTAAATATTTAAAAAAGGAACATAAATTAAAAAAATGATTTAGCTAGCACAAACGATAAGGATCAGATAAATTATTTTCTATTGCTTTTAAACTCAGTATTTTCCATGTTTGTATATATAAAAACTAAAATAATAATATATCAAACAAAATATATATATTTATTCTATTTAAATTTTAAAAAATCTAATTCAAACAACTAATATTAATTATTATTTATATTGATGACTTTTTTTATTTTAATAAAAAATAAAATTTTAGCTTATTTCATTAATGAAATGTATATTCAACTTACCAAAGCCATACATATGGTGCAAATGCATGCCATTTATCAATATGGTAATATATGCCACTTTTTTTAAAAGCTGCCCCACAAAAGCAATTTAATGGCTTATTGAACTCTTAATTTTTATATACTTATTCAGAATAATATTAAGAGTTAATATTTCTCAAATTTATTTTATGGTTTAAATCTAATTAATCATATTCTTTAGGACTTTAAAATATAATATTATTTCTATTAAGATAATTATCTATATTAGCTTACAAATTAACTGCTCTGATTTAAATTAATTTTGACTAATTTTATGTTTTATTTTTTTTTGCTTTGTTTTTCAGTTTAATTCCTTTTTTGTCTTAATTTTATATTTCATTGTTTATAAAAGATGTTTAAATATTTTGATAAATCTATTCTTTATTTATATTACTTGTGTCACATTCAATTATGCATTCATTTTAAAGTCCTCCTATAGGATTAGAATTTATATATTAATTTGTTTCTTGATATTGCTAAGAAATCAGCAAACTTTATTAATTTGTAAGATTATTATTTTAATCAAATAAAATTGCATCATGATTTTCCAATTTTTAAAATTGCTAAGCTTGTAAACTTTATTAATTTTAGTTGCGTTATGAATTATAACTATAATTAAAATTTTAAGAAATACAATTATTTTGGTACTTTTAACTATGTTAGTTAATATTTTGTGGTTATTAAATATAAGCATTATTTGTATTAACTTCTGTTTAGATTAGTTTATATTGCTCTTCTTAATCATCTAATTCATAGGAACGATTTAAACCTTTTTCTGAGCATTAACTTTAAAAATTATCATATTGCTACTTTTTATTTTTTTCTAATTCATTAAATTACTGGTACTTATATTTTTACTCAAAATTTTAATCAATTTGATTCTCAAATTCATATTGATAATTTTGTTGATTTTATTCCATTTAGTTATTGTAAATATGTTAGCTTTATTATTTTTAACAATTATTATTTAAATTAGTTTTTTATAATTCTTAATGTTAAGTGTTAAAATGACCTTTAAATTAGTTTATATTTTAAATTTATCGCTGTCCATTATTTTAAAATTCAAATTAGTTAGGAAATAGATTATTTTTTTGATTTTATTCATAACTAGTTTGGTTAATGTAAATGTGTAAGCTTGATTAGTTTTAGTAATTATTGTTTAAATTAATTTCTTATGATTTTTTATGTTAAATGTTAACATAATCTTAAAATTATTTTGTATTATAAATTTATTACTATCCATTATTTTAAAATTCAAATTAGTTAAGTGATTGATAATTTTGTAGATTTTATTCTCTTTAGTAATTTTAAATATGTTAGCTTTATTATGTTTAATTGTTATTATTTTGATAAATCTATTCTTGATTTATATTACTTGTGTCAAATAAAATTGCATCATGATTTTCCAATTTTTAAAATTGCTAAGCTTGTAAACTTTTTTAATTTTAGTTGCGTTATGAATTATAACTATAATTAAAATTTTAAGAAATACAATTATTTTGGTAATTTTAACTATGTTAGTTAATATTTTGTGGTTATTAAATATAAGCATTATTTGTATTAACTTCTGTTTAGATTAGATTATATTGCTCTTCTTAATCATCTAATTCATAGGAACGATTTAAACCTTTTTCTGAGCATTAACTTTAAAAATTATCATATTGTTACTTTTGATTTTTTTCTAATTCATTAAATTACTGGTACTTATATTTTTACTCAAAATTTTAATCAATTTGATTCTCAAATTCATATTGATAATTTTGTTGATTTTATTCCATTTAGTTATTGTAAATATGTTAGCTTTATTATTTTTAACAATTATTATTTAAATTAGTATTTTATGATTCTTAATGTTAAGTGTTAAAATGGCCTTTAAATTAGTTTATATTTTAAATTTATCGCTGTCCATTATTTTAAAATTCAAATTAGTTAGGAAATAGATTATTTTTTTGATTTTATTTTTAACTAGTTTGGTTATTGTAAATGTGTAAGCTTGATTAGTTTTAGTAATTATTGTTTAAATTAATTTCTTATGATTTTTTATGTTAAATGTCAACATAATCTTAAAATTATTTTGTATTTTAAAATTATTACTATCCATTATTTTAAAATTCAAATTAGTTAAGTGATTGATAATTTTGTAGATTTTATTCTCTTTAGTAATTTTAAATATGTTAGCTTTATTATGTTTAATTGTTATTATTTAAATTTTTATCTAGTGATTTTTAATGTTAAATGCTAACATAATCTTAAAATTAAAATTATAGCTGTCCATTATTTTAATATTCAAATTAGTTATTTAATTGATTATTTCGTTGATTTTATATCTCTCTACTTTAGTTATTGTTATAATATAAGTAATTTTAACAATTAGTTTGTTATTATAATTATTAATTGGATTTTAAGAAATTGTTACTATTAAATTTGCTTTATTAATTAAGTTGCTATTATTTATTTAGAAGTGGACTTATTTATTTTTAATTGTGACAATGAAATGTCCTATCATCAACTCTTTTTTCGTAATTACCTATTTTAACATTACAATAGTAATCCTCTATGTGTTAATCTTAATAGTATTAATTTATTTAAGGTTTCTAATCATCTTCAGTATTTTATATTGAACTAATTTACTCTCCATCGTTATTTAGATTTGTATTACTATTTTAATAATCTTAATAATTATTTTCCTCTTTTATAAAATCTTATTCCATATTTTTCTTTAAACCAACAAAAAGTAAACGATTATCTGACATTTTAGCAAATTTTAATTTATTATAATTTTAGTCTAATATAATGATATTTTAGATCTTTTTATACTCCTTTTATTATTAATAAAAATGTATTTAGCTATATTATTAATCTTTTTATTAAATAAATTACAATTTAATTAAAAAATCTTTATTTCCTTCTTCTTAGTTTTTTAAATATTTTTGATATACTTACTTTATTTCAAAGTAAAATGTACCTCATAAATTCAAAGGAAATAATTAATATTTTTACATTATATTAAATATTATTTTTCAGTTTTTACCTTTTTAATAATTAAAATGATTCAAATATTTATTTCATTTAAAAGAAACTGATAAGTAAATAAAATGCCTTCTTAAAATACCAAGATAAAAGTTATTTAGAATATTATTCTTTTGCTTGATTAATTATGTTGTTAACAAATTCTAATATGTCTATTTAAATAAAAGAAAAGGTGAATTTATATTTAAATAATTATTTTAACTCCCTTAAAAAGTTTAAATATTCATATTATTTATTAAATACATTTAACAATTTTACAAAATTTTATAATTTGAATATTCATTTATGAATAGCTAACATATATTCAATATAATTTATATAAATACATAAAATCAAAAATTACAAGATATTTAAATTGTTTATTATAATAAAAAATAGATAATAAAAGATTGAATATTTTATCTTGCGGATTATGGCATTGATATATGTTTACTAAATATTTCATAACCTAAAATAGTAAATCTTTTAGATAAGAAACTAAATAATTCTAATTATCAAAAACAGTATTATTTAAAGTTATATTATGTATAGCTATTAAAATATTAAATATAAAACAATACAAAAATATTTTTTTTAATTATCATATGAGGTCTACTTCTTAATTTGCTAAACCACTTTGAAATCTTTATTCCAAACTTATAATAGTTATTCGTTTTTAAAAAAATATTAATCTTAGATACACTGGTGGATATTAATAATAATTAATCATTATTTTATTCTAATTAAATTATATTTTTTTATTAAAATACAATATTAAAAATGACACCAAACTATATTAATTCGCCAGTTAAAATACCCAAAAAAATGTTCAAAAACCTATAAATAATTTCTTTTAATGCTTTTTGTTTTTGATTTGTTAATACAAAACAAATATCTTTTCTCTCCACTTAAAATTAAGTTATTAACGAAAAAAAAACATATCAAATGTATATTTTTGATATTGAGAGAATTTGAAAATTTATCAAAAGAATAGGCGTTTATAATTCCTTTTTGATATTCTATTTAAATCATCAAAAAAGTTTTTCTATATTAAATACATATTCAAAGATACAAAGTAGTTACTAGCTCTTTATCATTGAAAGTCGATTTTATTCTTTAAGAAGTCAATGTTAAAATTAACAATCAAAAAAGCAAGAAATAAACTATGAAAATCAAATGATTTAGTCTAACAAATCATCGATTTGTTGGCAAATAAAAAAATTTATTTCAAAGAAATTTGTAAATTGATAATTAAAAATTAGAAAAGTAAGCAGATTGATTTGAATATAAAGGAAAGGACAAGCATATATTATTAACAAACAATTAATTAATTTGCATACATAATATATTCTTAGTGAAGTCAAATGAATCAATATAATGGAAGACTTTAATCAATATAAGAGTCTGATTAGGAATACTAGGACCATCAAAGCGTATAAAATAGGTTAAGTATCAGTAATTAATGCTCTTACAATTTTGAGAACTCTTCAATTAGCAAAATTCTAATGAGCAAGAATTTAAATAGTATTCAGTTACCGTCTTCTTTGTATTTGAAAAACTAATAGCAAGACAATCAAGCTCTTTACAAATATAATAGTAAGCCTTAATTGCAATAGTCATAAGCAGTTATTGCTTCTTAGCATTAGATTACACCGTATCTTCAAACTTAGTCTTAAAAATACACACTGCCAAATACTATTGAAGATCTTTTAACAGTCTAAAATGGAGGTACCTCTAAACATTTTTTTGATGAGAATTCTATAGATTTGAGCTTTATTAATTTTCTCAACAAAGATGACCATTAGAATGCTCAATAAATATCTTCTAATATTAGCAAGGCTGCTTATACTAATAGGTAACTACCAAACTATGCTTCTGTTTTTTAAAGCAACGGCTAATTAAGTAGCATCTAGAATTTGAATACTAGCAATAACTTAACATAGTACCCATCAGCTATTTTAGGCTCAGGAGGAGTTAAAGCAAGTCAGCAAGTATAAGAGAAATACTAGCAAGGACTTTAAAACATTAATGACTTAGTTTAACTTTTGACAAGTCCTTCCTATACACCGGATAGAGTTGCTTAGACTAAGCAATAAGAAAACACTATTGTTAGTTAAAACAATCAAAATTCATAACCAAAACCAATAAGTTAACAATATGATGAGATTATGCTTAAATACCAAAGTGTTTTATAAAATAGCTAGAGTGATAAGATTAATGAAAATTATTAAGATAATTAGCGTTCACCTTTCAATAACTAAAATGAATCTATTAAAATAAATGATGTTAGTGAGTGTTTGTACCCAATTTCAGATAGCTACTCAAATAGCAATATAGGGCCTTTCAATCCACAGCAAGATCCAAATAATCTTGGATAAAAAGCTAATCACAGAAGATTGAGCTCTTTAGATTATTAATAGGGTAGCAACGAAAACAACTAGAATAGAATAGTTGACAGAAAACGCTTGAGTCCATCCTCTAGATAATTTACATTTGAATAAAATAATGATATGAGAAGTAGCAGTTTATCTTTAAATAGATTCAATAATTAATCAATCAATACAAATTAAATCAATGAAAATTAGATATTTTCAAATAATTAATAGTTAAATGCAAATTCACTTAATAGTAATAATAATAATAACGTTAACTCATAAATAGCACAAAACAGTAATAATTATTATGAAGAAGCTACAAAAAAAGCTCAAAATCAAAAGCAATAACAATAACAATAAAATCCTCTTAATTCTGTTAATTTAAATGATGTATAATAAAATTATGTAAATAGTTATTAGAATTAAATAGCCTAACAAGGAACAACAAACACAAATAGCAATATGCCTTATATGAGCTAGAATTAATCTGTAAATAATAAAATTGATTATTCTAATTCTTAAGCTGTATAAGGTAACGCTGCTCCTTCTCTTAAATCTCAATAATATGAGCAAATATTGTAAAAATATTTGCCTAAGGGATATGCAACATAAAATTCTACTTAGTAAAATATTTATAGTTCCTAAAATAGCTAGAATAATTCAGCTTCAAGCAGTATGATTGCTAATGGAGGAATGAATAATGATGCCAAGGGCTTAAGAGATAGAAGCAATTCTATAAATAAGCTTGCCACTGCTAGAGAGTTATTAGAGAATTTCTCTGCAACTAAGAAGAATAACAGTAATTAAAATTCGCCCTAACCTCGACAACCTCTTGGAATAATTTAAAACAACCTTGCCAACAGCTTAGCTTCAGAAAAGTTTAATACTTTAAGCAGTGCATAGAAAATGAAAGAGAGTAATTTCTTTTTATAAAACAACACCTTGAAGGAGAGCAATGTATTTTAATAAAACCAAATGAAAGATAGTAATGGGTTTTAAAATTTGTAATAATTTAAAGATTCAAAAGGATTTCAAAACTAATCAAACTATTAAAATACATATAATAGCAAGAGTTTAACACTGACTTAATAGTAGATGACACAATAAAATACCTTGCAAGATGATGTTAGTGGAATTCCATTGTATAAGCCACTGTACAACACAACTTTGACAAATGAAATTAATCCTTTACATAATTAAAATTACAACAATATTATCTCGAACTTACCAGATTTAAAAGTTCAACCCTATTTCTAAAACTAACAAATTTCAGTAAATGAAAACATTTCATAACTTCAAAATAAAAGAGCTTCATTTGATTACAAATAACCTATTTCATAGTCACAATAACCTCAAACTAATTAAGGAGTATAGAAAACTACAAGCGATTACACTAATTAAGCAAAGTATAACTTATAATATTCGGTCTCCCCATTTATTGTCTAAGATGCTAACAAAAATAATTAAATTGAGTAAAATAATCTATAAACATAGATCTCATACAATAAAAATATAGATAATATCTCTGCTACTCCTATTTTAAATGCATAAGAATAATTTGTTCGTACTAATAACCATATGAAATCTGTTAATGAAGTTTTACCCCAACAAATTACTTTACCTAATAACAGTAATCAAGTGACTAGAAGATAAAGTATTTAAAGTGAGAGCAGGTTTACAAGTTAATAGTATGACCTAAGTTCTTAAAGAAAAAATAGTATTGATAAACCAGTTATTTTGGATGCTAAGTCTTTACTTTTATAAAAAGAATAAGAGATAAAAATGCAAACTACTTAGCAATAAAATGGTTTTTATAATTTGTAATCGCAATAACAGCAACCACTTTAATAATTATCTCAATAACCATATTAGTAATAAACAGTATAGCCATTATTATAATAGCCTCTTCTTTAGCCTATTTAATAATAGCAGCAATATGTATAGCAGTCATAATATTCATAATCGTTTTATAACTAATAGTAGCAATAGTCTTTGTAAAGCTAACCAAATAGTTCAATTTAATAACAACCAAATTTACTATCAGCTTTACCTTAGCCCTAGGTTTAATATAATTAATAACTCTAATAGCAGAACTAGCCATTTACTAATCAAAATTAACTTCTAATACAACCATAGAATCTCTAACAATAATAACCTTAAGTTTTCTAATAATAATAAATGATACAATAATAAGGAATTTCTGTTTAGCAAAATAACCCTTAAGCTTTTTATTAACAATAAATATTATAACCATAAGGAGTTATACAGCAATAATAAGCGGTACCTCATTCTATGTATTAAGATAATTAATACTAAAATTATTAAACCATAAATTAACAAAACTAACCTTAACATTCACATTAACCTTTTGATGCAAAACTAACTCATGTAGATTATGTTTTTAATACATAACAAAGCTCTTAAAAACCAACATAATATTAACGTAGCAATTCTTTTTAGAGTCAGTAGTAAAGTAGTGCAACTTAATCCAATAAATTCTAAAGCTAGCCTTTTGATAAACTAACCATTAATACTTAGTTCAATAAGGAAATAGTAATTCCAAGCACTATTTCACCAATCAGCACTCCTACTAACGGAAGAAATAAACAAAATAATGTTGATAAAGAGTTTGAACTGGAATTCAAGGATTTTGTTCTTGATTTACAAACTTAGTAACAAACCCATTAAGATCAAGGAGAAAAGAGAACCCTTAAACCTTCTCATTCACAGCCATTCCTCACTAACGCTTTCTTTTCTGCTTAAAAAGAATAAGTTTCTAACAATCTAAATAACAACGATTACATGGTAAAGTCTCAATAAAAACCTAAAAGAAAAATATTTGAGGAGCATTTTAAAAATCAAAATAATCACAAGACTCTAAAGATGAATGGTCAAATGCTTAAAAATGTTTTGGGGCTTACTAAAGCTTAAAATAGGAATAGTAATAATTTAAGCGATAATTAATATAGTTTAAGAGCCAATACAGAGAATAATCTTAGTGGAAACACTTAAGAAGCCTAGTATGCTAAAGATATGGCTTCAAATAATAACCCTAATATAAATTTCAGTAGATAAACAATGCATAATATTCTCAATCCTTATAGATAACCAAGCTAAACAAGTTATCTTCCACCAAAACCTAAATACATAGTCCCACCAAAAGAAGAATCTCCAATAAAGAACTATTATAATAATGCTTCAATTCAAAATTAAAATTAAGAGCCAGAAAAATTAAGAACATCTTAAAATTTGGACTCAAAAGATCAATATAGTAGTAGTAAAATGCAAGAATTTAACATATTTAGTAACAAATAATCAATAGCAACAACCTCTGCTTTTAGATTTACTAATAAAAATGAAGGAACGAACTATAGACCATCAGAGACTCCAAACTAATTTGATAAGTCTTATCAAACTGGAACTCTTTAGACTTCATTTAAATAAAAAGAAGAAGCCAAAGATATGATCAGGACAATAAAAAGTGATGAATAGTTAGAAGAAAATGTCAAAAGAGCACAATTCTCTAGGAGTAAAAGTACAGCTAAAATATTTGCAAATTAAAATGAAGACAATAAAAATGTCTCATAAGGTGTGCAAATAACGTTCTAAAATCCGTTGGCTGCTTAAAATTCTAATAATGCAGTTGATATTGATAGAAATTCTGAATTTAAAAAATAGAGTGCAGCTAGCATTTATAAACCTCAACAAACATAATATAATTTTATGTACCCATAGATTACTGATAAGGATAGAAAAATGTTATAAATGGCTGAGTAAAAAATGTAGAATTAAAATCAGGATTAATCTGTTTTAGGTATCCCAATTTTATGTATAAATTGTGATAATTACTATGAATAAAAAGAAATCGAGAATCATATCTGTATTCCTAAAGAATCAAATTAACCTAAATAAGAAGTGAAATAAGAATTAGCTAATCCATATTCTTAAAAAAGCACTCCCGAACAGTAATTCTCAGTAGAAAATAGCCTAGTTAATGATAAAATAAAGGTAATTTATGATAAAATAAGTGAGCAACCATAATCTAATGAATAGGATTAAATAAAATAACTAATTGAGCGTATTCTTAAATTAAATTTAAATTCAGAAGGTCTAACAAAAGAGTGCCGCACATTATCTCATCTAAATAAAACCGTAGAAAATATAAAATCAAGAGCTGGTCTCTCACTATTAATTCTTTCTTAGAGAGCAGAAGTGTTGCTTAAAGATAAAATTGATATTTATAGAAGAAAAGAAGGATTGAGTAAAAATTAGAACGCTAGTAACGTATTTAATATTAACCATATAAATCAAATGAATGTATTAGAATTTAATAAATCAAGCTATAGCTCCTCTAGAGCTAATGCTTTTGTTAGTAACTAAAATATAGAAAGCTAAAAGGCAAACAAAAATGAAGAGCTGCCCACTGAATATGATGTTACAGAAATAAATTTCACTTAAAACAATAAAACAGACAGAATAGAAAGTAACAGAAATACTGCAAATAATAATTACGAAAAAGTGAATAGCGCAAACGCTGTACCAACTAACAATTCACCACGAATTAGTTTAAATATCAATTAAAATTAAGTAAGCATATAAAAAAATAGAATCTTTTCTCCACCTGTGACAAAGATTTTTAACCACAGCATAAACAGCAATTTTGGGGAACCTTAAAATAAAATTTAAAATTATAATGAGAAAATAGAAATAGAATCTACCACAAACTATTCAAAGAAGAAACAAGGTATTAATAGTAACTAAAATGATGATGCTTAAAGCTAATATAATTCTTCTCAAATGAGCATCGAAAGCAAAGATTTGCTAAAAAAATACTAGTAGTCATCTAGCTTAATTAAATTTAATGAATCTAGTGTGTAGAGCTAGTAAAAGAGATAATTTTATAATATAGCCCTTAATCTTAAGCTCAAGTTACCAGCTAATCACCCTGCTAGAGATTGCGTTATATCAGAAATGTTTACATAAGCAGAAAAATAAAATGTACCTGAAAATAATTATCAAAAATATATAGAAAACTACTTCAAATAGTTTAAAAATTGAGTAAGTAATCTATTTTATCTTTTATTCGAAAGATCAATTATCAGATAATGAACTATTACTATTAACTAATTAATTAACTTTATTTACTTTTATTAAATTCAAAATCGGTTGTTAGTTTATTTTTTATCATAATATATTTAGTTTTATCAACCTTTCTTTAAAAATAAATGTTTAAATCTTTCTTTTATCTAAAATTTTATTGTGAAAAGATTCTTCATATTGCTTTCATATTTGTTTATTAATGTAATAAACTACTACCTTTATTTAATTTAAAATGCATTTTTATTTTTTAATTGAAATATTTTCTCTGGTTTATTTTTAGAAGTAATATCTTAAAAATAATTAATTTGATAAATTCCACAGATTTATCTTCAGCAAGTTGAGATAGGAAATACAGCTGTTGCTCATATTAAAAGATCTTTTATTTTAATTAAATTATAAGCAGATATTTGTCTTTATAAATTTGTAAATTAATAATAAAAAAAGGTTCCTGCAATTATTGTAATAAATGTAAATTAACTTAAATTTAGAAATGAAAAATCTTATGTTTATGGTAATAGATAAAGTAAAAGGCTTGCTCTAACAAATATAAAATTCTGTAAACATAAATAAAGTTTTAAATTATTTTCAAGTAAGTATTTATCATTGTAAATATTGGTAAAATTCATATTAACATTTCTAAATAATAAGATTTTGGGAACATTTTAATTATTATTTATATCTCTTTTAAAGCAATAAATATCTAATTATATTATAAGCTAAAATTTCTAATCTTTTTTAGTATATTTGGTATTTGTTTTTAAGTTTTATAATGTATATTTCAAGTAAAAATAAAATATTGAGGTAAAAAAAGAAGGTGAAAAAATATTGTTTCAGTTAGATTTTATTTACAGCTGTTTTTTGATAACAAAGATTGAATAAAGGATCAATTTTATATACTAAAAAAATAATATAAACAAAATTTAATTTAAACATTAAACATTAATAAATTCTTAATTAAATTTCATTTTAAAATTATGCCAGTAATTAGACAAATATTTTCTTAATCAAAAATAATTAAGAGGGATTATACATACCAATAAATACTATTGAATTTTATAAAATCTCTTGATAAAAATCATAACATGAAAGTATCTTAAATTTTTTTATCAATAAATTCTAATCCTTCATTTTCTTAATGTATTTTGTGATGAAAAAATTCTTCATTTAAATATAAAAATGAATAATATACTCAAAATATTATTAGAAGAAAAACAATATTGATGTTTATTATGAAAATTAAATAAGCTGTTATATTGTTAGATTAACTATTTAAATATACTTTGAACTGAAATTAGTATATCTCAATACAATTTTTGTAAAAAAAAAAAGAACAATATCAAACACTTACAAAGTTTCTTTAGATAAGAAAAAAATTGACTTTTACTTCAAACGAATAAATCAATGGTGAGTAGTAAATTATGATAAATAAAAACTGGATGTATAAGAATAATTCTCTGTAAAATTAATCAGCCTTTAAGAAAGAATAAATTTTTAATTGATTAATTTATGATATCCAAATAACTTTATGCAACATTAAAAGCATACATACAACATATAATTAATTTTTTTAATTAAAAAGTAATAAAAACAAAATTTAGTGAAAAATATAAAAAATAAATACATATTATTCGAAATAAGTTGGAAAAACATTTTAAATTGTCAAAAATATCTTACTGATCTCAAAAATATTATAAAATCATTCAAAGAAATGAAACACAATATTATTCAAAAATAATCTTGGTTATAGTCTATAGATAAATTTGGTGTTGGTGTTAGTATTCGCTATAATAAGTAGAGCTTTCACAAGACTTCTTGTGGGGGATTTTTTACAATGGCTATTATTGGATTTATGATCTATAATACTGTGATTATTGCTTATGAATTAATTTTGCAGAATAGTCCAACGGTAATTTAACAAACTAATTACATATAGCAACAACCATCAGTGACTCTAAATCCAAATATTTTTACCATCGCTTTAGGCTTACAGGATGAAAATTATGTTCACTTTTTAGACGAAACTATTTACACTATAAGCGCTAGATAGAATTTGCAAATAAGAGAGATGGATTAGAGTGGTAATGCAAGCTTTAAATTGATTTACACTGATGTGAAAATGAAACCTTGTACTGCTTAAAATTTTTAAGTTGAGGGAACTCAATAATACTTCTTAAACTTACCTTATTAATTTATGTATTGTATATCATAAGACCAATAATTTCCTTCTATTGAAGGAGAGTTTTCAAACGATAGATTTTCTTAATTCGAATTATTCTTCAAAAAGTGCTAAAATACTACCGAAAGCAGTAAATGCAAACCACAAAATGTTATTAATTAAAAACTTAGTAAAATTACATTAGGTACATATATTTCTAATTATGAGATCGAAATAACTAATAAAGACAAGCCATTCTTTTCTAATGGATAAAATTTATTTTGGTCAACAGGGGTTGGGATGGAAAAAGACGTCTACCTCCAATTAATGAACAACAAGATTTAAAGCGATAGTGGTATTATTTTCAATGATTTTAATACAATCTAGAATCTCTCATATTCATCCAATAGAGAAATAGTTTTACCCTAAACTACAGATTTGCTTTTTTATATGAGTGTTCTTTATGAAAAGAATAAAGAATAGGTTTTTACAAGGACATATATGAAACTGAATACAGCTTTCTCTTAAGTGGGTGGGCTTTTTAATTTTCTTATATTTTTAGGCTATGCTATTTGTCGCCCCTTTTCATAGCTAAGACTTAATTAGAAAGTTATCAACGAATTGTTTACATTTGGCAAAAAGCGCAAAAGTCCTTTTTAGGCTAAAAATTTAGCTGGTTTGAGTCCGATTGTTGATGCCAAAAATTTAAGTAGCTTCTCTAAAAGAGAGAATTACATCAAAAGAAATATGAAAAGCTGTTTCAAAGATGAGGCAGCAGCAACCTAAGTAAATATTCCTCAAAATAAAGAAAATGATGAGACCATAGCAAAATTTCCAATATCGCCTTTGAATCAGCTTAACTCAAACGGAAAGCTAACATCAATTAATTAAATAAACTAATCAGTCATACATAACCAACCTTTGTAATCACAAACTGGGAATTAAGTAGTTGAGGATTAAACAAATCCACCTCTCTCTTATTCAGGCTAACTTTAATAAGCTAATTAAAAAGTAAAAACAAAACCCTAATCCCAAAACCCTTTGATAATTGAATAAGAGCAAAGTGTAAATTAAAATTCCAATTTATCAAAAAAATAAGATAAAAGCCTAAAAATTAACATGTGGGATTATTGTCTAAGCTACTTCCGTATATTCAAGTGTTTTTAAACATAAAGGCAAAAAATAATCTAATATTCCACAGACAGTATACTTAGACATATTGATCTATTTAACATTATAAGAAAACTCATAGAATTAGAAAAACTAAAGAGGCTCCTATTGAATGAAAATTAGAGAAAGCTTTTTGAATATTTACCAAAGCCGAATTTATGTCCTAATGATTTCGAAAATTGCAATAGCGAAGAATAATTTATAGAAAAATCTGAAGAAATGCAGCAAGTTATAGGGCTTCTTTGTGATGACTATAAAGAATCTGAGAGAGTTTCTTCAGTTGAGGAAGCGTATAAATAAATCAAATATAGTTAAAAGAATAAATCCCATCTTGATGAAAGGCTGATTGAAATGCTTGATAATTCAATAAAAGAAAAAGTTGATAGCAACGAGTATTTTAATTAGCTATCAAAATAAATTTAGGAAGAATTAAAACCACAAATTAATACTCAAATTTCTGATGTAAATTATGGTAAATTTAATAACAACAAAACCGATTAGCAATAATAGGTGTAAGGTAAAGACTAAATTCATTCATTGAAAGCTGCTTCTATATATTAAAATTATGGTGTTGACTAAATAAATTTATTTAACTAGGATAACCAAAACGAATTAGAATCTTGCACCATAAATCTATAAGAAAATATACCCTAAAATTTCCAGAGCTTAAATTTAAAAAGTTTTTATGCAAATACTTAAATTCCTCTCTAAATTGATTTAAGTCCATCTAAACTGAATAGTGCTTCAATAAATCCTATTCCTTAATCTGTTAAGATGTAGCACAATTTATCAGCTAAACCAAAAAATGCATCAAAAATAATCAAAGGAGATGAGAGCTAGTCAGTATCAATGAATAATACATCATAGTCAATTATAGAATTAAATTAAATAGGGTTTAATATAAAAAATAACTGAAAATACAAAAATATATATTAATGATTTAATTACAATATGTTCGTAACAAAATAAATATTTTCTTTCATTTTTCTTTCTCTTAATCTTTATTCTCAAAATTTAAATCAAGTATAGAAAAAAAACAAATTTTTATTATTCGATTAATTTTTGTAATTACTATATAACTTTTCTACTCTATGAATGGTTGGAGTAATAATTATATATTTAATTTACCAATTTTATATGAATCGATACTTCTTTTTCTAAACTGTAAATGATTCTATTAAAAGCAGCACAAATCAATTTTAAATTTTGTAAGCTATAAAATTTTAAAGTACTAAGCATTGTAAGTTTAATCTAGTAACTTAAAAAAAATTATATTTTTAATTAACTAATAAGCTAAATTTTGAATATTCCAAAATTTTATTTTACAATTAGTAATTTAATAAATATTACTCAATGTTTAATGCTAGCACAAATCTTTTTTTTAATGTAAAGCAGATAGTTAATTTTTTTAATTTTTCTTACAAAAAAGTTTGAGATAAAATACAAAAAGTAAATAATAAAATATAAAAAATATATTTTTTATTATGTAAATAAAATATTAAATAAATTACCTTATAATTTATTAAAAAAATTAAAAATAAGTTTGTAATCTCAAGATAGTTTTTTTTCATCATCCAGATAAATTAGATTATTGCTAGAATTTGTTAATCTTAAAATAAATTAGCAAATGATGATGAAATTAATTAATGATAGAAAGATACATTTTAGTATTTAAATTTTCTTTTTCATTATTCTTTAAATATTCTGTAAAAATAATAAATTTATTTTAAAATAATTATTTATTTAAAAAAAAAAAAATTTAAATAAAATTAATTTAAATTGTTTTTAAGTAGGTACTATGAAATGTTAAAAATAAAAATTGGAATAATTTTAATTTAGAAATTAAAATTTCAATTTTAAAATAAATTGAAAAATAATTTTTAAAACTAAATAAATAAACTAAAAAGAAATTTAAAATTATATTTAAAATAAACGAATAGAAAAGAATTGAAGAATCTATCTTGAATAAAAATGTATAAATAAACACGTATCAAAAAAATGATAATAAATGCTAAGAGGCTAGATATCTTTAATAATTGATGCTCCAAAAAATAGTATGTATGTATATATGTATACATACATAATAATAAAAATTTCATTTTTTAAGATTTTGAATATGATTTGCTTGATGATTTATTTATTTATTTGCTTTTATTTAGTAAAATCTTAAAAATATAAATAAACTGAGAAAAAATAAATATTCATATTTTTAATTAATCTTTAAATTAAAAATTTTAGTAAAATAATTAAACAAATTCATAGTAAATGAAAAAGAGTTTATTTTTAATAGCAATCCTCTTAGTTTCTGCATTTGCTTAGGACGACCAATCTTAAGGTAAAATTAAATATGCATTTTCAATTATAAACAAATTTATAAAGTAGTTTGAAATGCTAATTATGTTTTTTATATAAAAAAAGGATAGAATGTAAGTAGATTAAGATTTTCAAATTTCAAAAATAATCAATGCAAATCTTGTTTAAACAAGCTTTTAAGATAGATTTCGTTTATTTTTAAATGCCATATTTCTAAGAAAGCATACAGTTAGATACATTTTTTTATTTTGAAAATAGGAAGAAATAGTTGCAAACTAAACAGAGGGAGATTAAAGCACCTTTGTTGAAAGATTCATTGCAAGTTTGACTATGGACAATTTGAATAGATTAAGTTAAAAGTATTTTTATGAAAGTTTAGCTATTTACGGCATGCTTTTGTTTATTATATTCTATTAAACTGGTAAGAAATAAAACATCATTATGCTTAATGACTGGTATGATGCTTGCAAAAATGTTTTTGAATCTAACTTCTCTCATGTTGGTGTTGGAAAAAGTGGTGATAAATCTCTTTTCTACTAAGAAACACCTGCTGCCTTTAAATTTTACGCTTCTGGCCGTGAAACAATTCAATTCTGTTTAGTTAATTTCGAGGTAAAACTTATTCTAACAATTATACTCGTTAATATTTAAAGGAATTTAAAAGGTTTTAGCTTAATAATATTTTTATGCTTGAAAATAAATTTTTATATTATGAAAGATATGATAATAAAAAAGAATAGTCTTTCTAAGCAATGATTGATTATTTAATTTTTAAATTGAATTTAAGTTTAAATCCAAATGTTAAGAAATAAATTTATTTTTATTTTATTGAATTTAGTTCAGAAAAAGACAAGATATCATCACTAACTGGTTTTTCAATTTGATCTGGCCCGAAAAAGACAGAATTACCATTGATGTATGGAATATAACATTGTTTTAAACTAAATCAAATGCTAAATATTTTTATATAGATGCCTCTTTACGACCAAAAAGAACCTATTTGTGCTGCAGTATTGAGAAAGAAAGACCTTAAAACTGCTAGGGAAAATTACCTTGACTTAAAGGGTTTGGTTCAAAAGATTGACACTGATATTTTGGATGATAACCACTTGGTTCTTCTCGCTGGTGATAATTATATTGCTAACACTTTATTTGATGATTCCACTTTAAAACTTTTGGAATAAAATCAAAAATATATCTCCCTTATTCATATCACTGACTGCTAAGTTTTTTCAAGAGCGTACATACTTAAATAAACAGATAAATTTATATTTTTAACTATTTATTTAAAAAAACAAATTAACAGTAATTCTCACATGAGAGTAATTTTGAACTTGCCCACCAACAAGAAGGAATACCCTATATTCGAATAGCTTATGGCTGCTATGATTAAAATTGCAGACAAGTTACACTCTGTCAAGTTACCTTCTTAAGTAAGAAACTTTATATTAAATAATTAAAAGCTTATTATTTTAATTTTGAATGAATTAGTCAAGAGCTGATGCCTAAAAAGAAAGAGAAATTTATGAACAAATTAGAACTAAGGATCAAAGAGAAAAGTAATAGGAAGAATTAAGAAATGAAAAGGAAAAGAAGCTTAGAGAAGAAAGAGATAGAATTAGTAAATTAGGAAAGGAAGAATTATAGAAGTACGAAGAAAAGCAAGCTCAAAAAGAAAAGAAGAAACTTCTTTCAAAGAGAGTCCAAAAGATTATGTGAGTAGGACTAAAATTAAAACCTAATTCTGTTATTTAAATAAATTAAAAACTTTAATTTGCTTGTTTGTCTACATAAAACCAAAATAAAATCATATTTAACTAATATAAAGGAATCTTTATTTATAAGCAATAAATGCATAAAAAGTAGACTTAACTAAAAATCCATCAAAATAGAATTTTTGATTTTAACTCAAATTAAGTTTGTTCTTTTAATAAGAAATATTTAATTTTCATAACATTATTAAAATGTTTAAATATTGTTAAAAATTATATTTTTTGTTTATTTATTTGAATAATTCCAAATAAAATTCTATTTAATTTGAAAGAATATTTGTTTATAAATTATTAATTTATAAAAATTAGAATAAATGTACTCCTTAATTTGAATTATTTATTAATTTTAGATTAATATTTTGTTTTTTTTATACAATCAATATAAACAAATCTTAAATAAATATTCATAATTTTAATTATTATTTTATTGCAAAAATAAATATAAATTCTGTCTTTTTTTATATATGATAAAGGAAATATAAATAAATGCATTGAACAAACAAGAAGATTTAATGAGTTTGATGATGAGTATTTTAAGTGTTAAAGTTAATATAAAAACAAGTTTGTAATGCAAATAAATAAATAGTTTAAAACATTTTTGTTACTATTAACGATTTAGTATTTTATTAAATAAGTTATTATAAAGTGTAGTATTAAATTAGAATTGGTTATTATTTATTAAAGTAAGATTTGTTATTAATTTTATTATTTTTTAATAGATAAATGAACTCCATTTGCTATTTTTTGTCTTTCGCTTACTAATTCTATTTTTATATTTCAAAAATATTGTTGATGAATTTGATTTTTTAATTGCTAATAAATATTTATTTTGAACAATTAATTGTAAGAAAAGTGCGAAAACTTATGGCAATAAAGTCCCATAAATTACTCTACTAAACTTAAATTTATTTTGCTTTTTGTCATCGACTACTAGCTCGTTAAATATTAATTTCAGCAAGCCAGCCATGAAAAGCTTTTTTAATTTTTAAGTTTAATATTTATTAATTACATTGTATGCTTGAGATATAAAACGAAGAGGGTTCTTGAGATTATTGAATTTGTAGAACATGGAAGGAAGAGAACTAAAATCATAGCCAGACTTTCAAAGAATGAAAAGAATCAGTACATAGAAGTAAAATATCTTAAAAACGACAACTAATTTGAATACAAACAAAATATGAGCAAATATAAAAAGAAATCTTTGATATAAAAGTTTATGTTTGAGAATTGCAAAATTAAACCACAATGAAGTGTGATTTAATGTTCGATAAGCAATAAGTTTTATTTAGCTTTATTATTAGGAGTTAAAATAAGATAATAACTTATTTTATCTAAGCGAACAAAGCATATTATTGTGTTAAAGTTAAATATTTTTACATTTAATGCAGTAAGTAATTCACACTGAGATGATTATTATTTACTACAACAGATTTATTTGTTTAGTACATTCTTCGAAGAAAAGCTCTATTAGTTTAAATAAAAATTTATTTGAAACTAAAATAGCTATCTTCCTGTTTTTTTTATTTTTGTTTGTATTAAATTTGTTTTAATTAATTTATTTATTTATGATTTTTCATATTCCAAGTAGAAATTTTGAAAGCAATATTTTGTTATTTTAATCTAAGCCTTTATTTTATATTTAATCTTTCCAAATTCTTTTTGCTTGCTTAATTTAGCTATATATTTGATTATTTTTCTCTTTCTTAAAGGCAAATAAAACTTATCTACCTACTCTCCTTCTTGCTTTCTTTCCAATATTTCATTAAAGAAAAAATCCTGATAAATAAATAAATTTGAAGAAATAAAAGTGAAATAATATTGTTTTTATTAAGCAATTAATATAATTTTTATACATTTATATATTGATATATATCTACAATAATATTATAATTATATGATAAAAAATCATTTAAATTTTATTTTATTTTATCATTATTTTCCTTTAATAAAATTTTTTATTTTCCCTTAAGGGAATTTATTAATTTTGCTTTTGATCAATTTAATAGTGCTTGTTTTTAATAGTTTCTGCTCAATGTGGATATTATTTTCTTTACTTTTATCCTACTAATATCTTTAAAGGGATTTATCATTTAAACATGTTGTTTAGAAGTTCAATTAATTTTATTTTTTCAAGACTAGTTGTCAGGCATCAGTACACAAACTAAAAGCTTTCCGATAGCTTTACTTAGTTCCTTTGTTTACAGGATTGTTTTACAGAAATTTGAAATCTCGCTGTTATTAATTTCATCAATTTACTTTTTCTATAGGTTTTGAAGAAGATTTAAAATAGTTTCGAGATTTTCTAATTAAATTTGTGATGGACGAGTTATGCATAGTAATTCTAACCAACGTTCTCTGTCTTAATCGAATAGTGCTCCCATCATTTTATTAACTTTTTTGGTTACTATTTTCTCTACTGATATGAACTTAACCTTCTTCTCTTTGATAGAAAATTCATTATAATTATCATTAATAACAAGCTCAATAAAATCACTAATTTTTTAAATCATTTTTTCCCAAATTCTTTCTTCAAGCTCATTTTTAGGAGTAAACAAACTAAATTTTTTATTTGTTCCAAGCAATTAACTAGGCAAATGTGGTGCTTCACCAAAGGACTATTCAAAAGTATACTCCCACTTTTCAAATGAATTCATACTTAAATTTTAATTACTCCTACACTTTTGCAAATTATCATAATCGTCTTCTAAAGTCTCTACATGTGTACCAGCTTTTTACTTTATTTCTTAATTATTATTACCAAATTACTATTTTTAGCTATTTCTTTACTCTAGTTGCCTATCAGATTCGTAAATTTTATTGTTTTTTCCTTCAATATAATCTTGTAAAGCTAGATTCAAAAAAAATGTGGCACTTATGTTATAGTCATTAGAATCTTTTTGTTGCATCAATATATCAGTCAAGCGATACATGAATCTATCAATAATTTTCTGCTCATTTCCACCATATACTTATTCTAAAATTTATTAGCATTCTTCTAAACTTAATTCAATTGTTTATGTTTCATAAATTTTCTTTTTAAAAAAATGATTGTTAATAAAATATTGATTTTTAATATTTGTAAATTTTTATTTGATTTTGTTAATTAAATTTCTTTTAATTTTGATAAAATAATTTATGAAAAGCTTCAATTAAATTTATTTAAGAATTTTAATTTTAAAGCTTTTAAAAAATAAAAATAGAAATAAATATTTTAATTATTTTTTTGAAGTTATGATTTCAATTTGTTTGTTAAATTAAAATATATTTTTTTAAATATTCAAAAACTGAACTCTTTTTTATGTTAATTTAAAATAATTATTTAATTACGTTGTTTGTATCGAATGCTTCTTAGGTGTACTTTAATAGCATTTCTCTTACGAATAGATAAAATATTAGCTCCTCTTCTTGGTAGGTATTTTGTATGAAAGAAGCAAATGTCTGAATGGGTAGTATTTAATTTGTACTGTATTTAAAATGATTCTAGATATAAAATTCTACACTCACAATCAAATTTATCAGATGTTGCTCACTTACTTTCTTTGAGGAGATATATTTTTCTTTGTAATATTCATATATGAATTCACTGAAAGATATTTCGTATGGTTGAACTCCTAGTTACATGCTTAACTCACTTCTGTATCCTTAATTAGATTTATTTTTTCTACTTCCATTTGAACTCATCTTCATCCTTAGGGTGTTTTCACAAAATTTAGCTTGATACAACTCTTCTATACATTTGTAGATCTAAGGTAATGTCATTTTTGTAGGTCTTAAGGCTAAGCTGGGGTCTGAATATGCTCTGATTTCTGTCAGCATAAATTGATTCTCTTCATTTTATTCTTGCTCTGTTCCGTTTAATGTTCTTTTACTGTTGATGATAATTTTCTAGTTGTAATTATTCAGCTAATTCATTGCGTAATCAGATACATCAGAGATATGAGAATGTTCGTTACTAATTCCTCCTTTATGTGAATTATTTCCTCTGCTATTTTGGTTGGAGCGACTTGACTAAATAGAATTTCCTAATTATTCCTATTTTCTTTATCTTTTTGTTTCAATATTGTAGAGCTTAAATTCATCATCGTCTTCATCTTCAAAATTTAATTTTTTTTAAGGATTTTAGACAAATTCTTGGTTCTATAAAGCATTTTTTACTGCTAATTTTTATTAATTGTCTAATTAATCAGCTGCTATCTAATTTTATTAATTAACTTAGTGTTAATTATTTGGGCTGCCAAAACTGTTAAACTCAAAATAATTGTTGAGATCTTTATTAATTTCTTATATATTTTAACCATTCTAGATGGTTTACTTTCTGAAAATGTTAGAATTGATACTATTTGGAGAGTTTACAGCTTACTTAGTTGAATTATTTTAAATTTTACTGTTTTATTTTCCTATGCTAGACATTGTTTATTTTTACAAAGAAGAATGTGATTTAGAAGAGCTTTAAGCAGAATTAATATATGAAGGAGAACGGTTGGGAGAAGTTGATTACTAATAAGCATCTTCTTATTTATTATAATTACCTTATCTTTAACTAATTTATGGTTATTGAGGACCCTTCTTTTTATCATGAATTAAATTGCAGACGTTATTAATTAGCTAGCTTTGTCTTTACATTATTTATTCAAAAGTTGAAGGTATCTTTTCTTGCTATGCTTAATTTTAGATTTAGTTAGTACTTCTGTTATTCTCTTAAGTGTTACTTCTCCCTCTACTTGTTTAAACTCTTTGATTAGATATCTAGATGTTTGAATGTCTACGCTAAGCTCCATTCCTACTTGTATTCAATTTTGACTCTTCCTTATTACTGTTTTCTTATTAATGTTGTTTGCGAGCAGTTACTGCTGGAGAAACACTCTTTCTTGATGGCTTTTGTTGCTTTTATTTATTTTTTTCTTGCAGTTTGTTAATAAATTCCCTATTTTTTTGCATTAAATCAAACGAAATTCCTCTAGATCTTTAATCATCTTGATTAATTTCTTTATTATTTTCCTTATTTATTCTACTATGATGATTATTTTATTATTACTTTATATTGTTACTACTGCTGCTTCTTTTATCCTTTCCTTTTACATCTTAGCCTCCTCCTTACTCACCTTTTTTGCTAATATTTTAATGAGATTACTATAGAGGAGCTATTTCTTTCAATAATTACTATTACTTTAATTATTCTTCATATTCTGCTAACTTATTTGCTTCTTCCAACTTTGCTTTAAGTTTCTCAAGTATTTGCTGCTTTTTATTTTCTAAAATTTCAGTTTTTTTTTACCCATTTTCAATGTTTTCAGATTCTTAAGATTTTTTGATCTATTTATATTAATTGTCCTAAGCTGTGCTTTGTGTTAATTTTGTTTTGCTCAGGCTTTCTCTGAGCTGCTGTGAAGAATTTATTTATTATGATTATTATTTTGTTAATTTGTTCGTTATATTTGTTAAAACTGGCTGTTATTATTGAATTGTAGGAATCTTTTTTTAAATTGGAGACTTACTGTAACGATTGTTAACCTTTGTGGTTGATTTTCTTTAGCTGATAGCCTCTGAGTTTTCTTTAGATTAATTTTATGCTTTTTTTATGTCCAATTTTGTTCCAAAACTGCTCCTTATTTACTTTTATTATTCATTGTTTTCTTTAGTGCTTATTAATACTTATTTCTCTTATTCTGAATTAAGTGTCTTTTGAATATTATTTTACTAAGGAGCAGAAGAAGTATTTTAAGAAGATGCTTCATTTTAATTCATATTTATTTTAATTGTAGCATTGAAAGTTTCCCCTGCCTAATCTTCAGTAAAAATAAATTTATTCTGCAAAAAAAATTCAATGTATTTTTATTATTCATTCTCATTTAGATCTGAGAAATTCACAACGTTTTGTGACATATCAAAAATTTTGAAACTAATTCAATGTCTTTAAAATAATTTTTAGAGTATTTAATCTTTAAGATTTGTTATGAATATGTTTTATGCTTCTAGTGGTTTATATTTCAAGCTTACTAAGCAAGAACAATGTATTAGTGTATAAGACTTATTTTGTTTTTTAATTAATTAATAAATTAAATTATTGTCAGTTTAGAATTAGCAATATATCTTATTAAGAAAAACTCTAAGTAATAAGAAAATTTAATTTTTGTTGAGTTTAAACCAATTCTAACGCCTACTTTTTAGAGTACTTTAAAAAGTATTTAACATTTTGGCATTCTTCTTAATAATAGCCTTATATAAAATTTGCTATATTTTTTTTGATAACTTAATTTTCAATTTAAAATATTTATTTATATCTTCAAATATTATAATTCATAAAATAATTTAACATATAATTTTCTGGATTTTATTTTATTTTTAGGGTTGATTAATCAATTTTTATTGATAAAAACTATTTATAAATTTAAAATAAAAAATTTATTTTATTTAAAATTAGTTTAATAATAAACAATTTTTAATACATTGATAAATATTAAACTTTAAAAGATATTACATATATTATTAATATATCTTTATTTATATGATAATTGTATAGAAAACATTAGTGGTATTACAGCTTATTGTTTTTCAAGTATGATATTTTAAATGCAAAAAGTTATAAAATAAATAATTTAGTTTGTGTTTTATAATTTGATAATTAAATTATATTGCTATACAATAGTTTAAATTATTTACAATTAAATATTTATTAAAAATTAATTTAAAATATTCAAACTTACTATTTTAAAAAATATTAATTATGAACACTTCCATATCAAAATTTAGAATTCAATATTTTTATGTGTGAGAGAAAGCATCTCAATAAATATAAATATACCTCATAGATTCATATTAAGGAGCTCAGTAAATATTTTAAAGCTTCACAAAATTCTAATTTTAAATTTTAACTAAACTTTTTACATTAAAATTATTACTTTGTCTTAAATTAAAAAATTATGGATATTTTAATTTCAAAGTAAATTTTCAAGCTCTTTGTAAAAAAAAGTTAAACTTCATCATTTGTTAAAATAATTTTTCATTTTATTTTTAATTTAAATAAAAAAAATATTTTCTTTTACATTTAAAATTTACAATAAAATATATTTAAATTTTTTAAACAAAAATAATATGAAGATAAGAAATTAAAATAAAAAGATTATATTTCAATAAAAGGTTTTTTAAATTATTATTATTATTATTAAGTTTATTCAATAATCTAAACTTTAAAAAGTGTTTAAAATACAGACACTTCAAATTAACATTTTCGCTTAAATATATACTTTTTATTACATTTTGTAGAAATAATAGAGGTATTATCTTTTATTCAAATTATCCTATGGGTTAATTGACTTCAAATAATAATAAAGGAATTAAAAATGGAATATTAAGTTTTGAAAATCAAGTTGTATCATTTGTTTAACTAAAACGACTGCAACTAAATTTGATTTAGAATAGTTAAAATATTCAAAGGTATTCTTCTGTTATAAATTTGAGTTAGGTTAGGATAGATTAGTAGGAGTAAGATGGCTAGGAGAAAATACATTTAAAAAATTGTAATGTAAATATATTTACTCTTAAATATCTAATTAAAGAGAATAGAAGCTCTTTAAGACATATTATTTTAGATAAATGTCTATTCTTTCTATTAGATTATGATGCAAATTAGAATAGAAATTAAGTTAGCAATAGAAGGATGCTTTTAGAACTTAACTTAGCTCACATGATTGAATCATATTAGCTACCTTAGATTTATCAAATAGATATTGATTTAAAATATAAATAATTATAAAATATATAAATAAATGATAAATTAGATGAGTTTAAGAATATTGAATTAAAATCAATTCAAACAGATAATGCAACATTTGAAGAAAAAGAGTATTAAATTTATTTTTTTTAATCATTTTTTTATTAAAATACTTAATTAATAACATAGAAATCTGATTCGAATCTTTAATTGTGAAAAAGACAGCTTTTTCATGAAATATGAAACTAATTTAAAAAAGTAATTTGAAGAAAAGTTTGGCTCTTAAAAGAAGATGAAACAATTTAGTAAAGAACTTATTTGGGGAGAACATAAAAATGAGCAATATTTGGCAAAAAAGCTGGATGATGATACATTAAAATAAATCTAGGAAAGCTTGAGTATATTCAAAAGATACAGCAAGTTTGCTCTCAAAAATAAAAGGATGATCATTTAGGGTAGACAGTTATATAGTTCCGTTTCGATTGAATAGCTTTTTAATTTGATTCTTCTTAATGAGAACTCAATAGAATCTGTTGTGTTCAAAGATAATAGAAAAATTCCAAGCAGGGTTTTCAAAATCGTTTTAAAAAAGATTTCTAAGCTATCAAATCTTAAGGAATTAGCATTCATAAACTCAGTAGTTGAAGAATAAAATATAATTCATCTAAGATATTTAATCAAGAAATTAAAAATATAATATTTAATTCTGTATAAATCATATTTTTTGTCATCAGAAATGGATTTTTTGCTTAACAGGTAAAATGAAGAACCTGTATTTTAACTAAACTAGTTTAGGTATTCTCTGATTGACATAAATCACAAAAAAAATTATGAATTTAGCTAATATAGCTTCTGTCTTGAAGATGTGTAAAGCAAGCCTTAAGATTAAATAATGATGTAAGAAGAGTTGTTTTTAAAGCAATAATCATTTCCTCATAATATAAAAAATGTTATTGCAAATTATCAATCTAAGAAAGTAGCAATTATTCAAAAAGAGAGCATAGATAAAATTCCATTAAACTATTTTAAATATCTTCATAATACGAGAGCAGATTCTAGAGAGCTTAAATAAATACAGGGTGATTTGATTAGAATCCTTGAAGATCAATTCTTCTAAGATGATATTAATGAGATAAATTATTCTCTGATTTACAAATTAATTTTATTTGTTCAGGAAAATGAGCTTTAGTAAAAATTTAAAGAGAGCCTGTAATCTTGCAAATCTTACAAGATCTTGAAACAAAAATATTGTTTAGATGCTTTAAAGAAACAAGCATTCAATAATATAACTTAACTTTAAATTAGATACAGCTACTTGCATGGATTTACAAATATAAAAGACAATATAGATTATTTAATAACTCTAGAAAAATCAGATTTATATAATATAATTTATAAAGAAAACTGCTTATTTTTCGATCAGCATTATAACTCAGATAAAAGGGATCAATTAAAACTTTAGCTTTATATTTATGATTTGAAATGCTTGAATTTCTACTGTAAATTATTTATGTTTATAAATAGCTCATATTTTAGGGAGAATTCAATAGAATAAATTATAGATTTAGTAGCTTCTGATTTAATTTTAGACAACTTAATTGTCAACTTTGGGGTGATGGAAAGACTAAAAGATGATTTTGGCAAACAGGTTTTTTATGGAATAATAAAAAAGATAAAAAATGTTAAGAGTTTTGCATGGTATGATAAATTCACAGATGAATAAAGCACAATTGAAATAGATAACACAGAATTAGAAGAATTTAGAATAAATTTAAGCGAAAATAGAGACATTAATAAATTTTACTAAGCTATACACAGTGCTTTCAATTTAACTAAAATGGTTATTCATAATTTAGATTTTTCAAAGAAAGGGTTTGATCAGCTTGATAGGAGTATATTCCCTCCTTTTCTAAGTCATTTAGAGATAGAAACAAAATTTGTTGAAAGTGCTCAATATATAAACTAGCTATTTTAGTGTTTTCCCAATTTATCATCTATTACTTTGATCTTTAAAGAAATACAAGCTAGCATTATGAAAGAAATTAGTTTCCCATATTTTTTAAAGGAGATTCACCTTTTCTTAAATTAATAATAAAATATCAATTAAATCTTAGTAAAAATTGGCCTGCAAACCTTTTTTCAGCTAGAGTCTTTAAGTCTTTCAGGTTTTAGTATGCTTGGGAGACTACCTTAGTAATACTCTAAATATTTGCAAACAGATACTTTACCTGGTTTTGAAAATCTGAAGAGATTTTACTTAAATTGTAAAATAGAGGATGAAAATTATGTCAATCTAGTTTTAAACAATATAAAAGTAATTGATTAAAGCCAATAAAATCATCACTATCTTCATCAAACTCAACAAAAACTATAAAAAAACATTTAGACAGAAATAGATTTTAATTACAATCAAAGTTGTTACAATGGACTTAAATGTCTTAGCTTAATTGAAAGCAATATGTCAGAAACTATGCTTGCTAATTTAAATTTAGCTTAATAAAAGCATTCTTTGAAATTGTTAAATCTCTCACGGAACAGAAAAATAGAAAATTTTAGTTTTTTAAATTAAATTTTTGAAATCTGCATAAATTTAAAAACACTGAATTTGAGTTACTGCAACATTAATGAAGAAAATTTCAAAAACGTTAAGATGGAGCTTACTCCAAATAGTTTAAAAAAGATCATTTTAAATGGTAATTTTTAGTTACACAATATTGATTAAATTATAAATAAAATATCTAATAAGTGCGATTTAAAAGTTCTTCATTTGAGAGACTGTAATATAAATAATAAAAGAATTAATAACATGCAGCTATAAAAAATTGCTAAATCTATTAAATCTCTGGATTTATGCGCAAATTCAGACTTGACTGACTTTACTTTTCTTGAAGATTTTTATAAATATAACAGTAAATTGGAAAGTATTTATTTACCAAGAGGTATTGATACAACAAAAATTAACTTTGAATATTTAAGGAAAAACCTTAAAGTATTAGACATTGATAAAACTGCTCCAGTCAAATTAAAAAGTGATCATTTCAAGTCATATCTACACTAAAAGCTTGGCTACTCTTTTAATTATTTGAATTACTAAAATAAGTATTGTGTGAAAAAAAGCGATTAAATCATTGATTATCATGATGTATTTTAGTTTGCAAATATTACAGATTAAATCTAAATAAATTTAAATGAAATTTTTGATCCAAAGCATTTTGAACCTAGCTTCTCCTTTGATAAATTTGAGAAACTAAAATCTTCAAACTCAAATATGATAAACTATTCCAGCGATGTAGAGTTTTCAAAGCATGTTCATCCTTTTTATTTTTACCCTTTTTTCTAAGAGCATATATAAAACTCTTAGAGTTCGTAAATTATTTGTTAAGACATGGAAGATAACGAAAAAAGAAAAAGTCTTTCAGATGATACAAAAAAGTATAGCCCCTATATATAAATATAAAACTAAAATTCAGAATATAATAATAATTAAAGGCTTATTAGCATCTAAGAAAGCTAAATCACTAATTTTAATGATAGAAGTTAATTATCATCATACTTTGTTGCAGAGCAAAACGTCTATCAAGATTTAGAGTTTATAGTATAAAATTTTTTTAATGAACAGGCTTTTTTGGAAGATTAACCATCAATTGGTTAGCAATTTTATAAATAGAAAATAACAATTAAAAATTAATTAAGAAATATTGATTTTCTTTCTCATTTAATTGAAAAAATGTAAATTTTACAAAAAATAGATTTCTCAGGTTCTAATTTATTTTTTGACAAGCTTTAATAAAATTAAATAAAATCACCTCTTTTGTTTTTAACTGATTTAATATTTTCTGGTTTAAGATGTTCAAATAGCGATAATTAAATATTAATAATAGATTAATTGTTAAAAAATGCACCTAATTTGTTAAAACTTAATATAAGTAACACAAATATGAGTACTGAAAGAAGCTGTGATTTCAATTTAATTAACTAAAGTTTAGAATTCTTAGACATTTCTTACAACAGATTTCCCTCTTTGGACAAATTGTAAATTGTATTTTAAAAATGCAAAAAACTAAAAGTACTAAAAATTAATAACTTGCTTTTGGATGTTAATTTATGCAGAAAAAATTTATTTAAGCATCTAAGTAATTAATTACTAGAGCTATATTGCTAATTCAATAATTTTAATAGCCATAATTTTATCAATATGATCCTTTTATAATGTTAAAAATTATAAAAAATAAATCTATCTTACTGTGAGATTTCTGATGAGACTAACTAGAATATTTGCTATAATAACATATCTCAAAAATTAACTTATCTGGATTTATCAAAAAATTATATTAATTAAACATTTCATAAATTTTACGATTTGCAAAGTAGATGTCCTAGTCTAGAGGCATTTAAAATCTCATATTAGAGAAATTTTTATGATTTAGATTTAGATGATTTGCTTTAAAAAATACCGAATAATGTAGGAGAAGTGATTTTAACAAATATATAAAATCAAATGAATGTTCTAATGATCGAGAAATAAGACTAATGTTAGTCAGATATTATGTTGGAATATGGTGGTATAAATAATAAATAAGAAGAGATAGATGATGAAAATGCATTGATTTAATTCACATTAGAAACAGATTATGACTTGAATACAAAAAGAAGTTTAAAAGAAAGTCAAAGTTTTTATGCTATCAAAAAAAAGATGTTTTATATTTTCAACGAGTAAAAAATTGAGAAGAAATGGCTTCTAAACTCTGTGTAGGGTAAAATAAAAGAATTAGACATTTCTGGTAATTTTGATTTAAATTAAACTAACATTGAATGCATAAATTAACTAAAACATAATTCAAATTTGTATGTATTTAAAGCAAATAATACTAACTTAACTGATTAGCTTGTGAGTAACTTAAGGATTGAATTCTTATTTAAGAATTTAATGGTTTTAGATATTTCTTTCAACTGTAATCTGAAATCTCTTTCTTTTCTGAATTAAGTATTTTCTACGGCATTAAATCTCTAAGCACTTGACCTATCAAATTTACAAATAACTGAAGAAAAATTATCTTAAATAAATTTCTCTAAGTTTCCAAAAAATATTTCTTATTTAAATTTAAGCATAAATTATTTAATTAAGAATTTTTCATTTTTAAATGAAATTTTTATGGTTACTTAGTCTTCATTAAGTCATTTGATAATTTAGGAATGCAATTTGAAATACTAAAAGTTGCAAGGTGTTAAATTTTCATTAATATCTCAAAAAATAAAAACTTTAGATTTTTCAAAAAATCCTCATTTAAATTAAATTGATATTTTGAATCCTATTTTTGACAAAAATCCTCTATTTGTATTAAACACACTTAATTTACTTCAAACAAACTGTGATCTATTTGATTTCATTAGCAAATATCATCGATAGGTTAAAACATTATAATATGATATAAATTAATTCTATACAAGTTGCAATAGCATTAGAAATTATAAACTAAGTGCTAATATGGAGAAATCCTATATCAATTTCCTTTCAAAAACTCTAAGTAAAAATCAATTTTTTCAATCAAAAATATTAATAATTTTTTTATTTAAATTTTTAAATTTAAAACAAGGAGTTAAAATAGAATGAAAATATTTGGAAAATTTTTTAAAAACAAATAAATTATTTATTTTTATCCAATTATAAACTTGAAATTTTAAATGTTAAAGAAGTAAATATTAATTTGAATTTTTATTTATTTAAAATTTTATTTTTTATTTGAGTTTAAAATAAAGTTTTGATAATCAAGTAAATATTATTGAATTTTGGTTGAGTTTAAAATGAAATTTTAATAATCAAATAAATAAATATTAATTTGACATTTTATTTTTGATTTGAGTTTAAAATGAAGTTTTAACAATTTAATTTATAAATAGAAAGCGAATAAGATAAATAAATATTTAAAAGCTTAAGTATCCGGATGAGGGATGTAAAAGAAGAAAAATAGTTTAATAGCTATTAGCAGCTATTAATTTTTTTCTTGCAAAGTGAAAATCAGATGATTTATCCTTAATTTAAAAATAGCTTTTTTATAATGTCGCCTAACTTTATATCATAACAAATTTTAAGAATACAAAAAAATGATTTGAACGAAAAATCAAATTCATATTCTAATTTCATTGATAATTTTAGCTTATTTCTGATTGAACACTGCATTTTGTAAGATAAAACAAAATATATTTTTGCTTACGATAAATACTTCTATTAAGAATATCCTGATTTCTATTATCAAGATTTAGATTCAAATACAAACAGCATTTAATTTTTATTCAAACTTTAAAAGTAAATGCTAGAATTAAATATAAAATAAGCTTTCCTACCAATAAGATTAGTTTGCTCTCAAGAAACTCTTTAAAAATTGAATATTTCAGAACTTGACTTATTGCAGTGTTTAACTATGATACCTGCGAATAAAATAAAACTAACAAATTTAAGTATTTAGTTTGTTAAGAGCTGGTATGCCATTAATTACTACTCTCCTCTCACAACACAAACCAATATAGAAATACATTTTTCACACTTTGAGAACTCTTCTGTTGCTAATTTTATTTCTAATTATTTTTATTAGCTTTTTATAAATAGCTATGACAGCAAGTAGTTAAAAGAAAGATTTAAAGTTAAGTTATCAAAGTTATGCTACAATATCTTTTAAATTTTCAACTTAGAACCATAAAAGTATAAATTTGACCATTCTGTAATTTAGTTAGAACAATTATTTGATAAAAAGTAAAAGAGCTTCAAACCAATAATGTTATTAATCTATATAATCTATATTGCTGTTTGCGTTATTGGTATCTTTTTAGTTTCTTAATATAACAACATCAACTGCGGCTAAGGTATATCCTGGTATTCATACATCACTTATGCGTTTTTCGGAGTTTTTACGCTTATTTATGAAGCCTACATATTTAATATATAATTGAAGTATGTGTCTCATTTAATACCTGAATTGAAAACTAATTGCAAGTAAATAAAAAACAATCTACTCATTCATCTTAATTTTAAAGAACCAACTCATTTATTTTATAAAGTCATCTCCAATAAAATAAATAACAAAAATCATATTTATTTTAAAAAGCCATTCCCTTTAAATTTAAATAACAAAAATCATATTTATTTTCCATACAAATTAACGAAGAAATTTTTTGTATAAGAAGCACAATGATATTAAAAAAGTATTTATAATGAAATAAATGCTTTTATAAATTATTTAAGAAAAACTAAGAGATTTTTATTTGATTAAATTTAAAATTTTTTCATTTTTATAAATTTTGAACAATAAATAAATAAATTGAATTTTCAATAAAAATTGAAATGACTTTAAAGTTTTCTTTAAAAAATATTTTAAAATTAATAATTTTATTTTATGGTAAATAGGAGAAATTTTCCACACAAAATGATAAACCAGGTTAAACAGTTTATTATTGATATTAGTTGGTTAAATTAATGGTATATGAATTATGCTATATCATTTATTTTTAGTTAACTGTCTAGATTCAACTTTTTTAGTAACGTAGCCTATTTATACAGTACTTATACTTGCTAAAAGTACCTATAATTTTCTATTTCAATTTTTGCAATATCAATTATTGCCTTAGTAGAAATACCTTTTTTAATGCCAAAGCTATTTAATGTTAGAAGAACCACAAAATTAATCACTTAAAATATAGATGAATTATATGAAATATGTAATGCTGCTAAATTTTAGGCTGTTTCAGATGTTTTTGCTACTGTTTCACCAAATAATTCTTTTGTCTATAAAAACAAAATGTTTAACCTTAGAATTGTTAACAATTTTTTAAGAATAATTTTCCATGATATACCTTTTATTATTATTTAAGCTTACGAGATAATAAATTCAAACTCTTCACACAGATAGATTTTAATAAATTTGTTAACTTCAAGTTTAATGCTGGCAATATCTTTAAGTAAATTTCTTAGTATCACACCATCTTTTGTTTCATAAGAAGATTTCAATATACTAAACTAATACAAAAAAAAGCATACATTACCACGCTACAAAGGTAAGCTTTCAAAATATGAAAGTGAATTTTTGTAATATAATCATATAGAACTTTTAAAATGTATCTAGTCCTAATCATATTATTCAGAGTACTTAAAAAAATAAGGATTATAAGAAAACTCTAAATAATTTAAGGATTAAATGAATTTTGCATAATCATTAAAACGATTTTAACATAATATAGACGAACTCAACAAAATCTTTGGCTCTAATGCTAATATATCGCAACTTTAATAGTAGAAATCAATCTATTAAACTCAGCTTTCATTTTCAAATTACCTTTTTAAAGAATAAAGAAGTATTATTGAATCTTCGAATAATATTCTATTTAAGAAGTGAATTATTAAATAAAATTCGTTTCTTTATTTTATTATTTATTAATTTAAAGTTCTTTAATCAAAAAAAAAAAATAACCTCATTCATTTCATATTTTTTCATTTTATATAATACTTTTAAATATTTTATTGATAATTTCAAATTTTCTATTTAATTGAATTATATTTTTTTGTCAAATAAATTGAAAAAAAGTGAAGATTTTTAATAAAAAATGAAACGAGCTGGAATATTTAAGAGAATTTCAATTTAAATTAAATGGATTTATTTAATTTAGATATTAAGAAAATGTTTTGTTATACTACATATTAAAATTTTATAAATATTGTATATATTTAATGAATTATTCTTTGGTTATTAATTCAATAAGTTTTTTTTTATTTTTAGTTTTTTTTTGTGATGATTTAATTTTACTAAAAAACTTTTAACAAATATTAAATCCATATAAATAAAAAATTTTACTAAGATATGTTTGTATATTACTACAAAAAATTTGTTTTAGCAATACATAACAACAAATAAAAAGTAATAAAAAGTAACAAAACTTTAATATCTTAAATTTGAAAAAACTTAAAATTTTAATAATTCTAAATACATTTTGTTTTACAAGAATGAGAATGATTTTCAAAACTCAAAATATATTGATGATTATTTTAGATTTAAATTTTATTGTTGATTGCTTATTAGTGTTAATAAATTAAATTAACCCCATATCATAATACAAATTTGGTTGGTGTTTAACAAAATATATAAAATATGTAAGAAATTAATAATTATTTTTAATGGTTTATTTTGATTGAAGATATCTTTAAATTATATTTAGGCATTTAAATTAATTAACAATATAAGTCATGTTTAATCCAATGGTAATTAATAAGCATCAATATATATTTATGGTTATATAAGAAAATTAAAATATTCAAAATATTTAACAATCGCCAAAGAAAAAATTATAAGAATCTATGTAAAAAAAATAAGCTGGATAATATATATGGATGTCTGTGAATGACAGTTTTATTCAAAATAGCTTTCAAACCAGAAATACTCAATTTTTTTTATGTAAATACTAATGATCCTAAGAATTATTTAGTAAGAGTTTTATATGCATTTTACCATTTATTTTAAAGATATATTAAAGAATTAGTGAAATCAAAAAAGATAGAACATCTATCTATCTATTAATTGATTGATTGAATGAATGATTATTCATAACTAACTAAAAAATAGATAAGTAAATATTCTTGACTAAATTATTAATAAATTTATAAGCAAATTGATTAAATTAATTGTTTATAAAATAGCATTTGGATGATAGATAATTAGTTAGAAAACCAGAGCAATTTTGATAGTGTTTCTTAGAATGGGTAAATGAACAATCATTCCATTCATTCTAATATTACAAGTCTTTAACCAATGATGATTCATCAATCTACTTCTAATTAACCAATGACTTAATTCTAAAACTAATCTGACTTAAGGTAAAATTCCATTTTTTATTTTATAGATATCATCAGTAGTGCATGTATCAGCGTTAAAAATAAATATAACCTTTAAAAAATCAACTATATTTACTTTAGTCTCGTAGATATTATTTTAAGATTAAATTATCCAACATATAGATTAATAGCTTATATAATAAATAGGTAATTTGCCAATCCTGATTGCGATTAGGTTAGCGAATCTAATATTTCTACGCACTAACCGCTACATTCAATAAACCCTTCGAATTTGAATACACAACAAAATACAAGATCTATGTCAACTAATATGAATGCACTTGTAATTTTAATTAATTAAATTAAATAAATGCATAATTTATAAAGCTTTTTTGGTTTTGAAGCTTTTCCTAATCATGATTTCTTTATTATTTTTAGGATTTTCAAGATTTCAACAAAATTTTAGTAATGAATCCTCGCGATTAAGTGTATTATTTTGAGAACATATACGTACCTCATAATATTGAAGTTTTCAATGCTAAGCAGTTAATGACAGATCCCTTTTTAAAGTTGAAGAAATATAAATAAAGCATATACTTTGGATAATACATGAATTAAAAAAGGCATGGAAAAGGTGTGAAATTCATAATATTTTATTTTTAAGCAACCAGAAAGGAATCAACAAAAACTTTTTTTTAAAAAAAGGTTTGATGATTTACAATAATGGCAGGCTCTATGAAGGTTTGTGGGAGAACGATCTCAAGCATGGCAAGTAAGAATAAATTAATTAATTAGCATATAAAAATAAAGTGTTTTTAAATTCAAAATTTTAGAGGATTCGAAAAATTTCCAAACTGCAGTGTTTATGAAGGTCAATATGTTAATGGTAAGCCAGAAGGAATAGGAACATACACTTATTTTAATGGCGAGGTTTACGATGGCCAATGGGTAAATGGTATGAAGCATGGTAGTGGTATTTGGAGAGGAACAAAAAATGACTCATACATAGGTGAGTGGAAATTTGGTAAGCCAGACGGTTATGGAGTACATACATGGATCAATGGTAATTTAAAATATATTATAATATTTGTATTAAAGATTTAGATAAACCTTTAAGGACTCTTAGAAATCTTACTTGTTTGTTTGTGGATTTAAAATAGTTTTATAAATTATTATTAGCAAAAATGAATGCCTCTAAAATTGTTTTTTTTTTAGTATTTGACAAAAAATAAGCTTTTTCTAACTTAATTGAAAATCTTGTTGATCAAATACCAAACAAATTCTAAATCTCTTTCCTAAAATTTCAGGATATAGATTAAAGTAATATAATGTTTCTTTTAAAATAGGTGATAGGTATGAAGGATAATTCAAAGGTTGTTTAAAACATGGAGAAGGCACAGAGAAATTTTCTAATGGCGATATTTATATCGGAAATTATGTGAATGGTAAACCAGAAGGATACGGAGAATATTATTGGATTAATTAATCTTTCTTTAAAGGCTACTTTAAGTAATATTCATTTTTTGGTTCAAATAACTAATTAATTTTGTAATAGAAATGGGTTAAGAGATGGTCACGGAGTGTGGAAGAGAGGACCTGGTAATTCTGATACTTATGAGGGTGAATATGTTAATGATAAAAAGTGTGGTTATGGAGTGTTTACTTGGGCTTCAGGGAATGTGTATAAGGGCCATTATTTTGAAGACTTGAGACATGGATATGGAGAAATGTATTGGACAGATGGTTCCTATTATAAAGGAATGTGGGAAGTAATTAATTAATTAATTATCTTAATTTAAATTTAACAACTAAATTGCGCTTATCCTTGTCATATTTCTTTAACTGAAAAAAATTATCCGATCTTTTAATTAAATTTCTTAATGAAAACTAAATTGTTGTAAGTTAAGAATTGATCCTTAATAATTATCAATTTAACTCTATTTTGTAACAAACTTCTTTTCCTCCAAATTAATTGATTTTTTTTTTGAATTAATTATTAAAAATAAATATCTACATTTTATTAATTTGTAAAGAGAGGTATTTAGCATGGTGAAGGTGAAATGTGCATGCCAGGTGATACTCCAAAGAGAGGAATGTTTGAAAATAATGTTTTTATAGGTCCAGTGGATGGAAATGAGAGACTCAACTACTAAGGAGGAGATTCACCGGTAAATAACTCACTTTATTCTTAAAGACTAAGAGGGCAAAGCTATTAGGCGTAACCACTTAACTATGCCAATAACTCGTTTGTAATAAAATAAATATTTTAATTTAAGACAAATTTTTCAAGATTTATAAAATTGTTTTATTAAACTAAAAAGCAGAACTCTCCATAAACAGAAAAATCAATTTAATCATAAAAATAAAGAATTCAAAGAGTTGATCTGAAAAATAACTAATACCAATAAGGATATGATGATGAAAATATTCTTCCAAATATAAAAGGTGGGGCAGAAGGTAAACAGAGACCAAAAACTACATAAATTGGATCGAAGAAGAGATCAATTACTGGAAACACTTTAAACCAAGTATCTGGTTAAGAAAATAACCTACAAGGCAAAACATTTTATAAAAATTCAAACGTTGCACCACTTGCTCCTTAAAGAAAGAGAGCCACAACAGCTTCTTAAGAAAATTCAACAAGAAAATAAAATATCTTAAGAAACCACAATTAAATCGCTACGTAATTTATTATAAAAATTTTCATGTTAGCAACAATGCTATTTTTAGTAAATCAAAATTTTATTAAAACTCAAAAAAAAAAAGTTCTTTAGTTTATTAAAAAAATAAAATTTTGAATTAAAAAATATTTTTTGATTTATTTGAAAATTGAAATAAAAATTGATTGAAAAAAATATTGTTTCATAATATTATTAATTTGAAATTGTTGTTAAAATAACAGAAACGTAACTACTCCCAAGTAGAATACAGCTAACATTTCACCCAGAAATAGTATAAGCAATTCTCTTCTTAACCGCACCTTAAATGGGTTGAATAAGAAAGTTGGTGGCTATGAAGGTAATAAATAAACTCCTTCTAGTATACGTTAATAATCACATGTAAGCAACTCAACATTGAGAAGTATTAGTGTAAAAAGGTCTATAATTGGAGCTCCTTCTAGAGAAAATGGAGAAGATTACAAAAAAACAGTTAAATATAATCACAATGCATCATAAGCAAATCGTCCTTATACTGCTAAGTCCCTTGATTCCAAACAATATTGCTCTAGATACAGTAAACTTAATTATTAAAATGCATTCATTATATTAAATCTTTGTATTTAAAAATAGTTAAAGCAATATAATAATCAAATAATTCGAGCAAGATGTATTGAAAAACTATTAAAATAAATTTTGATTTTAATTAACAAGTAAATTCTAATTTGTTTGCTTTTAGTTTACTAATCATTTAAAAAAACTAGAAAAATTCAAGATAAATAAATAAATAACTCAATTTATAACAAACATGTAATTTAAAAATTATAATATTTATATAAAAATTAAAGCTTTCACTAAAAATAAAAGTAGATTTTTAGATAATCACTAAAATTATCCAATACCTACCAACTAACACAAATACATCTTTAATATATTCTTAGTATACAATCTTATTATTTGTGTAGATTTTACTTAATTAATTTAATTTTAAAAAGCTTTTGTAATTAATTTTAGCTGCATTTTTATTTAAATATGTTGAAAAAATACTTACATATTTTGTATAAAAATCTAATAAAATTTTAAACTACAATTTTTTTAATAAAATGTTTAAAAAAAACAAATATCATTTCCTTAAAAATTACTTCCTCAATCAATATTTTAATTATTTTGTATTCTTAAGTAAAATTATAATTTTAAATTCCTTAATTATTACAGATCCAAGCCATTCAATTCTTCTTATTGTTATTATTTGAATTCCTAAAAAAATGATTATTTATTTTAATGCACAAAATAAAAAATCATTTTAAAATTTAAAATTAATAAGAGTTTGATTTCAAAAGAAAAATATTTAATATTTATTTTTCTTTCTAAAAACAAATTTGTTTACTTTGAGAGATTAATTTAACCTTTTTACAGCTTTAAAAAAATTATCTGAAATTCAATTAACTTTTATTTTTTAGATGGTATACAATCATTAAATAATACTTTTTTAATTTTGTTTAGTTTTTTAAAATCCTTAAAGAATGGTAAAAAATAATTGTGGAAAGCGAATAAAGTAACATTATCGAAAAATAAGTATTTTCTTGTCTTAAAATATTTAAAAAATCAATAATTTTTATAAATTTTAGATATTTACTTTATTAGTTATTTAAGTTAAAAATAATTCATAATCTATTGAAAATTAGAAAGCATTTATGAATGGTATTTACTTTTTTAGGCTTAATTATAATAGTATTAACAGAACTTATATGGAAACAAATTAATATTTTTAGTCATAGTTTTGAAATGAAATTTATAATTTTTTTAAGAGCTTTTAGGAAAGTTAAAGATTTTCAGTATTAATTAATGTATACAAGTTTTCAATAAAATAAAAAGAAAATTGAAATGATAAAGGTAAAAAATAAAAATTAGGTGAGAGAATGAACCAATAAAAATTTAGATGAAAAAGAAACAGTGAAAATTTTTAGCTGGCAGAAGATTTTTGCTTGTTAAAATCAATAAAAATATAATAATTTAAATACTACCAAAAGTTTTAATAAGAAGAATAACAAATAAAAAGAATTAACTTAAAGTGAATATTAGCAATCAAACATATTTTTAGAGAATATTTAGCAATGAGCAATTTAAATTTATCATAGTCATGTATCACTTATGCTGCTGAAAAGCCATCAGAAAGAGTTTAAGAATATTTAAGAAATTCTGTTGTCAGTCCTAATTAGCTTAGTTAGTATACATCTTTGCAATCTTTTGATGAAAAAGTTCCTGCAGATAGAATTCCTTCTGTATTGTAAGTAGCATTAATACACTATATCATTTATTTTTACAACTGTAAATGCTTATAACTCAAAAATTTAAATTATTTCTAGAGAAGAGCTTAGACTTTATGAGGATTTTTGTGTGAAAAATGATTAGTATATAGAAGCTAATAAATGTGTTAAAATGATAGAAACTCTCTAAAAACAAGAAGTAAAGATTTCTGAAAAAACTATCAAAAATATTAACTAAAGCGAGGTAAATTGTTATATTTGTAGATATTTTTAGTTATTTATGCTGATTTATTAAAAAAATGATAGATGTCAGAGCTTGAAGAAATTAACTTGCAGTAATTTAAAGAATTTAATGAAATTTGGGACAAAACAATCGAAGAATACACAAAGGAACTTAAGCAAAAGGAATAAGAGTTGATATAACAACACGAATAGTAAATTCATGAATTCGATGAAAGCATCAAATATATTCAATTCCCTAAGACTAAATATTCTACAGAAGTTATATAATTGAGATATTTACTAGAATAACTCAACAAAAATAAAAGGTAAATTAATATTAATTCAAATAAATTAACAAAAATAAATAAATAAAAACATAAACAAATATAACAAACGAACATATTAAGAAATAAATCTTTGTTAGTTAGAATTAAGATATTTATTTATTTATTTGCTTTATTAAAAATAAAATTCTAATTATAAAACCAAAATAAATTAGATATTAAAATGATAATGGATTGTAGTTTATAAAATAGCATAAAATACTATTCTTAAATATATAAAGAAAAATAATATTTAATATTAAATAAAAGTAAAATGATAGGTTAACCTTACATAGATATTCAATTTATTGCTAAATAATCAAGCTTAAATAAAGCAAATTAGCAATAATATATCAAATTAATAAAGCAACAAACTGAATTTTTTTATCATAAATAAAACAAAAATAAGAACTAAAGATATTTAAAAATTATTTGAATAGATAAAAATAATTTATTATAATTTAAATACATAAATAAATAAGTCTATAATATAAAAGTTGAACAGATTTTATTTGAGATTCAAAATATTAGTTAACAAATTTTCATTATGTATTTTATTATAATTTAATTATAAAAATAGATATTTAGAATCTCATGATGTCAAAAAAAGAATACTTGAATTAGAATAAAGAGATGAGCAAAAGTGGACTGCAATCTTTTAGTAAAAAGTAGCTGTTAAGAGAGTTCAGCTTTTGTAAAAGTAAAAAGCTGAATTGTAAGCCTTATAAAGCAAACTTGAAAATTAGCTCTAATTAAAAATAAGAACAAGAAAATAAGAGATGAATAAGTAATTAAATTTAGCAATTTGTTTAAAATATAAATAATAATTATTATTATTTTTTAATTCTAGATACGCTTAGTGGCTCTAAAATATGAAATAAGAGCTCTCTGTTACATAAGGATTAGAATTGAGCAGAATTATGGTTCAAGGAGAAAAGAGAAATGTAAAAGTAGAAGGAGGATAGTGTAACTCTTCACTTATAGTTAGCTAAAATTACAGTCAATTACTTGATGTTTCAAGATCATACAATTCCCCTATGAATGGAAACCAGTCATCAATTTAAAATTGAAGTTGTGTTTCTTTAAATTTTCAAATAAAATAAATTATTTTAGATAGATCGATAATACTTACATATTTGTCCATATTTTTAAATATTCTTAAGATATTTACTTTTTTAAATACCTTCTTTTCAAAATTAAAATAAAATATTTTTTCAAACAAACAAATAAAAAATTAAATAAAATTTATTTTCAAAACATCAAAAAATTCCATTTATGTATTCATTTTATTAGTATGTAAATACTACACAAAATAAATTAAGAATGGAAATATAATGAAAAAGTATCGTCAGTCGATCATCAGCCAATTTTTGTAAAATAATAAAAAGCTATCATAAAAGTAGAATTTAAATCCTATTTTTTTATTATTTAAAATTAATTATCAAAATTTCATTTTTACCATTTTTGGTTAAAAAAAAAATTAATGAGATTATTTTTAGAGTTTTTTATTTAAGTTTAAGTTTTATTTAATTTATTTTTTTAGCTTGCTTTTTTGTGTAATTGTTATTGATATGAACTTTTATAAATAATAATGTAAAGAGTTTTTTTTAATTGAATTTGATAGAATAAAGAGTAATTTTTAAAACATTTTCAGTTATTAATAAATATGTATATATATAATTTCTTGCAAAATTAAAACATAAAAAAATGAGTGAATCATAATTCACTATTTAATTCGACATTGCTATCACTTTCTAACATATGATAATACTCGTTATATTCTGGCTATACTTCCTCCTTTTTTTATTAAAATTAATTTTAAAGTTTAATTTAGAATAATTTATTTTTACGTTGAACGATGATCTACCTAAAAGTTATTTATATTGTCCTGAGTTTACATCAAAATATTTAAGTGTGTGAATTATAGGCAAGCTGTAGCCTAAATTTCTTTTAAAGACAGATATATCTTTGTATTCATCATCAAGTTAATTGGATTTTTTTACTTTTAATGCAATATGATAGAGCTTTTTATGGTTAATTTTTAACTCCTTCTAGACTTTTTATTCCTTTTTATTAAGTGTTTAAATTTTTTCTTATTATATCACACTCTATCTTTTTTTTGGTGATTTCATTTTAAAATCCAACATTTTTTATATTTCTTCTAATTATTTCCCTGTTAAACTTTTTAGTCTCTCTCTATATTTAATTTTGCTATATTCGTCTATTGATATTTCGTTTTCTATAGAATACTAATCATCAATCTATCCGTTGTTATTTTACTAGGCAGTTTCTTTATGATCTTTTACAGCTTAAGATGCTTATCTTCTTAACATCTATTTGATTTTTAAAAAATTCAAAAATTTATTAATATTTTTTAACTCTAATTTTTTATTTTGTAACTCATAAAATTTAATTATTTAAATTATTTTAAAAACAAAAAATCATTTAATCATTTTAACTTAATCAAGAAATTTCAATAACTTAAAGTTTATTTATACAAAGAATAATAGTTGAATTTTGTGAATTAAATTTAAAAAGAAACATTTCATTGATTAATCCAAAAGAATATTTTTTTATTTTAAATTTAACTTTGAATGTCAATAAATTTTACCCTATTTATTACAGAGTTGTTTATTGAAAATCCTTCAGGCTGTGAATGATGCTACTAATGATTATTTTGTTAAATATTTTACTGAGGTTTGTTTTCCATAACATTGTTCTTATAATAAATACTTTTAGGTATTGTTTATTTTTATTACGAAAAATTATTTTATTCTTGTTCACTTTATTTATTTTCATTTATTTAATCCACTTTTTTTAATTTGACTTTGATTTGAGAATCTTTTATTAAGGCATTCTAGCTGTTAATAAACTGCTGCATTGATAATCTTTATGAAATCATTTTTAATTTTTATTGACTTTAAGTACTTGCATTAGACTAGAGACTATCTCGATTTTAAGAAACAGTATCTAGATTTTCTCCATCATCTTAATCAAGAAGCTCACTATCATCTGAAGAAGATGAACTATTACCTGAAGATGAGCTCTCTTCTTTCTCTATTTTGTCTTTCTAAAAGGAACTATTTATTTTACTTTTATAGCTTGGCGATTGATCTTCATTATTATTATGTTGAACTGAGCCTCTAAAAGTAAAATTATATCTTATTGCCTCTGAATTGATATCTTCATTTTCTTAAGTAGTTTATCTCTAAATAGTTGATTTTTAGGTCTCCAGTAGCTGCTGATTTTACTCTTCAGAAGATAAATCACTTTCGTTTATTGCATTTATTTTGCTATCAATAAATTAAATTTTTTTATTTATTTTCATTTGTCCTTGAGTAAGCTTGTTTAGCTCATTTAAAACTAACTATTTTTTTGAATGTTAATTAAACACTTAATCCTTCTAAGTAGCAGTTTAATCTAATTTATCATTCATATATTAGCTATTGTTAAAATGGCTACTTCTAGTGCTTAAGTCTTTGAGGTTTATTGAGTTAGAAATAGGATTTTTGACAAAATAATGATATTATCTCTTTCTTCTCTTACTCTATTTTATAATTTTGAATAATACAGTTAATGAAAACTCTAATCTTGTTCAATCTTTAATCATTAAATTATTAGATGTATTCATAATTATTTTATGCAATATTGTTATTACAGGTGATGTTTGTAGATCTTATGGAGGCGGAATTAAATTTATTTTTTCTAGCTAGAGTTTGGGCAATAAAAAATCTTTCCTTTAATTTATTGTGTTTTCAACATCTTTGTAAATATGCTTCAATTTGAAATCTTTATGCTAATTATAATATTCTAGCAATTACTATTAATACTTTTGATCTTTTTACTTAGTAGTTTACTCAGCCATTGCTATAAATTTTAGGTTCTACAGCTTTCTTTCTTTGTAAGATAACTAAGGGATCTCATCATTTATTTAAACCATGCTATTCAGCTATCCAAAGCTTTGAATTTTTGAGCAATTATGTTTGTAATTTCTCATTTATTTGTAAATTTTCTACTAAATATCAACCTATGTAGGTAGGTAAGTATATTTCTAATACTTTATTAATTAAATATCAATTTTGTTTATTAAAATTAATATTTCTCTGTTTATTCATTAAATTTATTTTTAAAAACCAACACCATGATTAAACAATAAAACATAAATAATTTTAAGATTTGAATTAACATTTCTTTATTTATTTTTAAGGAGATTTTACATACTTACAAATATTTATATATATTTTTATTGTATTTCCAATATTAAATTTACCAATACAGTAGAATTTGTTTAAAATTTAAAAGTTTCTTGTGTAAGTGGACGAGTTTTTTTTTAATCAGAGAAGAAAATGCTCATTTTTAGAGTCTTTATTTTTGTACAACTGAGTATTTTGGAAATTTTTTATAAAAATAAACTCTTAAAAGAAACAAATTCTATTAAATTAAATTATTAAAATTGTATTCATTAAAATTAAAAATATTTTGATTTTTTTTTGGAAAAATTCAAAAATCTTACTTTTTATTAATAAATTAATTTAAAATTATTTTTTAATAATACTTAATAGTAGGTAAAAATGATTTAATAGCATTAATCTTTATGATAAAAAAAATATAAATTTTAATGCTTACTCTTTTATGAAAAAAAAAAACATCAAATCAAACATTGATCAAAAATATCTCTTAACTAAAATATGCAAATTTAAAGAAACAGGCTTTTGAGTTGATGTATTCTTTAAAAATAAATAGATGGAATGTTCGAAAATAGTTAAAATGTAACAAACATATAATAATATTTAGTTAGCTAAAAAGCTTCTAATGTAAATTGATGCATTAACTTAAAGGAGATAATTATAGACTTTGGTATGTATTTTATGTAGAATTCTGATGTTTAAACAACTTCTTTCTTATTTTTACTATTAGTTAAGAATTATTAAATTTATAAGTATGTAAAATTAACATATCCATCAGTTTATTAAAAGTAATATTATTATATTTATATATTAGAGTGTTTTCTGTAATTTAAATGTTAAAAAGTGCATATTTATATTTTCAAAAAGTTAACAAAATATGAAATTTAATTTTGTAAAATATAAATACTATTTTTAAATTTTAAGTAAAATTGCTTTCAAATAAGTTTATCATTTTAGACAATTTTTAATAAATTATGATTATTATTGAAATAAAATATAAATTTACCTAAATTGAGTTATCAGTTGCTTTTTTAAGCGAATTATCAAAACGTATATTTATAATATCACAACTCTAGCTAAGCTTTATAACCTGAAATGCATTTCTAACAAAAATAGTATATATATAGCTAATCCTGTAATTAAAATATCACGAACTGTGTTGGTACAGATCGTGATATTTCATTTAATTTTTATGATTTAAAGCTAATTTTACACTTTCTATTTTTTAATTTTTTTTATCAACCTATTTTTATTAAATTTTGAAAAATTTTTTTTTTAATTTAAGTATGAATAGATAGATAGATAGATAGATAGATAGATAGATAGTAGATTAATTAAAAAATTAATTTATTAAGTATTTTTTTTTTAATTAATTTAGTAAATTACTAAAAACAATATTTTTAAAATTTTGATAATTATTAAAGTAAAAAAATAAAACAAAAAAGAAAATAACAAAATGAAGTTTAACTAATCTATAATGTACTGAAAATATAAATTTAAAATAAAATTAAATTATAAAGTTGATTTAACTCATAATTAACTTTAAAACTAAAAATTTAACTTCAAACATAATTTTAAATTAGATTTTCACCCTTCATAGTCTTCATAGTGCTATTATTATTGATTTAAATTTGCATGGGATTTAATATATACTACTAGTTTTCTTATATTTTTTTGTTGATTTATTAACTATAATCATTACTACTTCTTTAAGTCAATGGAATTTTATTAGAACTAGCTGTTGATTGAGATTTTTCATAATTCTTTATTAAAACTTGAGAATCATTTTAACACTTTATTTCCTTTATCTTCTAATTTGATGATAAAAAATATTTTTAAGCAATTGTTTATATTAAATACTTGAATAATTTATATATTTCAATAATAACATCCTTAAATATCAGCAAAGTATAATATATTATCCAGAAAGAGCTAATTCCTATTATGATCCATCCTATTTTCATTCTATAATCTTCACTCACATCTTGGTCATCATTAATTAAAAGAGAAGCTAGTACTTGAATAGTTATTAAAGAGAGTTCTTATAATATGAATTAGTAGTTATAGTAGTTGCTCTAAAAAGGAGTTATTATAATTATAAAAACTGCAAGCAATAAGTTTAGTATAGAAATCAAAGCTATCTGATGATAAGGCTCATTGTAAAAGTACGATATTACAATACAAAATAGAATTTTTCTAAAATACAATAGTACATTGTAGTATCTACTTAGCAAAAAAACTAACTTTTTTCTATAGGATAATTGGTTTTCTTCGATTTTACAAAAAGAAGTAGTTAAATGAGCTGGAGAGTTTTTTGTTTCTGATGAAACTATTGAATTCGTGGTTTATATTTTCTTTCTTCTAATACGATTATTCTATAAATCATTAATTCTAAGTTTAGTAGATTAAGAAGTAACAAAGTCATTTAATTTCTTTTCTTCAGAATTAGTATTATTATTATTTTAAGAGTTTCTTTAATTTTATGATTAAACTTAGTCTAAGGTTATTTTTAATCCACTTATAAGAGAAGAATATTTTTAAATAAAATTTTAATCATTAATTTTATTTTTTTGTTTGTAAATAATCACAAAAAATAAAAAAGGTATTCCTAAAACAGTTATAGTGCTTATTGAGTGCAGCATATAATTCAAAAAGCAAGAATAAACATCATCAAAATTATATGTATTGAATTAAATCAATACTGCAACTACTAAGTAAATATAAAATGACCAACACAAATCTATCATTGCAGAAAACTCCCATGTTTCTTTAATAGCTCTCTAACAATACAAATTTAAATATTTTATAGGAGATCTAGCAAATATCTTAGCCAATAGATAGAGCATAAAGCCTGCTAAATATATTGTGAAATATTGGCCAAAGTTTTTTAAGTAGTAATTGTCAGTCTCCTAAGCCATGAACTAAGGAGGAGATTGTTAGACGTAATTGGGGTCGATGATGTATAAAAAGAAATTAGGGATGAATGGGAAATTAAAGTTTTTAAAAAGCTGATAAAAATTCATAATATTGAGAGGATACCTGATATCTAAAAACATTAAATAGTATAAGAAACCAGTGATATCAAGAGTATTACAAATTATGTAGATATTTCCAAAAAAAATAGCTGGGATGATTGAAAGCAATGAAGAGGTAACAAAGATAGAACCATATTAAGTCAGCTTTTAAGAAGCATCTATATTAGATTAAGATATTAACACAAATATTGATAGTTACAGTTCTTGAGATGTGTTTTTCATTGAATTTTCATGGACAAACTATGCACTAGTTATAGTTACATTGAGATAAGAATTCTTAATATTACAAGCAGGTGCAATTAATAAATTTATCAGTTTGTTTGAAGTTAAACTGAATTATAAAGTATATTTATTAGAGTCAATTCCTGTAATCTAAATGCTAAATATATCTTATATTTAAAATAAGATTAATAAAAGATAATTTTTTACATCGAATTTTCATTTAAATTTGAATGTTAATGAATATTGTAATAAAATTTTATAGAAAAACATTAATCAAACAATAAATTTACTGAAATAATCTAGATTATTCAGAGTTGATTGCACTAGTGGATTATCAAAATTTATATTCACACTATAACCATTAGTTGTTAAGGTTTATTCTAAGTGAAAATAATTTCTTACTTACTGTGGAATCTCAGGAATCAAATAACAACTCTTACTATCACTACTAACTTGATATCCTGAATTACATTTCTAGCAAAGCTAGTTGTTTGTGCTTTAGCATTCTTAACAATTTTAAACACTACAAGGTAGGCATTAAGTCTAATCTGAATTTAAATATGCTTTTGTTTAGCAAACTTAACAAATTAAATTATTTTTTTGATCACATGTTAAACAATTTAAGATTTAGCATTGCATGCACTACTTTTTATCAGAAGATAAAGAGTAGTTTTGTGAGCATTATTAGCACTGTTAATAATTTTGACTGCATTATAAGCAGTTTGGAACAGAGCAAGGGAGGCATTAACTTTAATCTAAACTTAAATATGTGTTTGCTTAGCAAACTTAACAAATTAAATTATTTTATGGATCACATTTTAAACAATTTAAGATTTAACATTGCATGCATTACTATTTATCAGAAGACAAAGAGTAGTTTTGTGAGCATTATTAACACTGTTAATAATTTTCACTGAAGCATTACGAGCAGTTGGGAACAGAGCAAGGGAAGCATTATCTTTAATCTGAATTTAAGTAGTTATTAGGTGAGCATACTTGACAGCTAAAAGGATTTTATGATTTACAAGTTTGGCAATTACTGACAACACAAGAGTTAATCGAAATGCAATTTTGGGGATTTCTTTGATCTACTTAGAATGTAGAATCTGTGCATTATTGACATATTGTACTATTACAAAGTTAACAATTAGTTCCACAGTCAATACATTTATTTGATACAGCATCTAGATATTAGTTTGCTTTACAAGTAGGAATACATTCATTATTTTTAATATTATATCCTTCAGAACATGTAATACAAATACCATAAGGACAACTTGCGCAATTTTTAGTATAGCAACCACACCAATAAAGACTATAATAAGATTCAGGGTATAATATTACTACTTAATTGTTGGGGCACTTATAAGAATAATAAGTTTCCATATTTGTCCTTTGATATGAACCATTTTAATATTTAACTGCATTTTAGGCATATTTGAGGCATTAATTAGGATCTGCATAGTATGTATCTAATCATATTTATATTTTAAATTAATAAATAAAAATTTTTCCTTTTTAAATTTTTTAATTATGAAATTTCAAAATAAATGAGAAACTTTTATGAATTAAATTGTAAGAAATTTTAGATGTTAATTTTAAATGAAAATAATTTCATTACTTGGCTAAGATTTACAAATATTAAGTTTATCTAATGAGATACATTAATTATTTAAAAGTGAATAACCAGGGAAACATTACGTGCATATATTTTCAGTTTAACTAACAGCACATAGAAAACAGTTTTATGAGCAACTAGTAATTTATTCACAAACTTATAAACCTGATGGTAGAGTAATTTTTTTAAAACTGTATTTGCATACATCGCAATTACTTTCATCTAAACAAGCTTAACAAGTTATAGAGCAAATCATTGATATTTAAATTGCCTTAATACCAAATCGGTAATAATTTGGCTTATAGTTTGTCATTTTTTCAAAATGGATATTTAAATTATTATCCATAAAGCTAGCATCACTTCTGTAAAAAGATAGTGATGCTTTTTATACAATCTCAGTAGCTTAACAATATAGATCCCTATAATTATTGACATAAAACGAGTATTTTAGAGTTGTAAATGAAAATTATAGTTTAGAATTAACATTAACATTTAAATTAACGTCACCTTCTGTTAAATATAAGAGGTCTACCTGAAAAATTGAATAATTGATTTGACTTCCAATTTAATAATTTAAAAGCATATCACCACTTTTATTTGGTCTTGTGTCCATTAAAAAACTAATTATTGAACTGTTTGTTTTGTGGTAGCAGTCTGAAGAGCATATTGTCAATGCATATCCATCATCAGGTGAATTCCATGTTCCAATCAAAGCTTATTTGCAATCAAATGGCAAATCAGGTAAATTAAATGACATAAGTGTAGTCTAAGCATTTACATATTTAACTAATTTAAGTATTAAAAAAATAATTAAATTTAAAAACACACTAAAAAAATTATTTTATTGAAGTAAATATTTACGCCAAAATAGAAAGAATAAAATCTATGCAAATACCAAAGATTTAATTTTGAGATTTTAAAGGATTGTATTATCTTTTCTTATAGTCATGTTAATCTTAGATTAAATTTTTACATTTGATTATTTGTAGATAATTGTATTGGTATTTCTTCTTCGATATATAAAAGTAAATAAAAATATTTATTACAGAATTCAACAAAGCTAAATTCTTATGTAATAAACTGTAATAATGTAAATAAATCTCTTCTGGAAGTATACTTTAAAGCTTGTTTTTTAAATCTAAATTATAACCACTAAATTAATTATAAATCATATTTATAAAATTTATAGTTTTAGCCAACTAAAAGATATAAAAAATATTTCATTTTACTTGTTTATTTTAAAATTTATTTTCCTAAAAAACTTTTTTAAGTTAAGCTAAATAACATATTTATTATTCATTCTGAAAGCCTATTTTTTAATCATTTTAATTTTTCCTATTTTATATTCCTGAATTTGTATAAAAAATTAATAATAGCCATAGCATGAAAAAGTATATTATTGTTTATATATTTTGAAAGTAAAGCTGTGATTAAATATTGATTCTGGCTAAAAAAAATTTAGTTGGTTAATATATATATCTAATTTAATTAATAATAAATTAGCTTTTATTGGCACGTTTGGTCTATTTTTCTTGTATACCATACAAATTTGTGAAGTACCAAAAAAATTAAAATAAAAGAATACAATGTGCTTATTAATTATTGAAGTTATGCTTAGATTTGCTTTAATAATTTTATTTATACTTGTTATTTTTTCTCTTAATTTTAGTCTAAATTATTTTAATACCATGTTTAATTAAGTATTTAAAATATAAAAAATTTACTAAATTCTTCTTAAAATATTATTTTATGTTGAATTAATAGTAAATATGTAAATGAAACTTAAATTACAACAAAATGAATTAAAATAAAGTTTTCATCACTCTCTTTTATATGATAACTTAATTTATGTAATTTAATTGATCTATAAGTATATTCCTAATAGATATTTATTTCATTCATTATCAAATTAATTTTTTTGGCTAAATATAGATGAATTATTTACACATTTATTAATTAATTATTGATTTATCATGTGGAAAAATATATGATGAGTTAAGATTTTTGGTTACAATTTTTAATAAGTATGATTTTACTTTTTTTAATTAATAATCTTGATTGAAATTAGATCTAACAATATTTTTACACCACATACTCAATATTTTTATTTTAAGGAATGATATCTACATTTAGTTAACCAATCTTTCTTCAAGTAAACAAAGATTAAATTACTTTAATCACTAAAAAGTGAATGAAAATAATTTTTTTTAAATACTAAATGAAGGGAAATTAAGTATTTATTAAGTTAAAAGCTTCTTTAATGAAAAAAATAAATTACATTTAGGTTATATATCCAAAAAAAGTATCAAATTCATATCAGCGAGCTTTAAAAAATCCCATTTATTTTTGGTTCATACAATTTTTATGGCATACGATAGAAGATAAGAAAGGAAAGGAGTAACATAAGTCAAAATTAAGAAATAGCTACAGAATCTATAATTCATTCTTTTTTACAATAAATATTTGGAATAAATTAAAAGGTCACTTTTAATAAAGAAATAGAATTTTTATAAGATTAATCTATTACATGAATATTTTTTTTATAATTTATAGTATGTGTTCTCATTAATAAATGCTAGTTTACAAAAATATATTTTTTCAAAAATTGTTTTTTGTAAGTTTTATTCATTAATAGATAGATAGTAGATGAATTAAAAAATTAATTTATTAAGTAAGTTTTTTTTTTAATTAATTAGGTAAATTACTAAAAAAAATATTTTAAAAATTTAGACAATTTTTTAAGTAAAATGATAAAAATAAAATGAAAATAACAAATTGAACTTAAACTAGTCAATAAAGTATGGAAAATATTATTTAAAATAATATTAAACTATATAGTAGATTTAATTTATAATTAACTTTAAAACTAAACATTTAACTTCAAACATAATTTTAAATTAGATTTTCACCCTTCAGAGTGGTATTATTATTGCTTTAAATTTGCATGGGATTTAATATATACTACTAGTTTTCTTATATTTTTTGTTGATTTATTAACTATAATCATTATAACTTCTTTAAGTCAATGGAATTTTATTAGAACTGACTATAGATTGAGATTTTTCATTATTATTTATTAAAACTTGGGAATCGTTTTAACATTTTATTTCCTTTATCTTCTAAGTTGATGATAAAAAATATTTTTTAGCAATTGTTTATATTAAATACTTGAATAATTTATATATTTCAATAATAACATCCTTAAATATCAGTAAAGTAAAATATATTATCCAGAAAGAGCTAATTCCGATTATGATCCATCCTATTTTCATTCTATAATCTTCACTCACATCTTGGTCATCATTAATTAAAAGAGAAGATAGTACTTGAATTGTTATTAAAGAGAGTTCTTATAATATGAATTAGTAGTTATAGTAGTTGCTCTAAAAAGGAGTTATTATAATTATAAAAACTGCAATCAATAAGTTTAGAAAAGAAATCAAAGCTATCTGATGAAAAGGCTCATTGTAAAAGTATGATATTACAATACAAAATAGAATTTTTCTAAAATACAATAGTACATTGTAGTATCTACTTAGCAAAAAAACTAACTTTTTTCTATAGGATAATTGATTTTCTTCGATTTTACAAAAAGAAGTAGTTAAATGAGCTGGAGAGTTTTTAGTTTCTGATGAAACTATTGAATTCGTTGTTTATATTTTCTTTCTTCTAATACGTTTAATCTATGAATCATTAATTCTAAGTTAAGTAGATTAACAAGTAACAAAATCATTTAATTTCTTTTCTTCAGAATTAGTATTATTATTATTTTAAGAGTTTCTTTAATTTTATGATTAAACTTAGTCTATGGTTATTTTTAATCCACATATTAAAGAAGAATATTTTTAAATAAAATTTTAATCATTAATTTTATTTTTTTGTTTGTAAATAATCACAAAAAATAAAAAAGGTATTCCTAAAACAGTTATAGAGCTTATTGAGTGCAGCATATAATTCAAAAAGCAAGAATTAATGTCATCAAAGTTATATGAATTGAATTAAATCAACACTGCAACCACTAAGTAAATATAAAAAGACTAACACATATCTATCATTGCAGAAAACTTCCATGTTTCTTTAATAGCTCTCTAGCAATACAAGTTTAAATATTTTATAGGAGATTTAGCAAATATCTTAGCCAATAGATAGAGTATAAAACCAGCTAAATATATTGTGAAATATTGACCAAAGTTTTTAAGGTAGTAATTATCAGTCTCCTAAGCCATGAACTAAGGAGGAGATTATTAGACATAATTGGGGTCGATGATGTATAAAAAGAAATTAGGGATGAATGGGAAATTAAAGTTTTTAAAAAGCTGATAAAAATTCATAATATTGAGAGGATACCTGATATCTAAAAACATCAAATAGTATAAGAAACCAGTGATATCAAGAGTATTACAAATTATGTAGATATTTCCAAAAAAAATAGCTGGGATGATTGAAAGCAATGAAGAAGTAACAAAGATAGAACCATATTAAGTCAGCTTTTAAGAAGCATCTATATTAGATTAAGATATTAACACAAATATTGATAGTTACAGTTCTTGAGATATGCTTTTGATAGAATTTTCATGGACAAACTATGCACTAGTTATAGTTACATTGAGAAAAGAATTCTTAATATTACAAGAAGGTAAAATCTTTAAATTTATCAGTTTGTTTGAAGTTAAACTGAATTATAAAGTGTATTTATCAGAGTCAATTCCTGTAATCTAAATGCTAAATATGTCTTACATTTAAAATAAGATAAATAAAAGATATTTTATTAAATAGAATTTTCATTTGAATGTTTATGAATATTATAATAAAATTTGAAAGAAAAATATTAATTAAAAAAAAAGTTTACTTAAATAATCTAAATTATTCAGAGTTGATTGCACTAGTGGATTATCAAAATTTATATTCACACTGTAACCGTTTGTTGTTAAGGTTTATTCTAAGTGAAAGTAGTTTGTTACTTACTGTGGAGTCTCAGGAATCAAGTCACAACTCTTACTATCACTAATAATTTGATATCCTGAATTACATTTCTAACAAAGCTAGTTGTTTGTGCTTTAGCATTCTTAACAATTTTAAACACTGCAAGGTAGGCATTGAGTTTAATCTGAATTTAAGTATGTTCTTGATTAGCAAACTTAACATATTAAAATATTTTATGGATCACATGTTAAACAATTTTAGATTTAGCATTGCTAGCACTACTTTTTATCAGAAGATAAAGAGTAGTTTTGTTAGCATTATTAGCATTTTTAATAGTTTTCACTGAAACATTACAAGCAGTTTGGAACAGAACAAGGGAGGCATTAACTTTAATCTAAATTTAAATATGTGTTTGCTTAGCAAACTTAACAAATTAAATTATTTTATGGATCACATGTTAAACAATTTAAGATTTAACATTGCAAGCACTACTATTTATCAGAAGATAAAGAGTAGTTTTGTGAGCATTATTAGCACTGTTAATAATTTTCACTAAAACATTATAGGCAGTTGGGAACAGAACAAGGGAGGCATTAAGTTTAATCTAAATTTAAGTAGTTATTAGGTGAGCATACTTGACAGCTAAAAGGATTTTATGATTTACAAGTTTGGCAATTACTGACAACACAAGAGTTAATCGAAATACAATTTTGGGGATTTCTTTGATCAACTTAGAATGTAGAATCTGTGCATTATTGACATATTGTACAATTACAAAGTTAACAATTAGTTCCACAGTTAATACATTTATTTGATACTGCATCAAAATATTAATTTGTTTTATAAATTGATTTACATTCAAAGTTAGTCATGGTATATCCTTAAGAGCATGTAGCACAAATGCCAACAGGGCAACTTGCGCAATTGCTAGTAAAACAGCCGCATAAATAAAGGCTATAATAAGATTCCTGGTATAATAGTACTACTTAATTGTTAGGGCACATATAAGAATAATAGAGTTCCAAATTTACCCTTACATATTAACCTTTATACAACTGAGCTGCAATATTGGAATATTTGATACACTAATTAGGGTCTACATAGTATGTATCTAATATTTAAATTTTAAATTAATAAATAAAATATTTCCTTTTAAAATTTTTTAATTATGAAATATCAAAATAAAAGTTATGAGAAACTTTTATGTATTAAATTGAAAGAAATTTAAGATGTTAATTTAAAATGAAGCTAGAATTACTTGGCTAAGTTTTACAAATATTAAGTTTATCTAATGAGATACATTAATTATTTTAAAGTGAATAACCAGGGAAACACTAAGTGCATAGATTTTCAGTTTTACTAACAGCACATAAAAAGCAGTTTTATGAGCAACTAGTAATCTATTCACAAACTTTTAAACCGATAACAGAGTAATTTTTTTAAAACCGTATTTGCACACATCGCAATTGCTTTCATCTAAACAAACTTAACATGTTATAGAGCATGTCATTGATATTTAAATTGCTTTGATACCAAATATGTAATAATTTGGCTTATATTTAGTAATTTTTCCAAAATGGATATTTAAATTATTATCCAAAAAGTTAGCATCACTTTTATAGAAAGACAGTGAAGCTTTTAATACATACTAAGTAGTAGCTTAGCAATACATATCCTTATAATAATCAGCATAAAACGAATATTGTGGAGTAGCAAAAGAAAATTATAGTTTAGAATTAACATCAACTTTTAACCTAACATCACCATTCCCTACATATAAGAAGTCTACCTGAAAAATTTAATAATTGATTTGACTTCCAATTTAATAATTTAAAAGCATATCACCACTTTGATTTGGTCTTGTGTCCATTAAAAAACTAATTATTGAATTGTTTGTTTTGTGGTAGCAGTCTGAAGAGCATTATGTCAATGCATATCCATCATCAGGTGAAGTCCATGTTCCTATCAAAGCCTATTTGCAATCAGATGGCAAATCAGGTAAATTAAATGACATAATTATAGTCTAAGCATTTACATAGTTAACTAATTTAAGTATTAAAAAATAATTAAATTTAAAAACACTCCATAAAAGTTATTTTATTTAAGTAAAAATTTACGCCAAAATAGAAAGAATAAAATCTATGTAAATACCAAAGATTTGATTGAGAGATTTTAATGGATTATACTATTTTTTCTTGAAGTCATGTTAATCTTAGATTAAATTTTTATATTTTATTATTTGAAAAGAAGTTGATTCATATTTCTTCTTCAGAAAATAAAAGTAAATAAAAATATTTATTACAGAATTCAACAAAGCCAAATCCTTATCTAATAAACTGTAAAAAGTAAATAAATTTCTTCTAATAATATATTTTAAAGCTTGCTTTTTAAATCTTAATTACAGCCACCAAATTAATTATAAATTATATCTAAATTTTAGCCAACTAAAATAGATAAAAAATAAAAAATGTTTCTTTTTATTTCTTTATTTTTTAAATTTATTTTCCTAAAGACTTTTTTCAGTTAGAATTTATCATTCATTCTTTTTTACAACAACTATTTGGAATAAATGAAAAGATCACTTTTAATAAAGCAAAAGAATTTTTTTATGATCAATCATTATTATTACATGAATAATTCTTTTATAATTTATAGTGTGTGTCCTCATTAATAAATACCAGTTTACAAAAAATGCTTTTTTTTCAAAAACTGTCAAATTTTAAAGTTTTTAACCTAACTTATAGTAATCCATCCATACTATTAGTTGAAAAAGATACAATATATCATATTCATTTAGAATTAACTTCCTTTAAAATTTGAATTTAGATGTTAATCATTTTTGCACCACAAAAATTTTTAGCCTGTATTTTGAATTTATCTTCAAAAAAGCCAGCTTTAATATTGAGCGTTGACATTCCTCAGTTTCTATTTATTTTATTGAATTTTTTCTACAGATTTAAATACCCTTTATTGCTGAAAATCTATTAGATACTCTGCTCAAACCTAAATTCTCAGTCAATAATCTTTGCTATTAGCCTAGAAAGTTCATTAGAAATATCTTCAATAGAATAAAATAGATTTTTTAGATCATTTAATTGATTTTTAAAATATTTGTTTAATCTACCAATAAAATGATAATATTTCGCACTATATATCCCTACCTTCTGCAAAGAACTTCATCTATTTTTCCACACAATAATAAGAGAGATCTTCATCTCCCATAGCTTCATTTAATTAATTCAACATATCAGTAGCATTTGTACTTTATTAACCATCTTATTTTTATACATAATCTTATCTATTTTTCTTATGAGTTTTCTAAAAAAAATTTATGAACTGATTTTTTAAAATTTATAGATGTATTAAATGATTATTTTTAAATATTATAAACAATAATTTTTATTCTTTATTATTTTTAAAATTTTTAGAGCACATATGAAGAATATTTGAAACAAAAATAATTTTAGTTTAATAAAATATTAATTAAAAATCAAATATGAATTATTTAATGATAGTGAAAAAACTTTTGTTTTGTTTTTTAGTTTAAATGTTAAAAAAAAGTTAATGTAAATTTGCTTATTTATAATAAAAAAATGATAAGCAACAAAAAAAATTAATCAATTATTTTATTGTTTTTGTTAATATCTAAGTAATTTAAATTATTTTTTAATAATTTATTATTCTAAAATAAAAAATAATAAAATTTTTTATATTTTCTTGGTAAATTTAATAATAATAAATGATTAATTCCTAATAAATAAAGTAGGATGAATTAAATAGAAAACATCAGTCAACTTTTGTCATCTAACAAAAATCAGTATATTTGACTTATATATTTATATTTTTTGAATTAATTTTATTATACATCCTTTTAAATATCCATATACATACGTTATTTCATTTATCAGTATATTTCAATTTATTTTTTTAATTTAATTCTGCTTTACTTAAGTAAAAAGATAAAAATAAAAATAAAATAACATATTGAACTTTAGCTAGTCAATAAAGTATGGAAAATATTATTTAAAATAATATTAAACTATAAAGTTTATTTAACTCATAATTAACTTTAAAATTAAAAATTTAACTTCAAATATAATTTTAAATTAGATTTTCACCCTTCAGAGTGGTATTATTATTGCTTTAAATTTGCATGAGATTTAATGTAGACTGCTAGTTTTATTATATTTTTTTGTTAATTTATTAGTTTTAATCATTGTTACTTCTTTAAGTCAATGGAATTTTATTAGAACTAATTATTGATTGAGATTTTTCACATTTATTTATAAAAATTTGGGAATCGTTTTAACATTTTATTTCCTTTATCTTTTAATTTGATGATAAAAAACATTTTTTAGCAATTGTTTATATTAAATACTTGAATAATTTATATATTTCAATAATAACATCTTTAAATATCAGCAAAGTATAATATATTATCCAGAAAGAGCTAATTCCAATTATAATCCATCCTATTTTCATTCTATAATCTTCACTCACATCTTGGTCATCATTAATTAAAAGAGAAGCTAATACTTGTATAGTTATTAAAGAGAGTTCTTATAATATGAATTAGTAGTTATAGTAGTTGCTCTAAAAAGGAGTTATTAAAATTATAAAAATAGCAAGCAATAAGTTTAGTATAGAAATCAAAACTATCTGATGATAAGGCTCATTGTAAAAGTATGATATTACAATACAAAATAGAATTTTTCTAAAATACAATAGCACATTGTAGTATCTACTTAACATAAAAACTAACTTTTTTCTATAGGATAATTGGTTTTCTTCGATTTTAGATAAAGATGCAGTTAACTGAGTTGGAGAGTTTTTAGTTTCTGATGAATCTATTGAATCTGTTGTTTATATTTTCTTTCTTCTAATACGTTTAATCTATGAATCATTAATTCTAAGTTTAGTAGATTAACAAGTAACAAAATCATTTAATTTCTTTTCTTCAAAATTATTATTATTATTACTATTTTAAGAGTTTCTTTAGTTTTATGATTGAACTTAGTCTAAGGTTATTTTTAATCCACTTATAAGAGAAGAATATTTTTAAATAAAATTTTAATCATTAATTTTATTTTTCTGTTTGTAGATAATCGCAAAAAATAAAAAAGGGACTCCTAAAACAGTAATAGAGCTTATTGAGTGCAGTATATAATTCAAAAAGCATGAATAAACATCATCAAAGTTATATGTATTGAATTAAATCAATACTGCAACTACTAAGTAAATATAAAACGACCAACACAAATCTATCATCGCAGAAAACTCCCATGTTTCTTTAATAGCTCTCTAACAATACAAATTTAAATATTTTATAGGAGATTTAGCAAATATCTTAGCTAATAAATAGAGTATAAAACCAGCTAAATATATTGTGAAATATTGACCAAAGTTTTTAAGGTAGTAATTGTCAGTCTCCTAAGCCATGAACTAAGGAGGAGATTGTTAGATGTAATTGGGGTCAATGATGTATAAAAAGAAATTAGGGATGAATGGGAAATTAAAGTTTTTAAAAAGCTGATAAAAATTCATAATATTGAGAGGATACCTGATATCTAAAAACATCAAATAGTATAAGAAACCAGTGATATCAAGAGTATTACAAATTATGTAGATATTTCCAAAAAAAATAGCTGGGATGATTGAAAGCAATGAAGAGGTAACAAAGACAGAACCATATTAAGTTAGCTTTTAAGAAGCATCTATATTAGATTAAGATATTAACACAAATATTGATAGTTACAGTTCTTGAGATGTGTTTTTCATTGAATTTTCATGGACAAATTATGCACTAGTAATAGTTACATTGAGAAAAGAATTCTTAATATTACAAGCAGGCACAATTAATAAATTTATCAGTTTATTTGAAGTTAAACTGAATTATAAAGTGTATTTATTAGAGTCAATTCCTGTAATCTAAATACTAAATATATCTTATATTTAAAATAAGATTAATAAAAGATATTTTTTTAAATGGAATTTTTATTTGAATGTTTATGAATATTGAAATAAAATTTTATAGAAGAACATTAACTAAAATAACAAATTTACTTAAATAATCTAGATTATTCAGAGTTGATTACACAAGTGGATTATCAAAATTTATATTTACACTGTAACCGTTTGTTGTTAGGGTTTATTCTAAATGAAAATAGTTTGTTACTTACTGTGGAGTCTCAGGAATCAAGTCACAACTCTTACTTTCACTACTAACTTGATATCCTGAATTACATTTCTAGCATAGCTAGTTGTTTGTGCTTTAGCATTCTTAACAATTTTAAACACTGCAAGGTAGGCATTGAGTCTAATCTGAATTTAAATATGTTTTTGTTTAGCAAACTTAACAAATTTAATCATTTTATGAATCACATGTTAAACAATTTAAGATTTAGCATTGCATGCACTACTTTTTATCAGAAGATAAAGAGTAGTTTTGTGAGCATTATTAGCACTGTTAATAATTTTGACTGCATTATAAGCAGTTTGGAACTGAGCAAGAGAGGCATTAACTTTAATCTAAACTTAAATATGTGTTTGCTTAGCAAACTTAACAAATTAAATTATTTTATGGATCACATGTTAAACAATTTAAGATTTAACATTGCATGCATTACTATTTATCAGAAGACAAAGAGTAGTTTTGTGAGCATTATTAACACTGTTAATAATTTTCACTGAAGCATTACGAGCAGTTGGGAACAGAGCAAGGGAGGCATTAACTTTAATCTAAATTTAAGTAGTTATTAGGTGAGCATACTTGACAGCTAAAAGGATTTTATAATTTACAAGTTTAGCAATTACTGACAACACAAGAGTTAATCGAAATGCAATTTTGGGGATTTCTTTGATCTACTTAGAATGTAGAATCTGTGCATTATTGGCATATTGTACTATTACAAAGTTAACAATTAATTCCACAGTCAATACAGTTATTTGATAAAGCATCTAGATATTAGTTTGCTTTACAAGTAGGAATACATAAATTATTTTTAATAGTATATCCTTCAGAGCATTTAATACAAATACCATAAGGACAATTTGCGCAATTTTTAGTATAGCAACCACACCAATAAAGGCTATAATAAGATTCAGGGTATAATATTACTACTTAGTTGTAGGGGCACTTATAAGAATAATAAGTTTCCATATTTGTCCTTTGATATGAACCATTTTAATATTTAACTGCATTTTAGGCATATTTGAGGCACTAATTAGGATCTGAATAGTATGTGTCTAATCATATTTATATTTTAAATTAATTAAAAATTTTCCATTTTTAAATTTTTTAATTATGAAATTTCAAAATAAATGAGAAACTTTTATGAATTAAATTGCAAGAAATTTTAGATGTTAATTTTAAATGAAAATAATTTCATTACTTGGCTAAGATTTACAAATATTAAGTTTATCTAATGAGATACATTAATTATTTTAAAGTGAATAACCAGGGAAACACTATGTGCATATATTTTCAGTTTAACTAACAGCACATAGAAAACAGTTTTATGAGCAACTAGTAATTTATTCACAAACTTATAAACCTGATGGTAGAGTAATTTTTTTAAAACTGTATTTGCATACATCGCAGTTACTTTAATCAATGCAAATTTAGCATGTAATAGAGCAAGTCATTGATAATTATATTCCTTTAATACCAAATAGGTAATAATTTGACTAATCACCAGTAATTTTTTCAAAATGGATATTTAAATTATTGTCCTAAATTTTAGCATCGCTTTTGTAGAAAGAAAAAGATGCTTTTTTTATTATCTAAGATTCTTTACAATAAAGATCTCCTCTATAATTATTGACATAATTAGAATATTGTGGAGTAGCAAAAGAAAAATATAGTTAAGAATTAACATCAGCATTTAACAAAACATTACCTGTCATTACATATAAGATGTCTATCAGAATAATTGAATAATTGATTTGACTTCCAATTTTATAGTTTAGCAGCATATCACCACTTTTATTTTTTCTTCTATCCATTAAAAAACTAACTATTGAACTGTTTGATTTATGGTAGCAGTCTGATTAGCATTATGTCAATACATATCCATCATCAGGTGAAGTCCATGTTCCAATCAAAGCCTAGTCGCAATCAGATGGTAAATCAGGTAAATTAAATGACATAAGTGTAGTCTAAGCATTTACATATATAGCTAATTTAAGTATTAAAAAATAATTAAATTTAAAAATACTCCAAAAAAATTATTTTATTGAAGTAAAAATTTACGCCAAAATAGAAAGAATAAAATCTATGGAAATACCAAAGATTTGATTTAGAGTTTTTAAAGGATGATATTATTTTTTCTTAAAGCCATCTTATTCTTAGATTAAATTTTTATATTTGATTATTTGAAGTTAAGTGTATTCGTATTTCTTCTTCAATATATAAAAGTAAATAAAAAATATTTATTACATAATTCAACAAAGCTAAATCCTTATGTAATAAACTGTAAAAATGTAAATAAATTTCTTTTGGAAGTAATTTTTAAAGTTTATTTTTTAAATCTTAGTTATAACCACCAAATTAATAATAAATCATTTTTATAGTTTTAGCCAACTAAAAGAGAGATAGAAAAAAAATAATTTCATTTTACTTTTTTATTTTTAAAATTTATTTTCATAAAAAAATTTTTTAAATTAAGCTAACTAACAATATTGTTACTTTTCTGCAATACTAATTTTGAAAAATTTTAGTGTTTCCAATTTATATTCCTAAATTTTTATAAAAATTAGTAATAACCATAGCATTAAAAAGTGTTTTGTTGTTTTTTATTTTGAAAGTAAAGCTGTGATTAATTATTGATATTGGCTAAAAAAAACTTAGATAGTTAATTACCAATCTCTTATTTAATTAATAATAAATTGGCTTTTAATTGCACGTTTAGCTTATTTTTCAAATATTCCACACATATTTATTAAGACCAAAAAAAGTAAAATGAATGCAAAGCGCATATTAATTATTGAAATTATATTTAGATTTGATTTAATAATTTTATTTACACTCGTTATTCTTTCTCTTAATTTTAGCCTAAATTATTTTAATACAATGTTTAAATATTTAACATTTAAAATATTTACTAAATTTTTCTTAAAAATGATTTTATGTTGACTTAATAGTAAATGTATTTTAGAAATATAATTACTACAAAATGAATCGAAATAAAAGATATCATCCATCATTCTACTTAATAGGAATACTTAATTTATGTAATTTAATTGATCTATAAGTATTTACATAATAGATAGTTATTAAATTCATTATCAAATTTATTTTTTTACACATTTTGATCAGTTATTTACACATTTATTAATTAATTATTTTTGGTTACAATTTTTAGTAAGTGTGATTTTACTTTTTTTAATTAATAATCTATGTTAAAATTAGATGTAATACTTTTATGATACTACATACCTAATGTTTTTATTATAAGGATATGCATTTCTAATTATAAAACCTTTGATAATTTCATTTTGCTAACCAATCTTTATTCAAGTATACAAGAATAATATTATTTTAATCACTATAAAGTGAATGTAAATTATTATTTTTTTAATATTAAGTGAAGGAAATTAAGTATTTTATTAAGTTAAAAACTAGTTTAATGAAAAATAGATTACATTTAGGTTATATTTAGCCAAAATAAAGTATTCAAATAGATATCAGTGAGCTTTAAAAAGTCCAATTTTTTTTGGCCCATAAAAATTTTATGGCATAATAGTTAGCCAATTATTAAAGACTTATTTTGATTGATAAAAAAAGAATTCATGTTTAAATTTTTTTATATTAAAGATTTTTATTTGTTAAAATTTAGTTGGTGTGAAAGTAAAATAAATTAAATTGGAATATATAAAAAATACTTAGGGTTATCCAAAAGTTCGTACACTTCAAAGATTTCATAATATATAAAGCTTATCCATATTAATAAATTTTATACTTTTATGCTATGATTTTTTCCCTATGAAATAGAATATTTTATTATAAAAAATTCAATAAAATAGTAAATTAATTTTTATTGAAAATTCATAAAAATAAAAATCATGTATAAATATTATTTTTGACATGATAAATATTTAAAAAGATAATATTAAATAATTTAAATGTATTCAAAATACTTTCAATTATGATTAACACAAAAGGTAAATTCTTTTGTACCTATCTATCAAAGGAATTTAGTCACTCCTAACAAGATATTCTACTCATTATTTACTCTAATTAATTAAATAATAAAATAATCCTTCTTTATTATCATGAATATCAAATTTATTTATATATATGGCTAAACAATCAAAAGTTTGCTGGAACCAAATCTGTTTCCAATTGCTTAATTGCTTGATTGATTTTTTTTAATTTTCTCTAAAGACTTATATACCCTTTATTGTATATAGAATTCTGTTAAATTTTCACAATTAAATCTATTAGGTACTCTGCTCAAACCTAAAAACCTAGATTAAATTAATTAGAAATATCTTCAATAGAATAAAATAATTTCTTAGATTATTTAATCGACATTTTAAATATTTTTTGGGTTAAATCTGTTTTTGGCCAGCCAATATGGGAATCTTCTAGAGTATTCTCTCCTTCTTTATACTTAGAATCTCATTTGTATTTTACACAAGAATAAGAGAGACCTTCATTTCCCATTGTTTCAATTAATTAATTAATTAATTGAACATATTACATCTTATTTTTATATAAAATCTAAAATATTTTTGTAGTGAATTTCCATAAAATTTAAGATCTGATTTTTCTTAATTTATGAATGCCTTAAATGATTATTTTTAAATATTATAAAGAATAACTTTTATCTTAGAAATTTTTAGAGAACATGAAAAATATTTTAAGCTAAAAAATTATTTTAATTTAATAAAATATCAATTAAAAATCAAATATATCATTATTTTATGAGAGTTACTTTGATTTAAATTAGAAGAAATTAATGTAAATTTATTCTTTGTAATAAAAAAGCGATAAGCAACAAAGAAGTTTATCAAATATTTTATCTTGCTTGTTAATATCTAAGTAATTTAATTTATACATTAATCATTTATTTTCTAAAATAAAAAATGCTAATATTTTTATATTTATTTTCTTTGGTAAATTTAATAATGGAAGATAATTAATTGCTAATAAATAAAGTATGATTAATTAAATAAATTATTTAGAATGCAAATTAAAGCTATCCTTTAAATAATAAAAAAAAATAATTAAGGAATTAAAAATAAATGTTTAAATCACTTATTATACAAATTAAACACTTTTCTGTTAATAATCATCAACAAAGATGAAAAAAAAGAAATTTTTACTTAATAAATTATTTTAAGCTAGTATTTTTTAAAAATTTATGTTGAATAGATAGTAGATGAATTAAATAAATGGATTTATTAAGAAAATTTTTTTTAATTAATTTTGTAAATTACTAAAAACAATATTTAAAAAATTTTGATAACTTAAGTAAATGATAAAAATAAAAAGAAAATAACAAAATCAAGTTTAGCTAGTCAATAAAGTATGGAAAATATAAATTAAAATACAATTAAACTATCTCATAATTAACTTTAAAACTAAAAATTTAACTTCAAACATAATTTTAAATTAGAATTTCACCCTTCATAGTGGTATTATTATTGCTTTAAATTTGCATAAGATTTAATGTAGACTGCTAGTTTTCTTATATTTTTTTGTTAATTTATTAGTTTTAATCATTATTACTTCTTTAAGTCAATGGAATTTTATTAGAACTAACAATAGATTGAGATTTTTCATATTTATTTATAAAAACTTGGGAATCGTTTTAACACTTTATTTCCTTCATCTTCAAATTTGATGATAAAAAACATTTTTTAGCAATTATTAATATTAAATACTTGAATAATTTATATGTTTCAATAATAGCATCTTTAAATATCAGCAAAGTATAATATATTATCCAGAAAGAGCTAATTCCAATTATAATCCATCCTATTTTCATTCTATAATCTTCACTCACATCTTATTCATCATTAATTAAAAGAGAAGCTAATACTTGAATAGTTATTAAAGAGAGTTCTTATAATATGAATTAGTAGTTATAGTAATTGCTCTAAAAAGGAGTTATTAAAATTATAAAAATAGTAAGCAATAAGTTTAGTATAGAAATCAAAACTATCTGATGATAAGGCTCATTGTAAAAGTACGATATTACAATACAAAATAGAATTTTTCTAAAATATAATAGAACATTGTAGTATCTACTTAGCATAAATACTAACTTTTTTCTATTAGATAATTGGTTTTCTTCAATTTTACATACAGAACTAATTAAATGAGCTGGAGAGTTTTTAATTTCTGATAAAATTATTGAATTTGTTTTTATTTTCTTTCTTATAGTACAATTAATCTATGAATCACTCATTCTAAGTTTAGTACATTAAGAAGTAACAAAATCATTTAATTTATTTTCTTTAGTATTTTTATTATTATTATTTTAAGAGTTTCTCTAGTTTTATGATTGAACTTAGTCTAAGGTTATTTTTAATCCACTTATAAGAGAAGAATATTTTTAAATAAAATTTTAATCATTAATTTTATTTTTCTGCTTGTAAATAATCACAAAAAAGAAAAAAGGGATTCCTAAAACAGTTATAGTGCTTATTGAGTGCAGCATATAATTCAAAAAGCAAGAATAAATATCATCAAAGTTATATGTATTGAATTAAATCAATACTGCAACTACTAAGTAAATATAAAAGGACCAACACAAATCTATCATCGCAGAAAACTCCCATGTTTCTTTAATAGCTCTCTAACAATATAAATTTAAATATTTTATAGGAGATTTAGCAAATATCTTAGCTAATAAATAGAGTATAAAACCAGCTAAATATATTGTGAAATATTGGCCAAAGTTTTTAAGGTAGTAATTATCAGTCTCCTAAGCCATAAACTAAGGAGGAGATTATTAGACGTAATTGGGGTCGATGATGTATAAAAAGAAATTAGGGATGAATGGGAAATTAAAGTTTTTAAAAAGCTGATAAAAATTCATAATATTGAGAGGATACCTGATATCTAAAAACATCAAATAGTATAAGAAACCAGTGATATCAAGAGTATTACAAATTATGTAGATATTTCCAAAAAAAATAGCTGGGATGATTGAAAGCAATGAAGAGGTAACAAAGACAGAACCATATTAAGTCAGCTTTTAAGAAGCCTCTATATTAGATTAAGATATTAACACAAATATTGATAGTTACAGTTCTTGAGATATGTTTTTCATTGAATTTTCATGGACAAACTATGCACTAGTTATAGTTATATTGAGAAAAGAATTCTTAATATTACAAGCAGGTAAAATTAATAAATTTATCAGTTTATTTGAAGTTAAACTGAATTATAAAGTGTATTTATTAGAGTCAATTCCTGTAATCTAAATGCTAAATATCTCTTTATTTAAAATCAGATTAACAAAAAATATTTTTAAAGGGAATTTTCATTAAATGAGTATTGAAATAAAATTTTATAGAAAAACATTAACTAAAATAACAAATTTACTTAAATAATCTAGATTATTCAGAGTTGATTACACAAGTGGATTATCAAAATTTATATTTACACTGTAACCGTTTGTTGTTAAGGTTTATTCTAAATGAAAATAGTTTGTTACTTACTGTGGAATCTCAGGAATCAAGTCACAACTCTTGCTATCACTCTTAACTTGATATCCTGAATTACATTTCTAACAAAGCTAGTTGTTTGTACTTTAGCATTCTTAACAATTTTAAACACTGCAAGGTAGGCATTGAGTTTGATCTGAATTTAAATATGTACTTGTTTAGCAAACTTAACAAATTTAATTATTTTATGGATCACATGTTAAACAATTTTAGATTTAGCATCGCATGCACTACTATTTGTCAGAAGATAAAGAGTAATTTTGTGAGCATTATTAGCATTTTTAATAGTTTTCACTGAAACATTACAAGCAGTTTGGAACAGAACAAGGGAGGCATTAACTTTAATCTAAATTTAAGTAGTTATTAGGTGAGCATACTTGACAGCTAAAAGGATTTTATAATTTACATGTTTAGCAATTACTGACAACACAAGAGTTAATCGAAATGCAATTTTGGGGATTTCTTTGATCTACTTAGAATGTAGAATCTGTGCATTATTTACATATTGTACTATTACAAAGTTAACAATTAATTCCACAGTCAATACATTTATTTGATACAGCATCTAGATATTAGTTTGCTTTGCAAGTAGGAATACATTCATTATTTTTAATAGTATATCCTTCAGAGCATGTAATACAAATACCATAAGGACAACTTGCGCAATTTTTAGTATAGCAACCACACCAATAAAGGCTATAATAAGATTCAGGGTATAATATTACTACTTAGTTGTAGGGGCACTTATAAGAATAATAAGTTTCCATATTTGTCCTTTGATATTAACCATTTTAATATTTAACTGCATTTTAGGCATATTTGAGGCACTAATTAGGATCTGCATAGTATGTATCTAATCATATTTATATTTTAAATTAATTAATAAAAATTTTTCCTTTTAAAAATTTTTAATTAAAAAATTTCAAAGTAAATGAGAAGCTTTTATGAATTAAATTGCAAGAAATTTTAGGTGTTAATTTTAAATAAAAATAATTTCATTACTTGTCTAAGATTTACAAATATTAAGTTTATCTAATGAGATACATTAATTATTTTAAAGTGAATAACCAGGGAAACACTAAGTGCATATATTTTCAGTTTAACTAACAGCACATAGAAAACAGTTTTCTTAGCAACTAGTAATTTATTCACAAACTTATAAACCTGATGGTAGAGTAATTTTTTTAAAACTGTATTTGCATACATCGCAGTTACTTTAATCTATACAAACTTAGCATGTAATAGAGCAAGTCATTGATAATTAAATTCCCTTAATACCAAATAGGTAATAATTTGACTAATCATGAGTAACTTTTTCAAAATGGATATTTAAATTATTGTCTTAAATGTTAGCATTGCTTTTGTAGAAAGAAAAAGTTGCTTTTTTTATTATCTAAGTATTTTTACAATACAGATCTTTATAATAAATGACATAAATAGGATATTGTGGAAAAGCAAAAGAAAAATGAAGTTTAGAATTAACATCAGCATTTAACTTAGCATCTCCATCCATTACATATAAGATGTCTATCAGAATAATTGAATAATTGATTTGACTTCCAATTTTATAATTTAAAAGCATATCACCACTTTTATTTATTCTTCTATCCATTAAAAAACTAACTATTGAACTGTTTGTTTTATGGTAGCAGTCTGATTAGCATTATTTCAATACATATCCATCATCAGGTGATGTCCATGCTCCAATCAAAGCCTAGTTGCAATCAGATGGCAAATCAGGTAAATTAAACGACATAAGTGTAGTCTAAGCATTTACATATATAGCTAATTTAAGTATTAAAAAATAATTAAATTTAAAAACACTCCAAAAAAATTATTTTATTGAAGTAAAAATTTACGCCAAAATAGAAAGAATAAAATCTATGCAAATACCAAAGATTTAATTTAGAGATTTTAATGGATGATATTATTTTTTCTTAAAGTCATCTTATTCTTAGATTAAATTTTTATATTTGATTATTTGAATTTAAGTGTATTCTTATTTCTTCTTCAATATAAAAAAGTAAATAAAAAATATTTATTGCAGAATTCAACAAAGCTAAATCCTTATGTAATAAACTGTAAAAATGTAAATAAATTTCTTCTGGAAGTATATTTTTAAGTTTGTTTTTTAAACCTTAGTTAAAACCACCAAATTAATTATAAATCATATTTATAGTTTTAGCTAACTAAAAGAGAGAGAGGAAAAAAGTCATTTCATTTTAGTTTTTTATTTTTAAAATTTATTTTCCTAAAAAAATTATTTAAATTAAGCTAATTAACAATATTTTTACTCTTTCTGCAAGTCTAATTTTTATAAATTTTAGTATTCCAGTTTTATATTCATGAATTCTTATAAAAATTAGTAATAGCCATAGCATTAAAAAGTATATTAATTATTGTTTATATATTTTGAAAGTAAAGCTGTGATTATTATTGATATTGTCTAAAAAAATTTATCTGGTTAATTACCAATCTCTTATTTAATTAATAATAAATTAGCTTTTATTTGCAAGTTTGGTGTATTTTTCATATACTCCACACATATTTGTTAAGTACCAAAAAAAGAATGAAAAGCGAATAATAATTATTGAATTTATATTTAGATTTGATTTAATAATTTTATTTACGCTTGTTATTCTTTCTCTTAATTTTAGTCTAAATTATTATAATAAATGTTTAAGTCTTTAAAATTTAAAATATTTACTAAATTTTTCTGAAAAATGATTTTATGTTGACTTAATCGTAAATGTATTTTAGAAATATAATTAATACAAAATGAATCGAAATAAAAGATATCATCCATCATTCTACTTAATAGGAATACTTAATTTATGTAATTTAATTGATCTATAAGTATTTTCATAATAAATAGTTATTAAATTCATTATCAAATTTACTTTTTCAGCATGTTAATGAGTAATTTACACATTTATTAATTAATTATTCATTTATTATGTGGAAAATTTACTAAGAATTAAGATTTTTGGTTACAATTTTTAGTAAGTATGATATATACTTTTTCTAATTTATAATCTTGATTGAAATTAGATCTAACATTTTTCTGACAAAACATACTCAATATTTTTATTATAAGGATATTATTTCTAATTATAAAACCTTTGATATCTTCATTTAGCTAACCAATCTTTATTCAAGTAAACATAATATTATTGTAATCACTATTAAGTGAATGTAAATTATTTTTTTAAATGCTATGTGAAGGAAATTAAGTATTTTATTAAGTTAAAAACTTATTTATTGAAAAAGCAGATTATATTTAAGTTATCAGTGAGCTTTAAAAAGTCCCATTTTTTTTGGCCCTTACAAATTTTATGGCATAATAGTTAGTCAATTATTAAAGACTTAATTTAACTGATAAAAAAGAATTCATGTTTAAATTTTTTTATATTAAAGATTTTTATTTGACATTTTTAAAATATTCAAAAAATCTGCCTTAAATAAAAAAGCCTTATTTTATGAGGATCTACAATATTTCAATTCATTTTTAACTAAATTCATTTTATTCATAAAAAGAAAATAAGATAGGAAGTTTAGCTTGTCAATAAAGAATAGAAAATATAATATAAAATACAATTAAATTAAATTATAAAATTGATTTAACTCATAATTAGCTTTAAAACTAAAAATTTAACATCAAACATAATTTTAGATAAGATTTTCAACATTCATAGTCTTATTATTATTGCTTTAAATTTCCATAATATTTAATGTACACTTCTAATTTTCTTATATTTTTTTGTTAATTTATTAGTTTTCTTCATTATTATTTCTTTAAGTCAATGGAATTTTATTAGAACTAACTATAGATTGAGATTTTTCCTAATTATTTATTAAAATTTGAGAATCATTTTAACACTTTATTTCCTAAATCTTCTAATTTGATGATAAAAAACATTTTTTAGCAATTATTAATATTAAATACTTGAATAATTTATATATTTCAATAATAGCATCTTTAAATATCAGCAAAGTATAATATATTATCCAGAAAGAGCTAATTCCAATTATAATCCATCCTATTTTCATTCTATAATCTTCACTCACATCTTAGTCATCATTAATTAAAAGAGAAGCTAATACTTGTATAGTTATTAAAGAGAGTTCTTATAATATGAATTAGTAGTTATAGTAGTTGCTCTAAAAAGGAGTTATTAAAATTATAAAAATAGCAAGCAATAAGTTTAGTATAGAAATCAAAACTAACTGATGATAAGGCTCATTGTAAAGGTACGTAATTACAATACAAAATAGAACTTTTCTAAAATATAATAGCACATTGTAGTATCTACTTAACATAAATACTAACTTTTTTCTATAGGATAATTGGTTTTCTTCAATTTTACATACAGAACTAATTAAATGAGCTGGAGAGTTTTTAATTTCTGATAAAATTATTGAATTTGTTTTTATTTTCTTTCTTATAGTACGATTAATCTATGAATCACTCATTCTAAGTTTAGTACATTAAGAAGTAACAAAATCATTTAATTTATTTTCTTTAGAATTATTATTATTATTATTTTAAGAGTTTCTCTAGTTTTATGATTGAACTTAGTCTAAGGTTATTTTTAATCCACTTATAAGAGAAGAATATTTTTAAATAAAATTTTAATCATTAATTTTATTTTTCTGCTTGTAAATAATCACAAAAAAGAAAAAAGGGATTCCTAAAACAGTTATAGAGCTTATTGAGTGCAACATATAATTCAAAAAGCATGAATAAACATCATCAAAGTTATATGTATTGAATTAAATCAATACTGCAACTACTAAGTAAATATAAAACGACCAACACATATCTATCATCGCAGAAAACTCCCATGTTTCTTTAATAGCTCTCTAACAATATAAATTTAAATATTTTATAGGAGATTTAGCAAATATCTTAGCTAATAAATAGAGTATAAAACCAGCTAAATATATTGTGAAATATTGGCCAAAGTTTTTAAGGTAGTAATTATCAGTCTCCTAAGCCATAAACTAAGGAGGAGATTATTAGACGTAATTGGGGTCGATGATGTATAAAAAGAAATTAGGGATGAATGGGAAATTAAAGTTTTTAAAAAGCTGATAAAAATTCATAATATTGAGAGGATACCTGATATCTAAAAACATCAAATAGTATAAGAAACCAGTGATATCAAGAGTATTACAAATTATGTAGATATTTCCAAAAAAAATAGCTGGGATGATTGAAAGCAATGAAGAGGTAACAAAGACAGAACCATATTAAGTCAGCTTTTAAGAAGCCTCTATATTAGATTAAGATATTAACACAAATATTGATAGTTACAGTTCTTGAGATGTGTTTTTGATAGAATTTTCATGGACAAACTATGCACTAGTTATAGTTATATTGAGAAAAGAATTCTTAATATTACAAGCAGGTACAATTAATAAATTTATCAGTTTATTTGAAGTTAAACTGAATTATAAAGTGTATTTATTAGAGTCAATTCCTGTAATCTAAATGCTAAATATCTCTTTATTTAAAATCAGATTAAGAAAAAATATTTTTATAAGGGAATTTTTATTAAATGTTAAAGAATATTGAAATAAAATAAGATTTAGAAGAATATTAATTAAATAATAAATTTACTTAAATAATCAAGATTATTGAGAGTAGATTGCACAAGTGGATTATCAAAATTTATATTCACACTGTAACCGTTTGTTGTTAAGGTTTATTCTAAATGAAAATAGTTTGTTACTTACTGTGGAGTCTCAGGAATCAAGTCACAACTCTGGCTATCGCTCCTAACTTGAAATCCTGAATTACATTTCTAACAAAGATAGTTGTTTGTACTTTAGCATTCTTAACAATTTTAAACACTGCAAGGTAGGCATTGAGTTTGATCTGAATTTAAATATGTACTTGTTTAGCAAACTTAACAAATTTAATTATTTTATGGATCACATGTTAAACAATTTTAGATTTAGCATCGCATGCACTACTATTTGTCAGAAGATAAAGAGTAATTTTGTGAGCATTATTAGCATTTTTAATAATTTCCATTGAAGCATTATAAGCAGTTTGAAACAGAGCAAGGGAGGCATTAACTTTAATCTAAATTTAAGTATTTATTAGGTGAGCATACTTGACAACTAAAAGGATTTTATAATTTACAAGTTTGGCAATTACTAACAACACAAGAGTTAATCGAAATGCAATTTTGGGGATTTCTTTGATCTACTTAGAATGTAGAATCTGTGCATTATTTACATATTGTATTATTACAAAGTTTACAATTAATTCCACAGTCAATACATTTTTTTGATACTGTATCAAAATATTAGTTTATTTTACAAGTTGATACACATTAACTATTTGTCAAGGTATATCCTTCAGAGCATGTAGAACAATAATAATTAGGACAACTTGCGCAATTATTAGTAATACAGCCACATAAATAAAGACTATAATAAGATTATGGTTATATTAGTACTACTTAATTTTCAGGGCACTTATAAGAAGAATAGATTTCCTAATTTGTCCTTTGATATTAACCATTATAATAAAAAGCCGCAATTAAGTTATATTTGATACATTAATTAGGGTCTGCATAGTATGTCTCTAATTTTATTTATATTTTAAATTAATTAATATAATTTTCCCTTAAAAATTTTTTTAGTTATGAAATATCAAAATAAATGAGAAACTTTTATGAAATAAATTGAAAGAAATTTAAAGTGTTAATTTTAAATGAAATTAAAATTACATGGCTAAGATTTACAAATATTAAGTTTATCTAATGAGATACATTAATTATTTTAAAGAGAATAACCAGGGAAACACTATGTGCATATATTTTCAGTTTTACTAACAGCACATAGAAAGCAGTTTTATGAGCAACTAGTAATTTATTCACAAACTTATAAACCTGATGGTAGAGTAATTTTTTTAAAGCCGGATTTGCATACATCGCAATTACTATCATTTAAACATATTTCACATGTTATAGAGCAAGTCATTGATATTTAAATTGCCTTAATACCAAGTAGGTAATAATTTGACTAATCATTACTAATTTTTTCAAAATGGATATTTAAATTATTATCCAAAATGTTAGCATCACTTTTGTAGAAAGATAATGATGCTTTTTTTGTTACCTAAGTACTTTAACAATACAGATCCCGATAAAAATCGAAATAATATGAATATTTTATAGTAGCAAAAGAAAAATTTAGCTTAGAATTAATATCAACATTTAACTTAACATCACCTTCCGTTACATATATGAGGTCTACCTGAAAAATTGAATAATTGATTTGACCTCCAATTTTATAGTTGAGCAGCATATCACCACTTTTATTTTTTCTTCTGTCCATTAAAAAACTAATTATTGAACTGTTTGTTTTATGGTAGCAGTCTGTAGAGCATTATGTTAATGCATATCCATCATCAGGCGAAATCCATGTTCCAATCAAAGCCTATTTGCAATCAGATGGCAAATCAGGTAAATTAAATGAAAAAAGTATAGTCTAAGCATTAACATATTTAGCTAATTTAAGTATTAAAAAAATAATTAAATTTAAAAAAACACCAAAAAAATTATTTTATTGAAGTAAAAATTTACGCCAAAATAGAAAGAATAAAATCTATGTAAATACCAAAGATTTGATTTAGAGATTTTAATGGATGATATTATTTTTTCTTAAAGCCATCTTATTCTTAGATTAAATTTTTATATTTGATTATTTGAAGTTAAGTGTATTCGTATTTCTTCTTCAATATATAAAAGTAAATAAAAAATATTTATTACAGAATTCAACAAATCTAAATCCTTTTGTAATAAACTGTAAAATGTATATAAATTTCTTCTGAAAATATATTTTAAAGCTTATTTTTTAAATCTTAATTACAACCACCAAATTAATTGTAAATCATATTTATTATATTTATAGTTTTAACCAACTTAAAGAGATAAAAAAATATTTCATTTTACTTCTTTATTTTTTAAATTTATTTTGCTAAAAAACTTTTTTAAGTTAAGCTAAATAACATATTATTACTCTTTTTGCAAGATTATTTTTTAAAAATTTTAATGTTTCCAATTTTATTGACCTGAATTTTGATAAAAAATTAATAATAGCCATAGCATTAAAAAGTATATTATTGCTTATATATTTTGAAAGTAAAACTGTGATAAATTATTGATACTGGCTAAAAAAAATTTATTTGGTTTCTAATTTAATTAATAATTAATTAGCTTTTATTTGCACTTTTGGTATTTTTCAAATATTCAATACATATATGTTAAGTACCAAAAAAAGTAAAAGAAAAAGGATACGATGAGCATATTAAATATTGAATTTATGTTTAGATTTGATTTAATAATTTTATTTATACTTATTATTTTTTCTTTTAATTTTAGTCTAAATTCTATTAATACAATATATAATTAAGTATTTAAAATTTAAAATATTTACTAAATTCTTCTTAAAATATTATTTTATGTTGACTTAATTGAAAATATATTTTAGAAACTTAAATTACTATAAAATGAATCAAAATAAAGTAATCATCATTTTCTTGAATACTGATACTTAATTTATGTAATTTAATTGATCTTTTCTAATAGATATTTGTTTCATTCATTATCAAATTAATTTATTTGGTATAAAAAAGATGAGTTATATTTATTAATAATTCATTTATTATGTGGACAAATACGATGAGTTAAGATTTTAGGTTACAATTTTTAGTAAGTATGATTTTACTTTTTTTAATTAATAATCTTGATTGAAATTAGATGAAACACTTTTTTACACCACATAGTCAATATTTTTATTATAAGGATATGATATCTTCATTTAGCTAACCAATCTTTATTCAAGTAAACAAAGATTATATTATTGTAATCACTATCAAGTGAATGAAAATATTTTTTTTTAAAACACTAAATGAAGGGAAATAAGTATTTTATTAAGTTAAAAGCTTCTTTAATGAACAAATTTACATTTAGATTATATATCCCCAAAAAAAGTATTCAAATCGATATCAGCAAACTTTAAAAAATTACATTTTTTTTGGCATTACAAATTTTTATAGCATACGATTAAATCTAATAAAGGAAAGAAGTAACAAAAGTCAGAATTAAAAAATAGGTACAGAATCTATAATTCATTCTTTTTACAACAAATATTTGGAATAAATGAAAAGGTCACTTTTAATAAAGCAAAAGAATTTTTATAAGATTAATCATTATTATTACATGAATATTTCTAATAATTTATAGTTTGAGTTCTCATTAATAAATGCCCGTTTACAGAAAATGCTTTTTTTTCAAAAATTGTACTTTTTATGATTTTTAAGAATGGGTTCTAATTTTTCCAATTTGCTAATTAGTGAATGAGTGATGATCTACTGTCTTTTATTTTAATTATATGAGAAATAAGCAGAAATACTATTTCAATAATTATATTTATTTTTCTAATTGAAAAGAATGAATTCATTTTTAAATTTTTTTAGATTGAAAGTTATTATTTGTAAAATTAGTAGGCGATTGTAAATAAACTAAATAGAAATATATAAAAGTACATTAGGTTATTTAAAATTTCTTAGTCATCAAACATTTTAAAACATATAAATCTTATCCATATTACTTACTAAACTTTTTTGTTTATTCAATGGTTTTTTACCTATCAAATAGTATATTTATAATTTTAATTTTAAAGAATTCAATAAAATAGTAAATTAATTTTTGTTGAAAATTCATAATAATAAAAATCATGTATAAATATTATTTTTGACATTAAACAATATTTAAAAAGTAAATATACAATATGTTTATATGTGTTCAAAATACTCTCCATAATTATTTATACAAAGCTAAATTCTTTGTGTCTATTTCCTCTTTTTAGTTAAATAATCAAATAATCCTTATTTATTATCGTGAATATCAAATTTATTTTTTATACGGCTAAACGATCAAAAGTCTACTGGAGCCAAATCAGGAGAGCAGGGAGGCTATTGCATAAAAACAAACCATTCTCTTGAAGATATGTATAATTTAACTTTTTTTTACGAGTATTGTCATGATAAATATTAACCCTCTATATACCTGTTTAAGGTCTCTGATTTTTTAATTCATCTATTGTATTATGCTCTAAGTAAAGTTTTAATGTTTTTAACCTAAGTAATAATAATCCATATTGTTAGTTGAAAAAGATACAATTAATCATCTTCTTTTAGAATTAACTTCCTTTAACACTTAAATTTGGATGTTAATCTTTTATGCACCACGAAGAGTTTGAGCCTGTATTTTGAATTTATCTCCAAAAAAACCAGCTTTAATACTGAGTGATAACGTTCCTCAGCTTCCATTTACCTTACTGAATTTTTTCTAAATCTTTTCTACAGATTTAAATAGCCTTTATTGCTTATCTAATTCTGTTAAATTATCTGAAAATCTATTAGATACTCTGCTCAAAATTAAATGCTCAGTTAATATTCTTTGCAATGTAGATAAAACTCATTAGAAATATCCTCAATAGAATAAAATAGATTTTCTTAGATCATTTAATCATTTTTTAAATATTTGTTTGGGTTGAGTCTGCTATTGATCTACCAATAAAATAGGAATCCTCCAGGGTATCTATCTCTACCTTTTGCAAAGAATCTCATCAATTTTTTAATAAGAGAAGTCTTCATCTCCCATAGCTTCAATAAATTAATTTTAATTAATTGAATATATTAGTAGCATTTACACTTTAATAACCATCTTATTTTTATATAAATCTTTTATATTTTTGTTTTGAATTTTCTATAAAATTTATGTACTGATTTTTTTTAAATTTATTGATGTCTTAAATGATTATTTTAAATATTATAAACAATAACTATTTTTAATTTAATAAAATATCAATTAAAAACCAAATATGCAATTATTAATGTGAGTGAAAAAATTTTTCTTTTTTTTTAGTTTAAATATTAGAAAAAATTAATGTAAATTTGTTTGTTTATGATAAAAAAAATAATAATCAACAAAGAAATTTATCTAATATTTCATCATGCTTGTTAACATCTAAATAATATAAATTATATATTAATAATTTATTACTCTAAAATAAAAAACAATAATATTTTTATATTTATTTTCTCTGGTAAATTTAATAACGGAAGATGTTTAATTCCTAATAAATGAAGTAGGATTAATTAAATAGAACATTTTTAATTATTTATAATGCAAATGAATGATATTCTTTAGCTAATTATCAAAAAAATTAAAGAATTAAAATGAATTTTAAATCACTTATAATACATATTTTAGCTTTTCTTTGCAGTTAACCACCAAAGAATATGAAAAAAAATAAAACAATCTACCTAAACTCAAAAAATTTTTTTTTATTCTTAATAAAATTTTTTTGTTTGACTGTTATGTTAAACTAATTTTCTTATTGATTCCTAGTAATCTATAAAAAAAATAAATAATTTATACCTCGTTTCTCTTTTGTAATTAAAGAATAAAATATGATTCAGGTAAATTATTAATTGTTTTATATAACTAGAGCTGGCTTTTGATGATTAAATCTATTTAAATTTTAAAATTCAAAAAATTTAATATGATTTAAAAACTAATCAGTAAGTAAGTAAAACATAAATGACAAAAAAGAAAATTCAGGTAAGATAAGTTAATACTTTTAAATCAAAGTTGAATAACTCAGTTAAAATATAAATAAATAAAAATCAATTACAAAATTAAAAAGTAAAAAGAATTTATTTTTGCAAAAAAACTGAGTTCACCATTTGCTATTCATCCTATTTCTCCTGAGCATAAAATTATAGGAATGAAAACAGATAACATTCAATCCTAGATGTAAGATAGTCCATATATTATAAATTAAAAAAATGAATTGATCCCTTTAGAAACTCTTTCTTTGGGAAATAAATCTATGTAGGACCAACCAACTTAAATATAACAAAAAGACTAAGTAAGTCAATTCAATGACTAAAGCTAAAGATTTTATGCTCAGAAGCATGATCAAGAAATAAACCATTAGACAGTACCAAAAAATCCAAAGAAAATTATGTCATCTTGGAAAGCATCATGGCACCATAGGTTTATACAATACTGGCAATCTATATTTAACAGAAGAATTGTTTCCTTTTCTTGCTTTGCATTATAAATTGGTGATGTTTTTATATTCTCTGCTATAGTTGCTTTTTGTTGCTTTGCCTGTATTGAAGATAAATAAGCAAAATCCTCTGGAAATATGGCTTCAATTTTAATGGGTAATTAATTATAATATTTAATTAATTAATTAATTATTTCTTTATTTAAAATATTGATTTTTTAGTGGTTTAATTTTTTTATCCTAATTTTATTTTAATTAATAATTTTCTGTAAAAACTAATGGTTATTTTACATTAATAATAGCTGCAACTATTGTATTTGGATGTCGCAATGGTCTACTAAGCTACTTCTTTGGGTTGAGCTTAGAAAGAGCATTAATTTGGCATTAGCTCCTTGCATGGGCTACTCTTGTCGCCTCATTAAATCACTGGTTTCACTCAAAGCGCCTCCTAAGTGGATATATTATTTAATTTCCTATAATTGCTTTTATCTTTTTCTCCATAAAGCCAGTTAGGAGATATTTGTGGGAGCTATTTATGAAAATGCACTGGATTCTAATAATTGTATCAATTTATGGCTGCATAGCTCATAAAGTTAGTTATGCGCTTTTTGCTTTTGGCTATTTTATCATTGATGTTTGCTATAGGTATTTATTTTATTTTTAATTTATAATAATGTATATAATTTCCCTAATAAAATATTTAGAATGTATACAATTTACATGCTTAGTGATGTGTCGAAATAAATCAAGTTAGAAAAAATAGGAAATAACATAACAAAAATTTCAATGTCAAGTAAGAATGTCAATTATAAGGGAGGATAATACTTTTTTTTAATGATTCCTAAAATAAGCTATCTATAATGGCATCCTTTTTCAGTATTTAGTGCTTCGTATGAAGATGAAGTAGTATTCTATGTTAAATCTCTAGGAGACTGGACTAGAGAGCTCTATAAAATAGCAGGCGAGCAAGGAAAACCAACAATCTTAAAAGGTTATTTAGATGGTCCTTATGGCTACCATTCTATAGGAATAGAAGGTGATAAGTATAAGCATTTCTTATGTATAAGTGGAGGTATTGGAGTGACTCCAATTATAAGCACTGCCAAAGAAATTTTAAAATAAATGGAAAAAGGAAGACCTGTCAACAGCTTGCATTTTATTTGGACTGGAAGAGATTCCGCTATCGTAGAAAGTGTCTTAAAGCCAGACGAATTAAGATCTCTTTTAAACCAAGACGATTCAAGCATCTTAAAAAATTTCTACCACTATTCAGATAAAGGCGACAAAAAAATTGAAGATATTGAAAAGTAGGCATAATAGGAATAATAATAGTTAGTCTAATTATCTAAAGGAAGGCCAGAATTTACAAAATATTTTGAATCTGCATACAATGCAGCAAAAGAAAGTGGCGAAAGCCTTGTCGCTGTACTCACATGTGGTCCTCAATAACTTATTGATACAGCTGAAATAAATTCAATGAAATGGTCAAAATAAGGAATTAGATTTGACTGCCATTAAGAAGTTTTTGACTTCTGAGAAATAAATAAATACAAATTCCTAAAAAAATATAATAATTATATTATCCAATAACATAAGAACATATTAAATGATAGATAGATAGTTTAATTTTTGATAAATAAAAAACTACCTCAACTTAATTTATTACAAATTAGTTAATAAAATAAATAATTTAAAAAAATTTTTTTAATCATTTTTTAGATATATATCATTTATATTAGCACGCACTTTAATTATTTACTTACTTATCAGAAACCTTATGACAAAAAAGTTATTGTCAGCTTATAAATTTTTGTTTTATTTTCTTTAATTAACATGGATGAATAGTAAGTACTACATAAATTTACATCATACAATTATAAAAATATTTTTTCAGCAATAATCATTTATTTAATAAATCCCCTTACTATACCCAATACAAATTCTTGAAATAAAAGTCTATATAACACTTCCATCCAACTTTCTAAGAATTAGAGTGGGGATAATAAATAATTTTTATATATTTATTGAAGCCTTATACTTATATATACAAATTCGTTATAAGAAAATTAGTAGGATTTAAGATTATTTTAAAATTTATTTTCAGTAAATAAATCAAAATATTTTTATAATAAAAGTAATTAATAGTTATTTTCTTTAATATTTTAAATTTTCTGTTTGATTAGTCTGAATTGTAAAATCATTCTTTAAATTTATATAAAAATAATCCTTTATTATTCATGTTAATCAACTATAATTCTAGTCAATTAAAAAGCTAATTTTATTTTTGTAAAATATTACAAGGAAAATTTTAATAATAATATTTAAAAAATAAAATTTTAAATAATGAATTAATTTTTATATGAGTTTTAATATATATTTATTAAATAAAAATACATAAATAATTTCAATAGAATTTAAGTACACCTTTAAAAGCAAAAAAACTTTGAACAGATAGATATTAATTTGTTTAATTTAGATGAGTGCTTTGAATATAGTTTTGCATTTAAAATGTTTAAAAAAATATTTAGCTAAATTAATTAACAAGGTTAATTTGATAATTTTAATTGTAAACCTTTGATTTATTTTGATTTACTGATGATATTGAAGTTTAATACCAGTAATAATGGTGAAAGTCAAATTTTAATTTTTAGCCTGAAAATTTTTAATTAACTGTAAATCTTTAAAAAAAGTATCTTCGAGAAAAAATCTTAATCTTAAAAAAAGTCTGATATAAAAGTAAGAAAGGGACTTTATTATTTTTATACTAAACCTCAGCTAAATATGATAAGTAAAATGATTTTTTATAATATTTACTGAATTGATAGTAAAAGCTTAAATTTTTTAAGTTTGATCATTAGAGTTTATTACTTTTTTTATAGATGTTCTAAAGAATTCTTTTTAAATATTCACAGTAATTTATATCTAAACTTTTAAAAAAATAATACCAAGAAATTCATAAAGGAAAAAAAATGTATCAACTAAATTCTAAACTAAAATTAAATACCTGGCTTGTAGAATACATTTGAATAAGTGGAAAATCTTATAAAGTAAGATTAATGACTAAAAGAATTTTTAAATGCAGCATCTCGAATAAAAATTGGAATTTCAGAAAATCCAGGATAAAATTTGTAACAAATAATAATAAATTTAAGATTCATTCTATTTCAATCTGACAATTTTAAATTTAAAGAAATTTAAAATATTAAAAATTATTTGTTGAATTCTGATTAAATTTTAAAAATTATATTAACCATTTGAATTAAAAACTATATTTTCAGTTATTTTAATATACATTTTGATTAAAATGAACAATTTAAAATTCAAAATATTCAATTAAAAATGCCTGAATTAAATAAAATGATAGAAAAGAACTTGTTAAAGACAATTAATTTTAACAAGGCTTTGCATTTTATCATTTTTAATCAAAAATTTTGATTATTTTTAAAGCAAAGTAACTTGTTGTTACTTTAAATAATGATAATTTAGTTATTTCAATCTTGAGCAAAAAAATAATTTCAAAAACTTAGAACAATTTGTTTTTTGTTCATCAAGTAGAATATATTTAATGGAAAAAAAAATTAACTTATTAAATATCATGTATTTTTATTAAAAAAATATGAATTTAAAAATAAATTAAAAACTAATCATTAAATTTCAGGTTTATTTTGAAATCAAAATTTGATATTTGTGATTATGTAGTTAGTTAATTAATTAATTAAAAGGAATAGAAGAAGATTTTTAATTTCATAAATTAATTGAAAACAAGCGTATTCTATTCAATATCTATTTTAGGCTTATTGAATAAATAAAGGAAGAGTGCAAACAAGAATATTATTATAAATACTAGAAATAGTTTACACAATCAAAACCTTATAATAAATTAAATAAAATAAATTTAACAAACAGCAAAAAGAAATAAAACTAAAAAACCTAATAAAATAACATAATTTCTTTTTAAAAAGTGAGTCCTAGTCTTTCAATTCATCCTCTTCCTTCTGATTCTCTAAATCAAAACATAAACATGAAAGATCAATCTCTTCCAAACAATATAAAAGCCTCTTTACCAGATAAATAATAAGAATTGGAGCAGTTAGAAAACTAACCTCAATAGGAAAAAGGCGAAAATGGTTAAAATCCTGATTAAATATAACAAGAATCTCAAAAAATAAAAATGAGCGAATATATCAAATAACATCAGAAAAAGTCAATGTAGGTTTGCGAATCTATTGAATTAGAGCAAGAAAAAAAGAATAAAAGTTGTCGTAATTCAGCTTGGCAAGCTTCTTGGCATTACAGAATTATCCAATATTGGCAGTCTATCTTCAATAGAAGAATAGTCTCATTTTCTTGTTTTGCTCTATAAGTTGGTGATGTTTTTATTTTCTGTGGGTTACTTTGCTTTTTGTGTATCAGTTGTGTTTCAATCAAAAAGTCAAAAAGCTCTGGAAATATGGCTTCAATAACAATGGGTAACTAATTGATTAATATATTAATTTATCATTTAAAATTCTATATTCTAACTAATTATTTTTATAACACAATAGCTGCGACAATAGTTTTCGGATGCCGTAATGGTTTTCTCAGCTACTTATTTGGATTAAGTTTAGAAAGGGCTCTTCTATGGCATTAATTCTTAGCTTGGATCACACTAGGTATGTCCATAAATCACTGGGTTCATTCAAAATCAATAGCTAGTGGATTTATTGTTTAAGTTCCTCTTATGGCATTCATAGTTTTCTCTATTAAACCAATCAGAAGATATCTATGGGAGTTATTTATGAAAATGCACTGGATTCTTATCATAGTCATGATTGTAGGATGCATAGCTCATGGCGTAACCTATGCCTTATTCGCCCTAGGCTACTTTGCTCTGGATGTTGTTTACAGGTATTTTTATTATTTAATATAAAACTTACAGTTTACAACAAACAATTACTTCGATTTTAAAATTTTGTTAATTAATTTATATTTTAATAAACAGAGGATATACAGTGTACTAGCTCAGAAATATATCAAACTAAATGAAACTTGAAAGGATAGGAACAAATATAACTAAAATTTCAATAAGCAATAAAAATAATAAATACAAAGGAGGATAGTATTATTTCATAATGATTCCTAAGCTTGGTTATTTACAATGGCACCCTTTCTCTGTTTTCAGTGCATCTTATGAAGAAGAAATAGTCTTTTATGTAAAATGCCTTGGTGATTGGACTACTCAATTGTACTAAATTGCTGGAGAGTAAGGTAAACCCACTATATTTAAGGGCTATTTAGATGGCCCATATGGATACCATTCTATTAGCATAGAAGGAGATAAGTATAAAAATTTTCTTTGTATAAGTGGTGGTATTGGAGTTACTCCAATCATTAGTACTGCTAAAGAGCTTTTACATTAAATTGAATAAGGAAGACCAATAAATAGTTTGTACTTTATATGGACTGGTAGAGATTCAGCGATAGTTTAGAGTGTATTAAAACCTGATGATTTAAGATCTCTATTAAACCAAGATGATGCTACTATCCTTTAAAATTTCTATCATTATTCTGATAAAGGAGATAAAAAAATTGATGACCTAGAAAAATAAGCTTAAATAGAATAGCATTAATTAGTTGTGTTAGCCAAAGGCAGACCAGATTTTAATAAATATTTTGAAGCTGCCTTTAATTCAGCAAAAGCTAAAGGTGATCATTTAGTAGGTGTGCTTACATGTGGACCTTAGCAATTAATTGATGCTGCTGAGATAAACTCTATGAAGTGGTCAAAGGATGGCATCAGATTTGATTGCCATTAAGAAGTTTTCGATTTTTGATGAATGTAGAATTAAAACTACTATTTTCTGACTATTTGTGACGAAGAAGCTATAATTTTAATACTAATATAATAAAAATAACAAAAAGAAACCATTAATAAATACTAACTAGATTAACAGAAAAATAAACCTTGATTAATTATTCAATTTATAAATATAAAACTATAAAAAAATAAATATTATATATTATATTATTAAGTAATTTATTTGTCTATATAATTCACTATGTAAATTGTCAATTTTAACCCTAAATTGATTGAATTTCTTCTTTGTACCTTTTTAAATCAAAAATAATATTTTTTTATTAAAAATTGAGTAATTTGTAGTTTTAAATTTAGAGTTTTCTGATTATTTTTTACTGATACTTTTGATTTACTCCTTTTCTCTATATATTTTAGTAACAAAATATAATCTTAATTAATGAATTAGAAGTTGAAAATTTATAAATATAATTTTTCTTATTATTATCAAAAAAATATTTTAACAGCTTTACTTTGAAAGTAATGATTTTGCATATATTATATTTGATTCTTACTATTAATCATAACATGAAATTTAGAATCTATTTAATAAAAATTTACTTGTTAAATTTATATATAATAAATTTAGAATTAATTTTTACGTGAAACTAGATTTTTATGTGTAAGCATTATTAATAATTTTATTCTAGAAATGTTCTGCTAATTTTAAATTTTCATACTATTTTTAAATTTAAAAAAAAAAAATTAAATAAAATTATTATTTAATGCAGATGAGTAATTAAAATTTTTAATATTATATTTGATATTTTACATTAAATATTGTTTCACTATTACAAATAAATTAAGCAAGTGTTTGCAAATTATTAATTAATCTAAAAAATATTTTTTTCAATATTTATTCTTGTTAAATTATTTTATTTTTACAATTTTGCAACAAAAATAATTTTAATCAACTAGAAATATAATAATATAATTTTTTTTAGTTTCAAAAGAAATAAAAATTTTTTTTGAGTCATCAATAGATTGTAATTAAGTTTCTATTAAAAACATTTTTTGCAACATCAAATTATAACAATTTTTAAAATATCTTTCAAAAGAATGTATTTTAAACAAACCATAAGAATCTGATTAATTTAAATTCAAAATGTAGCTGAAAAAAAAGCTTTAATTTTATTAATTCTGACATAAATTTAAAATGTCGGCCATTAAAATTGGAAACATAAAAAATAATTTATTTTAAATTTTAAAACAGGTATTAAAAAACAGGTGAAAATGTTGTTAGAAAATTTTTCATAGGAGTCAATGTTAAAAATAAAATAACATTTAATTTAAAAATAAAATCACATTTAATCTATTTTGACTATTAATCAAAGAACATTAAAAGTAAAAAGTTTATTTTAGGCAATAATTTGAACAGCAAATTAACTAATTAAAAAATACATAAAAAAACAAAAAATAAATTCTAACAAAAACAACCATTTTAAGTCCTTTCTTTCTTTAAATATAAAAAAAGAGAATAATGAGAAATTCTTCAAACTAAAATAGATAAAAATAAAAAATGAATAATTACTTAGATAGTTCAAACAATAGGTTAAAGTGTAAGACGGATAATGATAAAACAGCTATATCAGCTTCTTAGTCTCCAACTCCTTCTATGATATATAAATCAAATCAATCTAATCCTACAAAGAGGCCATCTAACTCCCAACAAACATAAAAAGTAGAGTAAAAGCAACCTTAAAATTAATAGAAATAAATTCAGCAATAAAATTAGCCAAATTAAAAATAATAAAACTAAAATAACCCCTCTCCTTAGAAGCGTAGAGCGAGACCTGAATGGAAAATTTCTTGCTATCGAAAAATTATTCAAAAATGGTAAGCTGTTATGAATAGAAGAATATATTCATTTTCTTGCTTTGCTTTACAAGTTGGAGATGTCATTATTTTTTCTTTAACAGCAGCCTACATAGTGTTTAGCTTTTTCGAAGAAATAGATACATAATCTTCAGGCAATGTTGCTTAAATGATGCTAAGTAATTTAAATTTACACTTATTTTTCAAAGGTTTTTTTGAATTGATAATTTAAAAGAACGAATGAGATAAATTTAAATAAAAATTTATATTTAATTAGCACTAACAATTATATTTGGATGTAGAAACGGTTTATTAAGCTTTATTTTTAGCTTAAGCTTAGAAAGAGCACTTTTATGGCATTAAATGTTTGCTTGGGGAACTTTAGCTCTTTCGATAAATCATTGGATGCATTCAAAAGAAATCATGAGCGGTTATTTAGCAATTGCACCTATTTTTGGATTAGTTGCATTCTCAATACAACCCATTAGAAGATACTTATGGGAGTTTTTTATGAGAATGCATTGGATATTAATTATAGTCTTAGTTGTTGGTTGTATCTTACATAGAGTTACCTTAGGGGTAATAGCATGTGGATATTTCTTCTTAGATATATGCTTTAGGTATTTAAATTGATTTAAACTTTTTACTTTAAAAATATAATTGCATTTTATGAATTAGAATATACAATGTTTGTAAGTATCGGGAAATGTCTAGATACATGACTTTAGAAAGAGTAGGTAATAATATAACAAGATTAAGTATGACCAATGAAGATTGTTATTTTAAAGGAGGATAGTATTTTTTCATCATGATTCCTCATCTTAGTTATTTCTAATGGCATCCATTTTCCGTTTTTAGTGCATCATATGAAGAGGAGATGGTATTCTATGTAAAAAGCCTTGGAAATTGGACAGGCGATTTATATGATATCGCTGGAAAACCAGGATAACCTACCAGCTATAGGGCGTATATAGATGGTCCATACGGATCTCATTCAATTAGCATTGAAGGTGATAAATATTAAAATTTCTTAATGATAAGTGGAGGAATTGGAGTAACTCCCATCATAAGTACAGCGAAAGAATTATTAGCAGAAATAGATTATGGTAGACCAGTGAAGAATTTACATTTTATTTGGACTGGCAGAGATTCCGCATTAGTTGAAGGAGTTTTCGAGCCTGGAGACCTAAAGTCTCTATTACATCAAGAAGAAGCAAATATATTGCAGACTTTTTATCATTATTCAGCTGAAGGAGATAAAAGAATTACTGATATTGAAAAGCAAGCTTAAAAGAATAAATAATAAATAGTAGAACTTACAAAAGGAAGACCTAATTTTGATAAATATTTTGATAACGCATATAGATGTTGTTTAAAATCTGGGCATTCCTTAGTAGCTGTACTTGTTTGTGGTCCTTAAGAATTAATTGATTTAGTTGAAATATAGGCAATGAAATATTCAACAGATGGAATAAGGTTCGATGTACATCAAGAGGTGTTTAATTTTTGAAAACTTGTATTTTTTTTATATAACCCTAAATTATTTAAATAAATTGTAAAACTTTATATTTTATGTCTTTAACTTTGTTTCATTGCTGATTAATTAAGCAAAATATTTAATATGAAAGAAACAAGTTCATTTTTCAATGATTTTCATAAAAAAATTGCATTTTATACAAAATTAAGAGAACAAACAAAGCAAGAGCTTATTTTTTATCAATTTGCAACTACAGCTTAGAGAGATTTTTATGTAAATGAATTTTGGTGTACAAAAAAATTAAAATGGAATTTTTTGAGAAATACAATTATGTAAATTTAAATGATTAAAAAAGTAATAAAAATAAAGCCAATTTGCGATTTTAAAATTGATTAGTCTCTGTTTTTTTAATTGTGGATAAAAAACAAGTAATTTGTTTAAAAATAATGTAAAAGGAATTTAGTTTTTCAGATAGAAAAATTAAAGTTTGTTTTTGAAAAGGAAATAAAGACTTTCTTATAATTAATTTATCCAAAATTAAATTAAGTTTAGTAATTGTAGATCTTTGAAGGTAAAAATGAGTGATGATTCTTTAACTATTGAGCTAAAAAGCCATTTAAATTTTAGAGATAATCAAAAATAGGAGAGTTAGCATGATAAATGCAATGCTGTTAAGAGGAATGCAGGGAATATATATATTGAAGATTTAAAATTAAGTTTTGAATATTGGCATAAAAACTATTTAATAAGATTCATAGAGATTTGGCAGTCGATTTTCAATAGAAGGATATTGAATTTCTATAAATTTACAATACAAGTAGGAGATATTTTATTTTTTATCTCAATAGTAGGATATTTGGTTTTGTCATGTCTTTTTTGTAGGAAAGAAAAAAACTCAGGTGAATAAACTCAATTTATGTTAGGTAATTAAAAATATTTAATCAAAAAGAAATAGAATCATAAATATAAATAAAAAAATATTTAATTTAAGAATTCATTTAATTTTCAGGATTTTGGTATTTTGTATTTTTTATTTCCATCAACTCTTAGTAGAATTAATTACCTTTTTTTAAAGGTATTGATTAATTATTTTTGATATTTAATAAAGGAATAACTATTGTCTTTGGGTGCAGAAATGGATTAATAAGCTATATTTTTGGATTAAGTTTTGAACGAGCTATTTTCTGGCATAAATTTATGGCTTGGGTCACTTTAGGGCTCTCTGCTAACCATTGGTACCATGCTAGAGGAATAGTGAGTGGTTATATGATTGGTGGAGTATTAACTACTTTTGTGATCTTTTCGATAGAGCCAATAAGAAGGAAATTTTGGGAGTTTTTTATGAAGCTACATTGGTTGCTAATTTGTTGTATGCTTGTTAGTTGCATCATTCATGAAGTTGGGGCTGGAATTTTAACTATAGGATACTTTGCTCTTGATGTTATATGCAGGTAAACCTGATTTTTCTTATCAAATATAAATGAATGATTTTAATTTTTTAACATACAAATTTTAATTATATAAATTTTATGAAATAGAATTTATACAATAAAGAAATATAGCTATTTATCTGCAAGTATTGAAATAGAGAGAGTTGGAGATAGTGTTGTAAAGATATCTATGCATCGTTAAAATATTACTTTTAAAGGAGGTTAGTATTTTTTTATTATGATTCCAAAGATGAGCTCTTTTTGTGGCATCCTTTTTCAGCATTTAGTGCTCCCCATGAAGAATAGCTTGTATTTTATGTAAAATAGTCTGGAGATTGGACTGAAGCCCTTTTCTAATTAGCTGGAAAATAGGGTAAGCCTGTTAATGTTAGAGGTTATATTGATGGCCCTTATGGATCATACTCCATTAGTTTAGATAGAGATAAGTATTAACATTTTTTATGCATTAGTGGAGGTATTGGAATAACTCCAATTTTTAGTCTTGTTAAATAATTGAATTTTTAAGTGCGTGAAGGAAGATTAGTTTAAAATATTCATTTTATCTGGGTAGGAAGGGATAAATCTGTAATTGAAAACATTTTAGATCAAACATAACTCAAGTAGCTTGAAGTCGAAGATAATAAAATCACATTAAGAAGCTACTTGCATTTCACGAACAGTAAAGTATCAAATGTGATTAAATAAAAATAAAACTAAGGAAATATCAAGTACATCCTGGGAAGACCTGATTTTTCTGCATATTTTGAAAACATGCATAAAATTGCTAAATAAAATTAAACCAATCTTGTTGCAGTTTTGGTTTGCGGTCCTTAATCATTAATTTTTGAAGTTGAAAATCATGCATCAAAAAACTCAAAAGATGGGATTAGATTTGACATACACCAAGAAGTGTTTGAATTGTGAATAGACATTAAGAAAGACATAATGTCAATCAAATCTAATATAAATTAATTTTTTTTTCATACAATTAATGCTCAACATTTAATGAGAAATTTTATTTTTTTCAATTTTACCTTTTCAATTGAATAAAACTAGACATTCTTTATTTAAGAAATCTATTTCTCGCAAAATTTGAATGATAATCTCAATAAATTCAAAATATTACTTATTTCTTCAGCAGTAGCTATAAACTTAGTTAAATAAAACACACATACATAAATTTGATAAAAAGTGATTAAATAAGTAAGAGTCTCTTGTTGATTTTTCATCTTTTCTCTTTAAAAAAGTTGTGTATTAAATAATTTGTTTTATGACTATTAAGAAGGAAAATTTAAATAACAAATTGCTCCTTACATTCAGAAAAGTTAGTACTAACTATTTTTATTAATTGTCAAATATTTCCTATATTTTTTTTATAAATATCTTAATATGTTTATATTTGCTTATTTTGGTAGTTCACATAAGCATCAAAATATTTAATAAGTTTAGAAAAAATAATATAAGATTTATAGTCATATTTTTTGAATAATCGCATATTTTAAGAAAACTTTTACATAATAAGTCTTAAGCACTGTTGTTTACTAACAAAACGTTTAAATTTTAAAAATTATTGATAAAATCTATTTATTATTTTAAAAAGAACCTGAAATTAAATGAAATCATAGTAATTAAATATAATCCAATTTCTAGAAAAATTCTATCATAATGATTTAATTTCAATAAAATTACAAAAAATTTATTATTTAACTTTGTGAATTTTTTTAATCAAAGAAACTTTATAATTTGATAAAAAATTTTATTTTAAGCACCAAATTTAATTGATTAATAACTTCTTAAAATTATCTCAATAGTAGACAAAATCAATTCAAATAATTAAACAACTAACTAACTAACTACTTTAATACATTAAAAACATATTTACTTAAATAAAATAATCATAGTATGTAAATGTTTAGATTACTATCATAAAACTCATTTTAATTTTAAGGATATTTCTAAATTTAATAGTATCCTTATTATGTGATGCAAAATTCAATCTTTATTCATATCTCTTATAACATTATCATATAAAAATACTTAGTTTTAAAAACATAATTAATAAAAGATCTTAAGTATTTCAGAATTTGTTTTATCTTTTATTATTTATAAAATACTTTTTAAATTTAGCTTTAATGGTTTTTTAGCATTCTTAAAAATTCAAATTCTTTAAGATAAACATATACGAAGTAGAGAAATAGTTTGTTAGAATGTTATCTTATAGTAGCATTGAGCAAAAAGAAATATTTTTTTTAATAAATAATTTAATAAAGATAATATATGTTTGTTATTTATTTTCAAGCAATATACCCAAATAAAAAAATTTAAAAATATATTAGCCATAGTTTGATTGCTACAGTAAAATTTGTTTATTTTTAAGGCTATTTATTTAAATTATGTTTAAAATGTTTATTTATTTGCTACCACATATTTTTATATGTTGCTTGAATCTTGTTCAATTTATTCTTTGTAATTAAAAAAGTCTTTGTTTGTTATTTTATTGAAAATAATTTATCTATACTATTTCAAATATTAAAACCGAGATCACTTTAGCTAATTCATACAAATATTAATTTTTAAAACAATTAACATAATATTTTGAGTATTCCTTAGAAAATTTATCCAGATTCTCATTCATAACAAAGCTCAAGAATGATAAATTTTGATTCACCTGTACAAAAAAGAGAAGATTGTCCATAGATGTAATTAGATGAGTTACAAACATTAGATAATACCTCAAATATTGATAAAAACTCTCAAAATTTCGATTAGTAATCCAAAAAAAAGACACATATTAGCTAATTTAAGTAACAACAAAATAAAGATTAGACTTCTAATAAAGATGATAGTTAATAGAGTATTCTAAATCCTGCAAAAAAAGTGCCACTAAATCAGCCTCTATGGAAAACATAATGGCAACATAAATTTATTTAATTCTGGTAAACCCTTTTCAACAGGAGAATAATTTCTTTTTCTTGCTTTGCATTGTAAGTTGGAGATGTCGTGATTTTCTCTCTAATATCTGCATTATTAGCGATTGTTTGTGTTGACATGACAGATACTGCTTCTTCAGGAGATATGGCTTCTATTGTAATGGGTAATTTTTTACTTTGATAATTAATTATCGATTAATTTTAATTGAAATTTGCTTAAATGTGAATATCATCAAAATAATTAAATTTTACTTCCATTTAATACCTTAAATGTTAGAATAATATATAGAGATAACCAATTATTTTAAAAAAATTAATTTGATTATTTTATAAATTTAAATCACAGCTGCAACAGTAATTTTTGGATGCAGAAATGGTTTATTAAGCTACCTATTTGGGCTGAGTTTAGAGAAAGCTGTTCTCTGGCATTAATTCCATGCTTGGATAACGCTTGGAATGTCCTTTAATCATTGGTTTAATTCGGATTCACTATTTAGTGGATATTTAGTAGAATTTCCTCTTATTGGATTACTCGCATTTTCAATCAAACCAGTTAGGAGATATTTATGGGAGTTTTTCATGAAAATGCATTGGCTCCTCATTATAGCTCTAACAGTTGGGTGTGTGGCTCATAGCGTTACTTTTACATTATTTGGACTTGGATATTTTGTTCTAGATTTAGGTTATAGGTAACTAATATAAAGATTTTTGTCATTTTGTTTATCAAACTATTTACTTAATTTATTATTTATAATTATTTTTTATTAATTGAAGACTTTATACAGTTTGTAAACATATAAATATGTCACAACACATGAATCTAGAAAAAGTGGGATCAAATATCACAAAAATTACTTTGAAAAAAGAAAATTCAAATTATAAAGGTGGCTAATATTTCTTTTTAATGATTCCCAAGATAAGTTATTTCTAATGGCATCCTTTCTCAGTTTTTAGTGCTTCCTATGAAGAATATATAGTTATTTATGTTAAAAGTCTTGGAGATTGGACAAGCGAACTTTATAGGATAGCTGGAGACTAAGGAAAGCCTACTGTAATTAAAGGATATGTTGATGGCCCTTATGGATATCATTCAATCAGCATTGAAGGAGACAAATACAAAAATTTTCTATGTATAAGTGGTGGAATAGGTGTTACACCTATTATTAGCACAGCTAAAGAAATCCTTCATTAAATGGATTAAGGAAGACCTATCAGTAATCTTCATTTTATTTGGACAGGCAGAGACTCTGCTATTGTTTAAAGTGTGATCAAGCCAGGGGAATTAAAAAATTTATTAAACCAAGATGATAGCAATATCTTAAAAACGTTCTATCACTATTCAGATAAGGGCGATAAAAAAATAGATCAATTATAGAGTGAAGTATAAAATTGCTAAGAAAAAATGGTTGAACTGGATAAAGGAAGACCAGACTTTAACAAATATTTTGAAGTGGCCTTTTAAGCAGCAAAATAGAGTGGTCATAAGTTAGTCGGAGTGCTCACATGTGGTCCTTAATAGTTAATTGATACAGTAGAGATTAATTCTATGAAATGGTCGAAAGAAGGAATTAGGTTTGATTGCCATTAAGAAGTTTTTAATTTCTGAAAGAAAAGTTTTTATCTAACTACTAAAAATATAAAATAATTTTGAATAATTTAACTTAACTTAAATTACACAAATTCCTTTAATAAATTAGGATTATTAATAAAAATAACATAAACTAATTATTTAGAATTTAAATTATTAATTGAAAAAAGGAATATTTCATTTTAAGATGATAAAAAGAATAATTAATTAATGTATTTTGTATGACTTAATTTATCTTAATGTCAATAAAATTGTAATCTAATAAATTTATATTATTTTATTTATTAAATAGAATCTTAATTTTACCTATTATTTTTTATAGAATAACTTATTTTGTTTTATATTATTTAGTTAATTTATCTCTAATACTTGTAATATAAATTATCCTAATTTTATGAAAAATTATTAATTCTATTACATACTGTAACAAAATTTGGTCAAAATATATTTAAACAACACTTTCACCTATTCATTCAAAGCGACACCTAATCTTAATATCTTCAAAAGGTACTGCTTTTTAGTTAATTTAAATGGCACCTATTTTTACCATTTTTAAACAACACCTGAAATTTTGTCATCAAAAATTTTAAAACATTTAAATCTTATTCATATTAATAAATTTTATAATTTATACAATGGTTTTTTACCTATCAAATAGTATATTTTTAATTTTAATTTTAAAGAATTGAATAAAATAGTAAATTAATTTTTGTTGAAAATTGATAATAATAAAAATCATGTATAAATATTATTTTTGACATGAAACAATATTTAAAAAGTAAATATACAATGTGTTTATGTGTTCAAAATATTCTCCATAATAATTTATACAAAGCTAAATTCTTTGTGTCTATTTCCTCTTTTTAGTTAAATAATCAAATAATCCTGATTTATTATCTAGAATATCAAATTTATTTTTTATATGGCTAAATGATCAAAAGTCTACTGGAACCAAATCAGGAGAGTAGGGAGGCTATGGCATAAAAACAAAGCCATTATCTAGAATATATGATTTAACTTTTTAGTTCGAAAATTTTCATGATAACCTCTATATACCTGTTTAATGTCTCTGATTTTTTAATTCATTTATTGTATTACGCTCTAAGCAATCTTTTAAATAAGATTAATACTTTAAAGTTTTAACGTTTTTAACCTAAGTAATAATAATCCATATTGTTAGTTGAAAAAGATACAATATATCATCTTCTTTTAATCCTTTAATATTTAAGTTTGGATGTTAATCTTTTATTACCACAAAAAGTTTGAGCCTGTATTTTGAATTTATCTCCAAAAAAACCAGCTTTAATTTAGAGCAATAACGTTCCTCAGCTTCCATTTACCTTAAATCTTTTCAACAGATTTTAATAGCCTTTATTGCTTATCAAATTCTGTTAAATTATCTGAAAATCTATTAGATACTCTGCTCAAAACTAAATGCTCAGTCAATATTCTTTGCAATGTAGATAAAACAAACTCATTAGAATATCCTAAATAGAATAAAATAGATTTTCTAAGATCATTTAATCATTTTGAAAAAATTTGCTTGGGTTGAGTCTGCTATTGATCTACCAATAAAATAGGAATCTTCCAGGATATCTATCTCTACCTTTTGCAAAAAATCTCATCAATTTTTTAATAAGAGAAATCTTCATCTCCCATAGCTTCAATAAATTAATTTTAATTAATTTAACATATTAGTAACATTTACACTTTAATAACTATCTTATTTTTATATAAAATCTTTTATATTTTTGTTTTGAATTTTCTATAAAATTTATGAATGATTTTTTTTAATTTATTGATATCTTAAATTATTATTTTAATATATTATAGACAACAACTTTTATTAATTTAATAAAATATCAATTAAAAACAAAATATGCAATTATTAATGAGAGTGAAAAAATTATTCTTTTTTTTTAGTTTAAATATTAGAAAAATTTTATGTAAATTTGTTTGTTTATGATAAAAAAATAACAATCAACAAAGAAATTTATCAAATATTTCATCATGGTTGTTAACATCTAAATAATATAAATTATATATTAATAATTTATTACTCTAAAATAAAAAACAATAATATTTTTATATTTATTTTTTCTGGTAAATTTAATAACGGAAGATGTTTAATTCCTAATAAATGAAGTAGGATTAATTAAATAGAACATTTCTAATTATTTATAATGCAAATTAATGATATTCTTAAGCTAATTATCAAAAAAATTAAAAAATTAAAAAGAAAACTTTTAAATCACTTATAATACATATTTTAGCTTTTCTTTGCAGTTAACCACCAAAGAATAGGAAAAAAAATCATTTACTTTTTTATAAAAAAATAAAACAATCTACCTAAACTCAAAAGTTTTTTTTTGATTCTTAATAAAATTTTTTTGTTTGACTGTTATGTTAAACTAATTTTCTTATTGATTCCTAGTAATCTATAAAAAAATAAATAATTTATACCTCGTTTCTTTTTTGTAATTAAAGAATAAAATATGATTCAGGTAAATTATTAATTGTTTTATATAATTAGAGCTGGCTTTTGATGATTAAATCTATTTAAATTTTAAAATTCAAAAAATTTAATATGATTTAAAAACTAATCAGTAAGTAAGTAAAACATAAATGACAAAAAAGAAAATTCAGGTAAGATAAGTTAATGCTTTTAAATCAAAGTTGAATAACTCAGTTAAAATATAAATAAATAAAAATCAATTACAAAATTAAAAAGTAAAAAGAATTTCTTTTTGCAAAAAAACTGAGTTCACCATTTGCTATTCATCCTATTTCTCCTGAGCATAAAATTATAGGAATGAAAACAGATAACATTCAAACCTAGATGTAAGATAGTCCATATATTATAAATTAAAAAAATGAATTGATCCCTTTAGAAACTCTTTCTTTGGGAAATAAATCTATGTAGGACCAACCAACTTAAATATAACAAAAAGACTAAGTAAGTCAATTCAATGACTAAAGCTAAAGATTTTATGCTCAGAAGCACGATCAAGAAATAAACCATTAGACAGTACCAAAAAATCCAAAGAAAATTATGTCATCTTGGAAAGCATCTTGGCACCATAGGTTTATACAATACTGGCAATCTATATTTAACAGAAGAATTGTTTCCTTTTATTGCTTTGCATTATAAATTGGTGATGTTTTTATATTCACTGCTATTGTTGCTTTTTGTTGTTTTGTCTGTATTGAAGATAAATAAGAAAAATCCTCTGGAAATATGGCTTCAATTTTAATGGGTAATTAATTAAATAATTAATTAATTATTTCATTATTTCTTTATTTAGAATATCGATTTTTTAGTGGTTTAATTTTTTATCATAATTTTATTTTAATTAATAATTTTCTGTAAAAATTAATGATTATTTTACTTTAATAATAGCTGCAACTATTGTGTTTGGTTGTCGCAATGGTCTACTAAGCTACTTCTTTGGGTTGAGCTTAGAAAGAGCATTAATTTGGCATTAACTCCTAGCATGGGCTACTCTTGTCGCCTCATTAAATCACTGGTTTCACTCAAAGCGCCTTCTAAGTGGATATATTATTTAATTTCCTATAATTGCTTTTATCATTTTCTCCATAAAGCCAGTTAGGAGATATTTGTGGGAGCTATTTATGAAAATGCACTGGATTCTAATAATTGTATCAATTTTTGGCTGCATAGCTCATGGAGTTAGTTTTGCGCTTTTTGCTTTTGGCTATTTTATTATTGATGTTTGCTATAGGTATTTATTTTATTATTTAATTTATATTAATGTGTATAATTTCCCTAATAAAATATTTAGAATGTATACAATTTACGAGCTTAGTGATGTATCGAAATAAATCAAGTTAGAAAAAATAGGAAATAACATAACAAAAATTTCAATGTCAAGTAAGAATGTCAATTATAAGGGAGGATAATACTTTTTTTTAATGATTCCTAAAATAAGCTATCTATAATGGCATCCTTTTTCTGTATTTAGTGCTTCGTATGAAGATGAAGTTGTATTTTATGTTAAGTCACTCGGAGACTGGACAAGAGAGCTCTATAAAATAGCAGGCGAGCAAGGAAAACCAACAATCATAAAAGGTTATTTAGATGGTCCTTATGGCTACCATTCTATAGGAATAGAAGGTGATAAGTATAAGCATTTCTTATGTATAAGTGGAGGTATTGGAGTGACTCCAATTATAAGCACGGCCAAAGAAATTTTAAAATAAATGGAAAAAGGAAGACCTGTAAACAGCTTGCATTTTATTTGGACTGGAAGAGATTCCGCTATCGTAGAAAGTGTCTTAAAACCAGACGAATTAAGATCTCTATTAAACCAAGACGATTCAAGTATCTTAAAAAATTTCTACCACTATTCAGACAAAGGAGACAAAAAAATTGAAGATATTGAAAAGTAGGCATAATAGGAATAATAATAGTTAGTCTAATTATCTAAAGGAAGGCCAGAATTTACAAAATATTTTGAATCTGCATACAATGCAGCTAAAGAAAGTGGCGAAAGCCATGTCGCTGTACTCACATGTGGTCCTCAATAACTTATTGATACAGCTGAAATAAATTCAATGAAATGGTCAAAATAAGGAATTAGATTTGATTGCCATTAAGAAGTTTTTGACTTTTGAGAAATAAATAAATACAAACTCCTAAAAAAATATAATAATTATATTATCCAATAACATGAGAATATATTAAATGATAGATAGATAGCTTAATTTTTGATAAATAAAAAACTACCTCAACTTAATTTATTATAAATTAATTAATAAAATAAATAATTTAATATAAATTTTTTAATCATTTTTTAGACATATTCATTTATACTAGCACACACTTTTATTATTTACTTACTTCAGAAACCTTATCATAAAAAAGTTATTTTCAGATTATGAATTTTTGTTTTATATTCTTTATTCAACATGGATGAATAGTAAGTACTACATAAATTTACATCATACAATTATATAAATACTTTTTCTGCAATAATCATTTATTTAATAAATCCCCTTATTATCCCACACAAATTCTTGAAATAAAAATCTATATAATAGAAAGAAATTGAATTGCAATAATTTTTCAAAAACTTTTAATAATTTTCTAAAAGGATTTGGAAATTATTCTCTTATTAAATAAATAATAAACATTTTATTTTAAAATAAGTAAGAATATTATATTATAAATTAAAAATTTAATATCTGAAAGCACATAATTAAATAAAAAAATCATAATATAATAAATATTTTATAATAAAAATTAAAATTAAATAATTTATTTAATTAATAATCTACATTATATACATCAAATCTATAATTAAATTATAATTTTCCATATCCACAAGAATAAGTGCATAAATGGTTCTAATAACAAACTTTCTGATACATTAAGATAAATCTTTGATAATTTATTTAGCATTGAATATAGATGGATTATCCTCTAAATATTCCTCAGTTTCCTCTATAATGTTGTTAGAAAACTTTTCATTTTCACTAAAATATTCCTTTTTATTCAGTGACTCTCTATTTTCTATTAATTTAATATATTTATAAATTCTACTCAAAGAAACTTAGCAAGACACATTTATATATCTTTAAATAGAAGAGTCAATTAAACAGATAATTTGATTTTTTGTAAAATATTACTTGGAAAATTTTTATTATAAAATTTCAAAAATAAAATTTTAAATAATGAATTAATTTTATGAGAATTTTAATATTTATTTATTAAAAAAAAATGCATAATTTCAAAGAATTTAATTACACCATTTAAAGCAAAAAAGCTTTTAGCAGATAGATATTTATTTGTTTAATTTAAATGATTGCTTTAAATATAATTTTGCAGTTAAGATGCTAAATAAAATATTTAGCTAAATTAATTAACATGGTTAACTTGATAATATTAATATTAAATCTTTGATTTATTTTGATTTACAGAAGAGATTGAAGTTTAATACCAGTAATAATGGTGAAAGTCAAATTTTAATTTTTAGCCTGAAAATTTTTAATTAAATGTAAATCTTTAAAAAAAATATCTTCGAGAACAAATCTTAATATTAAACAAAATTACGATATAAAAGTAAGAAAGGAACTTTATTATTTTTATACTAAACCTCAGCTAAAAAAATAAAATATTATAAGTAAATTTATTTTTTATAATATTTACTGTATTGATAGTATAAGCTTAAATTTTTTATGTTTTATCATTAGCGTTTATTACTTTTTTTATAGATGTTCTAAAGAATTTTTTTTAAATATTCACAGTAATTTATATCTAAACTTTAAAAAAAATATTACCAAGAAATTCATAAAGGAACAAAAATGTATCAACTA